GAGAATGAAAGAGGCTGTTTGGAGCCAGGCGGCCCTCTCTAAACTCTTATGTAAGGCACAAACTGCATCCTGTTTCTCTCAGCTACATTATTGATGCAGGCTTCTGTTACCACATTATGTGTGTGTGTCTGTGTGTGCGTGTGTTTGTGTGCACCTGTAAGTCACTACCTTGTGCGGAAAAGTCTCTCACCTTTGCTAATGCATAGAGGGGGTGGTCTCCAGCTGATGTCTCCTCACTTTCCTCCTCTGAACATACTCCCTTCTTCTGTCTTCACCTCCTTCCTTTTGTGTTAATGTAAGTCCCCTTCTTCCTCCTCCTCCTCCTCCTCTTTCTCTTTCTGTCTCTCTCAGGCCTTCATTTCTCACTAACAGATGTTCTCTGCACCATGTGGGAGGGCATTCCTCTTCTCTGCTGTGAAAGCCAAAAGAAAAACAAGAAAAATCAAAAGACGACGACAACGAGACGACTCCATAACTCGACAGCCTCAAAGTAACGCGTGCATGTGTGCGCCGTGAGGAGGTGTCAAGTTAAAGATCAGAGTGCTTTTGCCTTTTTATAAACGCACCTCTCCTTGGTTACACAGTATCTGAAAGGTCAAAGAAGTGCAAACACACGCATGCAAAACATAGCATGACTGACACGACAAAATGACGCACAGACACACACACACACACACAACGGGAGCAAGTGTGAGGAAAGCATATCCAGGTATCTGACTCCTCAGACCTTGCAGGTTCTTTAAAAATTCAAACACGGCAAAAGAGCACCGTGGGAGTCCTCCAGCAGGTCAAGAGTGAGGAAAACACCAGAGGCAGAGAGGAGGAGGAGGGGGGAGCGATGTCGAGAAAGAGGAATGAGAAAGTGGTTTCACTTTTTACTCGTCTTCCTCTCCCCCCCTGAGACCAGAGTGAAGTCTGGCACACTGTTGAGCTTCAGGGAATTTTGGAAATTGTCTGTTTGTGAGCCAAAAAACGAGGAGTTTTCACATTTTTTTTCACCATAAACTGTCTCAAGAGTGACAAAAAAAGTGGGACAGTGGATAGGGAGTGGATTAATGTGTGTGTCTAAGTGTGCGTGGGGCCGTGCACTGACGTGGAGGCTGGGTGCTGGATGCTGCAGTAAGGTGACCCACTTACACAGTACTCCCCCCCTCTCTCTCTGACCACACACTGTTACACTTACACTCCTGAACACACTGAAGACTGGAGGGTGCTTTGGCCCCATTTCAGGCAGTAATGTGTTTCAAGAGTTGTGGGAGAGGAGACAGCAGATGATGTGTGAGCAGAGGTCGAGGAGGCTTAAGGCAACAGTGGAGAAGAAAAACGCGATCAAAGGAAAGCAAAGACACTGAAGGGAGAAGACTTCTGAAAATACGCTTCAACATATATAGACCAAAATAAATGAACAGGGATCGCTTGTTAAAGTGCGTCTGTGAGCTCATCTCATCCAGCCACTGACTCTGTATACCACTGTGACATTCAGCAGAAAGGTCAACTCCTTACTGGTATGCATGAGATAACAAACCAGACACATCCTTACTTGTCTGCGCAGAAAAGCGAGATCGTTGAGATACCACCAAACAAATGAAAAGGTGATGAACCGGAATTCATTACGCGTGTCTTTCATTCAATTATGATTATCTGACGAGAATTCAGGTGACTCACAAGGAGCAATAGCTCTGTTTGGATTAACTCATTCACAACTTTTAAAGGCTGTAAGGGAAGTAAAGCGAGGGTTGAACATGAGAGGTGGTGTAGTATATCGCCATCTAGTGGAAGAAAACAGATACAATGAGTTAAATGGCTTTAAATTTTAGACTTCAAAAAATATGAAACCCTTACTTTAGTCATTATTTTTGATATTCAGTGAAGTTCTTTAAAAAAAACTTGGCTGAATACAATAACACAGAATGATGCATGAAACTAGAGTGCAATTAAATATTCTAATTTGTAGTTCCGATAATCAGATTAAAAAATTAGCATCTACTGAGTTGATCTCAACATTTCTCCTGTACTTAAAAAAAACTCCCATGTTTTTTTTTTTTTTACTGGGTTCTGCAAAGTATGGTTGATATCTAACCGTTCAATAGATCCTGCGAGGTTATACTTCAATGGCACCTTTTTTTTCTGCCTTTGTGCTTTTTTATGTATTTTGTTTATTTGCCTTTTGTACATTACCATTTATTATTTTCAGTTATATCTTCATTTAATTTTTAATTTTATTTTTTTAAATTTTATTATTATTAATAATAATAATAATTTTACTCTGTGTGCGTACATGGTTACGCACATGATTATAATTACTTGTAATTATTGAATGATGACTGTTGTTCTAAGATTCTAATAAAAAGTTGATCACAAAATAAATAAATAAATAAACTCCCATGTTATACTTTAACATCTATGTTTGTAATGGTGTCACAGTGACTAAGAAAAACTCATCATACAGATATATCATCATAAAAATAAAAGTAAGAAAGTCATTCAAATGTAACATAGAAACAACATGGGGGTAAAATAACTTAGCGATAGCTGTTTCCATCATTTGCTGCTTATCTAGGAACCACTCGAAATTCTGATTCGTCCGATTTGTTATCTTTGACTGCTAATCAATAACTTTTAAAACCTAAACCGATTGTCTATCCATCTATTTTATACTTTAAACAAAGAGGAGTTTTAACCCTATGGATCAGCCACACCTTTCCACGGTGCAGATACTAAAATGACTGCAGTTAGACGTGTGTGATCAGGTTCAAACTTTGGTTACAAACTCTCAAACTCTTGTACAATTGATTCCCCTCAAAGTGAAATAACTTCAGTATTGCTGCACAAATGAAAACGTTGATGTCAAAGTAGGAGATGAAAGGGTAAAAAAAAAAAAAGGCCTCTTCACTGAAAATGCTAATGTAATCAACCGTCCAGCAACCATCATATGATTTGTCAGTGAAGCGAGGTTTTGGGAAGTTGTGGGTTTTTATCAGCTGGAGGGGGAAATACAAACCAAAGCAGTCAGATACTTCTCAGACAGCTGCGCCATTAAACAGACATATCGTAAGATACCATTTCAGATAGAGGAGATACAAAAAAGGTTTTTGTTATGAATCAGCATCGGTTCTGATCCGTGTGACTGCAAAGTACAGGTCAAGTAGGGCCTCAGCCACACTGTAAATCAAGCCAACACCAGCATAAATTAATTCAAATGTATTCAATCATAATGATGTAGTGTTCGGCTCAAATGTTTTCTGAGGCCTAAACACGGTGAAATTGATGTGTTGATTAAATATGTGCCTCAGAAGGAGCCATTTATATTCAAACAGGGTTGTAAACAGTTTTGAGGCCATAAGAGCAAGCTGTGTCAAGGTGGATGGTGTGTACACACATTAATCAGGTGAGTCAACACATCAACATTGCAGGATGTGATTGTGCACATAATCTCTGTTTGTTCTGATGATGAGGTACACCACAGGAAGCGTGCTTTCCCCTGCCACTGTACCACTGCAGGAATTTCTCGTGTTAGGCTTGTGATCATGTCTGATACTCTGGGATACTGATGGTGAATGAGCTGAAATGTTTATGGCACATTCTCAGCAAGTTATTACATGCAGCATAATGGAGCATTAGGGGCAATTTTAGAGCTTTAAAGTGAGTTGTTTCCAGTCTCAAGATAAATCCCAGTTACACTGTAAATGATCCTTTCTCTATTAAAGCCTCCTGCCATAAAGGGGAGAAACAGGTCCAGAGTAGCCATTCATTTCGTATTGTCTAAAGTCTGGGCAGCAGGCCTGTGTGCTGAAATTATGCAAGTTTAATTAAAAATTAGGGGAAAAAGCTGTTTCAAATGATACCCACCTCTCATACCAGTTTCAGATACTTAAAATTATGAACAAAAAACATTGATCTTGTCATGGTGATCTTGCCTGCCTTTATATATCATAAAAAGGCATTAATATAAATTTTAGTCGATTAAAAAGATGTCAAAAACACCTTGCAGCGGCTTTAAATTCTACAATAGGTGAAGGTAACCCGCTGGTTTTCCCTTTGGACACTGGACGTCACTTGTGAGCAATAACCATATACACTATAAATGTGATAGATGCTCAACTCACCCCATTCTCCCCTATGTCATAAAAAAGGCATCAATATAAATTTTAGTCTGTGTATCCCTTTAATGCCTGAAACCACAAATTATGGCCCGAAAATCAAAAAAAATTTGAAGTTGAAATGTTTATTTCACTTTCCACTGAAGACAAAAAAAACCCCAAAATGTTCTTAAAATTTAACAAATACATTTATTTATCTTATTTGATACATGAGATGTTTTTGGAAACTAATAAACTACAAGAGGACATTTTAATCATTTACCAGATTGTATTCAGGTGTCTTTTTAGTAATTTGTTAATCATATTGATTTGATAGAAGTATATAAAAGCATGTATCAAATATGATACAAAAAGCATTAAAGGGCTAATAGGTGTCAAAAACACCTCACAGTGGCTATAAATTCTACATTAGTTGAATATAACCTGCTGGTTTTCTCTTTTGGACACTGGACGCCGCTTGTGAACAATAACCATACTCACTACAGATGTAAAACCCTGTATTCAAAGGTTGTTTTTAATAATAATAAATCACACAGCATGTAGTCTGCTTGATTTTCAAAGAATAAACCTGAAACTAGCAGCACAGATATAAGCAAAAGTATTTCCTCAATCATACTATGCCTTTATATCTTCCATATTTTACAAACCATCAATACAAAAAAGTTAAATTTGGCCTGAAATACTTTAATATATTTTTAATAAAATAAAATTGAACTAAAATCTGGAGAAAATCTAAGTTTTTCTTCCCTGAACAGATGGCTGACCTGGGATAAGATGTCTACTCCTCGTTTGCCTCTCCCTCGTGAAGTTGTCGGTGTCTAACTGATCCCAGGTCGGTGCTCTTCTCGCGCCTCTCAGCCGGTGACCACGTGTCTCTGTCCGGCCTGCCAGTGGTAGACCATGTGGTGCAGCAAGATGGCGGCGCGGTGGAGATGGAAAGACGGGAATTTAAATGCCGGTAAAGGGGACTTTCTGGTCGGCAACATCCCTGATGAGGTATCGGCTTCTCATTTCAGCTGATTTGGGTTTACTATGACCTCACGTGACCGGGTTTCCGTGTTTTAATGGGGGCTGTTTCGCCGGTGCACGGGGCCACATGCGTGGAGAGCGACACGTGGCTTTAACAGGGTAGTAGTAGTACTGAGGAGGTGTCCGATGAGTTGGCCGAGCCGCTTTAACTCATTTAAGCGACGCCAGTACCTGTAATCTTATGAAGCAGATTTACTAATCTCCTCGGTCAGTGAATTAATCCATAAAAGTGCACGAGACCGGCTCGTTTCCTGTAACGTACAGGATGTTCAGATGAGGCTGCACCCTCAACCCTGGCCTCTCATCAAACACAATGATTATTTAATGTTTCCTCGACATATCTGTACTGCTGAGACCTCCATTTACTATTTAAATTAGGTTGGCAGATGTATTTATTGCTCCTCTGCCTCCCATGAGTGTGAAAGTCATAACAGTTAAACAGAAACTGAGATCTGCTGCTGCTCTTGTCCCGCCTCTGTGGCCTCATACGTCCTCTTAGTGGCTCTAACCCTTTCCTACTTGCACAGTTTTGCCCTCCTTTAATTGTTAAACACAGTGGGGACATGACTATTAAACAGCCTGTCCTCCCTTGTCCACATTTGAACAGACTGAAACCTTTAAATTTGGTCGGTGTAATTAAACCAAGCCCCATAGACTCACACTGCAATGTCGTTTTCTTACTGAGATTAAGTGAAAAGTCTCAAAGAATAATGTGAACACTTTACTCACTGTACATGTAATGACAAAACCTGATGTCAGCCAGTGAAAGACACCTGAAATTCCCAGTTTTAAGTTTCAAATGTTGGTTTTTGTTCCTGAAATTGATGGTGTTGGAGCGCAGCCACATCTAAATACCAGAACCTCACCACCCAAAGTTTCTGATCACATTTTACCCTGTATTTCAAATCAAACTTCACGTCTGATGATTTTATTTTGCACAATATGAGCTGTTACCACACATCTGCTCTACATGACTGCTTTTATTGAAGCTCTGTTTGAGTTTACAGCTTGCTCTTATGCCCATGAGGTTAATTTTCAGCTTGTTCTGTCCTGTGGCTCATACTCTGGTCACACCCAGGAAGGAGTGTCATGTAAACCTGACTAAAGTGGGTGAAATTCAGGGTGCGTGAATGTTTTGTAATGTTTATTTTGTCCTCTCAGTTTGCCTTCAGACATCATGGTGTGGACGGAGTTGACATGGACACACAGTCGGTCATGGATCACTCAATTCTGGCCATTTTTGAAGATTCGGCCGTCACGTCAGAGGTCAGAGTTATAAAATAACGTCACTGTGAACTATTCAATTTACTCTCCATTTGAGTTCTGTGAATTTTATTTATGTGTTGTTCTCCCTGACCATATGGTGGCAGATTCAATAAAGGCTCATCAACCAGCACATCTGTTTTTCTCTTCTTAGGATAAAAGTGAAGTGGAGGAGGAGGAGAGTGAAAACCTGCTGTCGGCCCTGACGGAGATGCTGGACAGTGTGGAGGATGTCAACGGCGCTTTGTCCCCTTTTGACACCCTGCCAAACTCAAATCTGCTCTCACACCTGGAGCGAAGGGACGACTCGGTGGTGGGTACACGCTCGTGCACAACAACCCAAATCCCTGATAAATACATTTGAAGACGTTAACAAGTTTGTTGCATTGCTGCAGTTTTTCCTGTTTTAAGTTAAAATGACAAAAACTAATATTGCTTACTACCCAGAAAAAAACAGACTTTTGGATATCTTACTTTTCAGTGACATAAACGCTTAAAGGGATATTCCGGTGTAAATTCAAGTTAGAGTCAAAGACACCATAACAGCGAGTTAGACACCCCCTTGAGAAATGAATGTTGCCGACTGCTTGCTTCTGTAGTTACATCAACTTAAGCAACGATAGCAATACCCAGCGGTCTATGTCTCCCTGTGCAAACTTCAACCAAAAAGCCACTCTATAGCTAAAAATAATGCTCAGAACAGCACCTAACTTCATCAACAGTATATATAGGGTCAGAGCCATAGTACTAGCCATCAAACATCTTTTGAGCTTTGCCGAATTTTTTCAGCAAAGAGACCAAACACAACTCACCTACTCTCTTCCAGCAGCCGCATGTTTGTGGAGGGAGCCCTGACGAGTCGATCACCGAGTGCAGCGGGGTTTCGCAGCTCAAGGAAGAACATTTATGATTATTATTTCATGCAAATGCAACCAGACTGAGATGCTAGGCAGAAGAACTACAGCATCTGCAGTGCAAAATGATTATTATGATGATTATTACTTAAAGGAAATGATCTGCTGCACTCAGTGATCGACTCGTCAGGGCTCGAGTGGCGTTTTGGTTGAGGTTTGTGGAGATGTTGGAGATGTAGACTGCTGTCTGTGTATTGCTATCGTGTGGTTGTTACTAAAGTTGGTATAACTAGAGAAGAAAGCAATCGGCAACATTCATCTCTCGAGGGAGTGTCTAACTTGGTGTTACTGTGTTTGACCAGAACTTAAATTTACACCGAAATATCTCTTTAAGTGTCAGGTACTTTCCTGCATTTATGCTCAATTTAATTTCACATCTTGGGAAGTTTTATTCAACTGGTATTAAGACAGATGTGTTTGCTTCTTCCCTTAGCCGTACACGCTAACCATACAGAATAATGTATTATCAGATATACACTTGATTAAAATTCACTTTCCTTATTGATACAGTTGGAAACATTTTTAGTTTGTTGTCTCAACAAGAGTATAAGTTTAAGTCAAGTCACACAGTTTGAAAAAGTGAACCAGACATGCATGAAGAGGAAATCTACAAAAAAAGACATACACAACTGAAAGAAGTCAGTTTCTTTTAATCTGACAGTTTTTTCCCCTTCGTCTTTTCTCCAGGAACTATCACTTGCTGAGAGACTTCGACCAAAATCCAAATCAACAAATGTAACATGTGCAGTTAATATCGAAAGAGATGAAGAGGATAAGACAGAGAGAGGAAGAACCAGCCCTCAAAAGATGTTCAAACACCAAAGTGAATCTTTGTTCTGTTCTCAGAATAGAAAAGCAGAGCCTGAAGTTGAAGTATTCACCTCCTCGTCTCTGGTTAACCTGGTTAAGATCATGCACTCCTACTGCCTGAAGCTGCATGTGGAGGAGGACGAGGGAGAGGCGCTGAGGAGGAATCACACATTATTCTCTCAGGGGGAGGTGTGGAAGTATGAGAGACCCTCTGAAGAGAGCGATGAAGAGATAAATGTTGTGTCTGATGATGAGGTCAATGTGAAGGAGACAAAGACTAAAGAAGAGGGGAACGATGGGAAGCTGCTGAAGAGCGTGTTGTTGAATGGAAAATCATCCAAAGCGCCGTTATCCAGAGAGAAGAAGAGGGTGAGCTTTGGCCCCGTTCAAGTGGCTTCATTTGATGAATTAGAGGACAAAGAGAGATTGAATGAGAAGAATTTATCAAGTCAAATTGTGTCAAAAGCTCTTGAAAATCCTACTGGCTCGCCACTTGAATCTCAAACACCGACCTCAGACATTAGCTGTAACAAGACTGAGGTTTCAACACGCAGAGGTGAGACCAAGGCCAAATCACTCAGCCTCCAACAGTACAGACAGCTGCGCAGAAAGAGACAGCCCCTAGTGGAGAAACAGGGCAACTACACCACCAAGTGGCCCTCTCTTCCTGAGCCCCCCAAAGAGCTGACCCCCATCCTCTGTTTACAAGGACAAGTCCAAATCAGCTGTGGACCAAAGGCGGCAAACAGATACCCAGAGGTTGTAAGTAAGAGTGCTGACCTGCTCTGTAGAAGTCCAGCTCCTGTTCATAAAACCCAGCACACCCCTGCCCCAACCAGACCTCCCCCCTCAGAGGGGAAACCATCCAGCTGTCCACAACGCAGCAGATTAAAGCGTCAAAGAAACGGGTCTAGAGTGGCCTCACATGCAAGTCCAAAACAGAGAGTCACCACTAACACGAGCGTTCATGTACCCGCGAGTAAAATAAGCCCGGTAAAGAAAGGAGCACCGCTCAGTGTTGATCCCCCAAATCCTGTCCTCCTCCCGATGCCGGCCAGCCAAACTCCATCACCCTCCACCCTCCAGTCCTCATCAGAGGTCAAAGCCAAGCTCCTCAGCTCAGACTCCAACCTGCTGCTGAGCTCTGTGCACCTCCAAGAAACCCAAAAGGAATCCTCAGGGACATCTCTCCAGCAAAAACCTCTAAAGCCTGAAGTGTCAGGACAACACACAGAGAGTACACACAAGTGGGAGACCACTACAGCCGTTACAGAACCAAAGATTTCTCCACCAGTGAGTCCAATGCAGACCTCCATAGATGAACCTGCACCATCAGCAGAGGTTCTCCTCAGCGAAGCCTCACCTGAAGACCTCTCACCTCTCCAGTTTGGCGGTAGAGCGCAGAGTAGTACTGATGACTCAGGTGAGCATCCTTTAACCTACATTAAAATTTGTGGAATCGACCAATCAGGTGCCACCAGGGTTTGGTGTATACAGGATGATCAGTCAGTATGGAGAGCAAAAGCAGGCAGAACGCCACAATGACACTGTAGCTGCCACCTGTGAAAACTGATGATGTCTGTAGACAGAAATGTGCAGCCTGTTCTCCTCCAATAATTTACTCGACTTTACTTGACAGCGCGTTACAAAGTTTATCAGCACTGAAATTGAGACGCATGTCTAAAAACATCTAAAAATTTGAGTTCTCCTCTTGCTAACAGTTGAAAAAGACTGAATTTCTACTGAGTTTGTATTCGTACCTCTGCAAACTGTTAAGTAGTAGGAAAATATCAAAGAAATTTCAACAATTTCCTCCGCATCCAGACCAGCGGCAGAAAAGGCTGATGGTTTCCATGCAAGTTAATGTGTCAGTTTCCACCAGCTTCTTCTTCGCTTCGTTCCGCTGCGGTTCGCAGGGCTCTGCAGTCAATTGCCAGAGTTCTATTTTTTCTAGAAGCTGCAGCATGCCGGATAATTTCAGCACAGATTAACCCGTGCTGGAAAGGAAGTGGGGCACAGACACAAAATAAAATGTCTGGCTTCTTTTCAAAATAAAACACCACATGTTTCAGTCGGATCGTATCTTACACCATGCGAATGTGAGCAGAGACAAACAAGTCAAAGATTTTCAGACTTCATTTCACCCCGTTGACACCATAGATGGGGAGATGCTGATTCTAGAAGTCTAGAAGTAGATTTCCTCCTCTGGAAGGACACAATCTTCTGCTTATATGGTTATGTGGGTGTCTTTATAGAGACGACCTGTTATTGCGCCATTGCATGTGAATCCGCGGGTTCTTGTGAGTTCTCGCGATTCCCGCTGTCCGAAATCCGCCTCACAAACGCCGTTCCGGATGTGGTGGAAATTGGGGGTAAGAGTTTGCTCGGACTGAGACGCTGAAAGTATCATCTGAAGTTTTCTTCTCATCTCCCTCAGGTATTGAAGCAGCTGATATGACCAGTCTGCTCGAACAGTTTGAGGAAACACAAGGTAAGAGATCAGATCATAGATGATGCAGTGATGTGATGCTGATGTTCGAGTCTCATGAGATCTGTCTTTGTCCAGCTAAAGAGAGGAGAGAGGAGCCAAAGCTTGAAAATGCTACCTCACCTTCAAACCAACACATAGACGGACATTTAGACAAGAGTGGGTGGTCTTCACTGACGGCCCCTGTGGAAACACATCAACATTCAAGCACTTCATCTGGGAGTCAGAGAGATCCACAGCAGCTCCAAATGTTGGAGAGCGTTGAAATCCCAGAACCCCTCGGCACTGACATCATCCTCAGCACTGAACCAGCGAGGCGTAGACATCCTCCATCCAAGGCCATCCAGATCATCGACCCTCGTCCTCTCCCACCCAAGAAGACACACGCCAGCCTCCCCGAGTTCCCTGCCGCTCACATCCTCTCATACATCTCTTCAGATCATGATTACTGTGGCTCTGTGGACCGTTCACTCTCAAACCCCACTCAAGATAGCAGTCCTGCTGCTGGGTGTAAGAATCAGACCTCCACAGGCGGACCTGACGCAACTACCAGGGCTGTCAGCTCCTCCGCTAAGTCTGTGCTGCAGGATCCACCCGAGGAATCCAGGACCAGATCAGAAACAAATCTGCCCTCGGTCAAAACTTTCTCAGAGGTTCCTGCTGAAAAGGAGAGCTGTAGTACACCTGAGTACAAGACGCCTCAGTGCAGCCTCCCAACACCTCCACCCAGCCCCGTAGTCAGAGGGAGGGAGAAGAGGAGGTATCAGAGAAGGTCACCTCGCTCCAGCTCCAGCTCCAGCTCCTGCTCCTCCTCATCCTCATCATCGTCCTCCAGCTCAACCTCTCGCTCCCCAAAAAGACAAAAGTAACCCTCTTCATCTTTTCTCTCCGTCTTCTTTAGTCTTTTTTCTTTGTGCGTTTTCTGACTCCCTCATTTTTGTCTCGCAGGTGCCGTCACAAGCGCTCAGAGAGCAGCTCATCGTCATCCTCCCGCTCTCGCTCCATTTCTCACTCTCCACCCCGGCGCCACAGGTGGTCTTACAAAAGAACCAAACGCAGCAGGTCCAGATCCAGCTCCTGGTCCAGGTCCAGGTCTCCGCTCAGATCTAGATCACCGTCACCACAGATCTGCCACAGGAAGTGGAGAGACGTTTACAGGTGAGATCATGTTTGAGTTTCTCAAAGACATCAAATCTGGTGAATTCCTCTACCTACAAAGTTCCTCGGGGTTTTCTAAGTCCCCGTGTTTCTCTCATGTCATCCTCTCCACAGCAGCAGAGAGTCGAGGCGGCTCAGGCGAGAGCACGAGATCAGGATCCAGAAACTTAAAGCTATTGTGAGTAGAAGATAACTGAGACGTTGATTTGTGTGTTTGTGGTTTTCCTGGCTGGGTAACGGGGTAATGAAGTCCATCTTGTCACGCAGGACGAGCGTAGGGTGGTGTACGTTGGCCGCATCTGCAGATCCATGACCCACGATGAACTGAGGGAGCGCTTCTCTCAGTTCGGAGACGTGGAATGTGTGTCACTCCACTTCAGAGAGAGGGGGTGAGTATTAATGCTTCAAAACACGCTTGAACTCTTTCCTCGCCATCAATGAGATATCCCGCCAATCCGTGTTTCCATTATTATGGCGATAAACCGAAAATTTACAGATACTGAAATTTATGACAATAACTGGTGTCATTTTGCCCATATCGGTATATTCGGTGTCAAATAAACAAAAGTTTGTTTTGGATGTGTGTAGGTAGGCTATAGTCTCATGTCCCTTTAAGACGCTGTCCTACGTTGTAGCAGCTGGAGCGGCGGCTGAAGTAGATGAAGTTAATGTGGGAGGGGGTGAGCAGTTTGTGGAGGAGTTATCGTCCATGTATGGTTATCAAGGTGAACTGTTCAATTTATCTTGATATTGATTTGAGGCCATATCGCCCAGCCCTAGAGCAAGGGGCAGGTGAATATGAGAGAGAAGGAAATACTGCTGATGCAGCCAAAATCTGACCCAGACCATTTGTTTTCACGGTGATTGCACCTTGGCCTGTAGATACATCTTGCTGATGTCTCTTAATTTCAGTATGTAACATCTAAAACTGTCTCCAACTGATCAGGATGAGAAAGACAGAGAGAGGAGCTGCACTTCAAACACAAGTATGACATGCTTTTAAGTCCCCAAACCAGAACACACACACAGGAAGAACTGGTCACAGACAGAAACCAGACGACGAGTGAACAGTACATTACATCAGACAGCATGTCAGAGCAGTACGCCCATAACACATCTGTCATCATGAGGACGCAGCTGCATGCGCATGTGGTTTGCACACGAACCCCCTGCTGTGCAGCTGTGTCTGCAGACAGAGATGCTCCAAAAAGGTCTGATGTAGACCACAGATGATGTCGTCAATGTTACCATAAAAAAAAAGAGGAGTTAAAAATGTAAGAAGACTGTAACTTTCCTACTTTGAAATAAGCTTTTTGTTGTACTTTAAAGGGATATTCCGGCGTAAAATTAATAACGACCGCACGATAGCAATACACAGCGGTCTGACACACAAACCTCAACCAAAACACCACTCTATAGCCACAAATAATGCTCAGAACAGCACCTAACTTCATCAACAGGACATATAGGGTCCCAGCCATAGTACTAGCCACCAAACATCTTTTTAGCTTTGCCTGATTTCTTTAGCAAAGAGACTAAACACAACTCACCTACTCTCCTCCAGCAGGACTACAGCGGGGTTTCGCAGCTCAAGAAACAACATTTATGATAATTTCTTCATGGAAATGCAATCAGACCGAGATGTTAAGGCAGAAGAACTGTCGCATCTGCAGAGCAAAATGATTAATATGGTGATTATTACTTCAAGGAAATGATAAAGGAATTTAAGCCGGAATATCCCTTTAAATCAAATAAACATAATTTGAATATGAATAAATGGACCAAGTGAGAATAAAATACATTTTTATTTATGAATACATCAAATTTCTTTTAAAGATTTCACGGATTATATTTTCATAGGACAAAAATATTTTAGGAGCTTGAAACGTTACAAAAGCTGGTTTTTAAAAAACGTCGACATCGGCTGGAAACTTTTTCATGAAATGCCGGCGAGGAAAGAGTTAACAGTTATTATTGCACTAATGATTTTTCTGCACCATTACTCTTTACCTGTCAGTGTTGAAACTCTGTATCTATTGTTTCCATAGTGATCACTACGCCTTTGTTACTTTCTACAACATGGAAGATGCTTTTGCAGCCATCGATAATGGCGGGAAACTGCGGAAGCCCGACGAGCTTCCCTTCGACATCTGCTTTGGAGGAAGACGACAGTTCTGTAATTCAGACTACGCAGATCTTGGTGAGACTCTCTGCACTGTGTCACTATGACAGACATCCTTGTTAGTGTTATTTTTCAGTTATCTGTAGCCAACATTGTTCAAACCCTGCACTGTGGTGTTTGCATGCTGCCTCGAAGAAACTCTAACACAAAGCTCCTGTTAAAAAAAGGATGTAAAAAACATCTTGCCCCTTAAAAAGGTACTTACAGTAGAGAAAAAACACTTAAGAGGGAAGTGTCTGTAATGAAAGTGAAACAAAACTCGATGTTCATTTTGGTGCATCTGAATGAAAAACTTTTACACCGCCTTCATTCTGATGATTGAATGTCCCCCCCTCCTCTTCCTCAGATGCAAACAGAGACCCAGACCGGTCTCCTGTGAAGAGCCGATATGAGGACCTGGACTTTGATTCGCTGCTGAAACAGGCGCAGAAAGGGTTGAAGAGATAGCAGAGTTGTGTGTTCGGACCAGACCACCAAGCTGGATGAAACTAAAGGAACATTTTCTTCATGAAGCCCGGAGCCCCTTTCTCGCTCTTATGTAGCAAAGCTTTGTATGTTTGTAGTTTTGGCATGTTTGCATGCAGATTTTAAAATGTATAGTAAATAATGTAAAAATATATAGCACTATCAATTTGATAACATTTAAGTAGAAGAACTCTGAATAATTTCTTTTCATTCCATAACACTGTTTATTACATTTTTATATATATTTGCACTTGAAAGAAATAAAGGATGTTTTATGTGTTTGAGTACAGCTTAAGTTCATTTGGTTTTCCACTCATTACAGCCTCAGTCTTTTACACTTAAGGTAATCCGAGTCAAGTCTGTGAACTCTCAGTCCCCTGTTGTCTTTCACTTTTGTTTTAAAGAGTCAGCAGTTTGAGTTTTGCTCTATGTCTGGAGACAGCTGTCGAAATATCAGGTGTGACTTCCCTCCAGTTGAATCAGACAGAAACTAAAACAATATAAAAAACATAATCTGAGTTTGATAAAATGCAGATACAAAATGACATTCTTCAGCAGCAAATAAATCTGACAAAATGTAACGTATTAGAAAAAAACCTTATTACATAACTCAAAGTGACATAAACAGAACAGAAATTGTTCATGTGAAGTCACACCAACAAACAATTTATCTCATTTCTCTCAACACGCTCCACACACACCTCATACCTCACATAAATCAAATTTAAAATGATCTTTTTTGGTCTGAACACAATTCTAATAAAACGTATGACAGACTAATTTCACTTTCAAGAATGAAAAATGGTTTGGTGTAAATAAATGTCTAACTCCTTCACCTATGTGCTTCTAACCTTCACAGACTCCATGAATTGATGTCCATCTCCTTAATATTTGGTCACATGATCAATTTCTTTTACCATTTCCAAGCAACAGGGGATGTCCCAACTCATCCCACTCTCCCCTACTCCTCTTCAGGTCTCATGTCTTGCTTCTGCTTTGCTGGCATTGTTTGCCCTGAGCAAAGAAGTCGCCAGTAAAGACAAATAGATAAAACTTGATTGGCAGGTAATTAACCCGAGGTGTGGTGGTGTGAGCAGTTAGCCGTGTACAGAGCGATGAGAGAAAGTGTCGCTGTGTCACTGTTGGAGATTACACCTGATCCCCTAAAGGACTGGATTCAGAGTCAAGTCTAGAGCTCACAGTAAACCATGTCGACCCCGAGCAGACAGACCGAACACTTCATCAGCGGGGTGGTGGAAGGTAAGAGGACTGGGACCAGTGACTCAAACTGGAACAGAAATCAGTTATAGTGAGAGTAATAGATTTATATGTGAGCCCTCCTGCTAAGAGTTTTTGTGCATTTCCTGACCTCATCTTCCTGATCCAGGTTTTTATGGACGACCATGGACTATGGAGCAGAGAACAGAGCTGTTTAAAAGGTTTGTGGTCTGTTAAGCTTTCTAGCCTTGCAATGAATTTTCACCTCATAAAAAGCAGAACTGACAAAACTCTGATGTGGTTTATGTCTTGTGTGTCACAGAGAGCAGAAATGGGGTTTGAACACGTACCTGTACGCCCCTAAGGATGACTACAAACACAGGATGTACTGGAGGGACCTGTACGCACCTGAGGAGGCAGGTAAGTCATCCTCATTACATCTAAAGGTGATCTGAACACACCCAAAAACCAAACATGGTCAGGACCTCAAACAGGACCCAGAATCTATTTGCTGAAAAGTCAATAATATTTATCTAATCTCATGCATGACTGTCTTCCTGTTAAACCACACAGTATTCAAATTTTCTCATCTCCATTTCTTTCCAGAGCAACTCATCACCCTGATATCAGCAGCGAAAAAACACAATGTGGATTTCGTCTATGCAATCTCTCCTGGTCTTGACATTACTTTCTCCAACCCCAAAGAGGTGTCTGCCCTGAAGAGAAAGCTGGATCAGGTACGAGTTTATTTGTGTGCAAAAGATAATTCAATCTGAGGTGTTTTTACAACTCTAAGAAGAACAACAACAGGCAAATAATAACACTGACACTGAAACAAGTGGTTAATATAAGAAAAGGTACAAGTTTCCGAAACAGAAACTTAAATAACATGTCACTTTTTCATGCCTCATGGATCCACAAACCCTAAACTGTCCTTTGTCTCCCTCAGGTGAAGGAGTTTGGCTGCAGGTCCTTCTCGCTGCTGTTTGATGATATCGAGACAGAGATGTGTCCCGCAGATAAACAGGCCTTCAGCTCTTTTGCCCACGCTCAGGTGTCCATCACTAATGCGGTTTACCAGCACCTGGGAGAACCTGAGACCTTCCTCTTCTGTCCTACTGGTCAGACAGTGGGAGAAAACTACAACTGAATGAATATACTTTCCTCATCTGTGTCTGTGAAGTAACATTTATTCTGCTCATGTCCCTCCAGAATATTGTGCTGCATACTGCACCCCAACGGTTTCCCAGTCCTCTTATCTGAACACGGTGGGTGAGGGGCTGCTGCCTGGGATTGACATACTGTGGACAGGTGAGGCCAGCCAGAGTCAGGATCCTTTCTTGATAGGTTTTTACAGCATAGAAGAATCAAAAGGTGCTGGTTTTAACTCGCCGTTGCTCGCTCTCTCTTCTCTATGTTCAGGTCCCAAAGTGGTGTCCCACAAAATCTCTGTGAAGTCCATAGAAGAAGTGACCTCTGTTCTGAGGAGGCCACCCGTCATCTGGGACAACATCCACGCCAACGACTACGACCCCCAAAGACTTTTCCTCGGCCCCTTTAAGGTCAATTGAAAAACTCCTCTGATGGTTTTATTAGTCTGTAAGTGCTCCAGCCTGGTCTCCTCATCCTGACTGATCCAGTCTCTCTTTCAGGACCGTCCCACTGAGCTGATCCCCAAACTGAGAGGAGTCCTCACCAACCCCAACTGTGAATTCTACCCGAACTTTGTGGCCATCCACACACTGGCCACATGGTGCAAAGCAAACTCTGAGGGAGGACAGAAAGATGTGGAAATGGGTGAGGAAACAGCACTGTTTATTTTTATTACAATTATTTATTATTTCAATTATTGGATTTTTTTGGAGAGATGCACTTGATTATGCAACAAAACACTTCATAACACCCCATCAAGCGACTTCATGTTTCAGTTCTGGAGATATTTTTCCCTTTATAACCACAGCAAGGCTTTACGTGCTGAGTTCTCAGTGCAAGTTTTTTAGTGGAACCACAGTATAGTTGATATTTGGAAACACTGGTGTATGTGCTGTCAAATGAAGTCCTTACTGTCTCTGACCCCCATCACCAGCTGATGAGGAGCAGGACTCGTGCTATAGCCCCCAAAAAGCCCTGACCCTGGCCCTCACCGACTGGCTGCAGGAGTTTCTGAGCACTGATCAGCCTGGAGGTAAAGTATTATCAGAGCAGCAGGAAATTTAGTGAGATACAGTGGAATCAAGGTGGGTCTAACTTTGGAACACTTGGATCTCTTCATCTTTCAAGGTCCTTGTCTCAAGACTGATCCTAAGAAAGAATCATCTGATGAGGAGCCCATGCAGACCGATGTAGGAGAAGGTTCCTATGTTCCTAGCCCAGAGGAGACTCCACTGTACACAGCAGAACCCCTGACCCTGGAGGACCTGAAGCTGTTGTCAGATCTTTTCTACCTACCGTATGAACACGGGCCCACAGCCAGGAGCATGCTGCAGGATCTGGACTGGCTGAAGAACAACAATGCAGCCGCTGCTGCAGAGACAGACAAGGTGGTGTGGCAATTTGTTCATTAAAACAGATCCTGATACATTAAATGGGCTAAAACTTGTACTCTGCTTCCAGACAGTGGAGTGGTGCTCAAGGGCGCAGAAGTTCGATGACATGTGTGAGGCTGTGGTGCAGATGTTCAATCGCTTAACCAACGCCCCCAACCGCAGGATCCTGTACGACCTCTACAACTACATCCGTGACATCAAGACTGTGGTTGGCCTGGCCCGAGCCTACGTGAAATCACTAGGTGAGGAGACAAGAGCGTCCTGGTATAGCAGTGAAAGCTAAAAATACTCATGTACACAGTAGGGCTGGGTATTGCCACTGATTTCTTGAATTGATTTGATTCACTGAGGGATATTTCAGCTTCAGTACTTGTTTTGCTTGAATATGAAAGGGAGGCTTGGCCTGGCGTGTCATGTTGTGTATTTAAAGTTGTAGGCGTACTACATGTAGCTTTTTTTGTCTTGCTCAGGAGGACAGGGTCGACCCTCAGCCCAGCTCATGAACAACGACCCTGAACCCTCAGTATGCAGAGGAGGCCTGCCTGGAGAGTTTCAGGTAAGTTGTGTCCAAAGAAAGTGAGAAAGTTTTTATACAAAGTTTGTGATCAGTCGTAATAATTTTGTCGCACTGCTCAGGAAAAAAGTTTTAACTTATTAGAGCTGTGTATTAAGACATGGTCTTTGTTTCTGGAACTCTCCATGAGTGTGAATATTCCTCACTTTTGTTTCTGCAGAGAATGCTGCCCTGTCATGGAAACAGAGACCTGTTCAGACATCCACCCATGACAGCAGTTTACTGCATACGGCCATACTGCCCTGACGACAAGGTAGAGATAAAACATCCTCACAGATTGTGATCATCTTATTTGTTAAAACAAAGTTCTTTGTTACACGTTGTTGTGTATCTATCCCAGATGGAGGTGAAGAAGATTTTCAGGGAGATGCAGAGACACCAGATGGTGCAGCCTGCACTGATCTGCGACAGGTGAGGAGCTGGTCTCTTCTGTTGTCGTATATTTATGCTCACATTATCATCCCCTCTGTCCCTCTGCAGCCTGTCAGCAGGTGAGATCTCTCCAGCCCCTCAGTGTGCTCTTGTCCTGGAGGATGATATTGGCATGTGTGGTTATGCTCTCGCACTAACTGACGCCAAACCAGCCGCTGCAAAGATTCAGGTCATCATCTGTTTTATTCCACTGTCTGTAGAATACAAAATGAAGATAGGATGCAGTGCTGCTCAAAGTGTTTTATTCTTTTTCATTCCTCTAGAGGGCTGTAAGTGACTCTGAGTTGAAGGACTTCCCCTCCCTGCTCACCGTACAGGTGTTGCCCCGGGTCACTGATCCCTCAACAGCCAAGCGTATGATTAGTTGGTTGTTGTCCTCCATCAGGAGCAGCGGTAGGTGGAGACTGAACTTGTTGCTATTCTTAGAGAGGTCTCATGGAATTGACCTGTGGTTAATTCACAAACTGAGGTTTAACAGTCTGCATACTCTCCACAAGGAGGCGATGTCCTGTCATTATTGGCTGGGATAGCTAAACATTTAAAAACACTGATAACTCCTCTCTCATAACTTTAAAGGTTCCAAAGGAGCTTTCTGTGAGCTGAGGCAGAGCGATCGGCGGATGCTCCACTTTTACACCAAACTGGGCACCTTCAAACCCATAAAGATGGCCGGTCTGCCTCAGGACATCATCGCTATGGGAACAAGCCTGTGAACAAGAAGAAGCAGATGATGATGCAGAAGGAGTTTTGCATTAGCTGAATAGACTCAGTCCATAAATATAAAACTGATAAATATAACTTCAGTGTTTCTGAACAGGGACAGCAAATCAGAAAGTAATCCATTTTTTGTAGTTCAGGTATAAAACAATATTCTGTTTTCTGTTTTTTTTCTCACTCTGATTGAATCTGTCAGATTTTGTGCAGATTGGAGAAGTGTTTCTCAATTTTTTTTCAGTCACAGTTTCAGTTTTTTGACAGCACCCACTTTGAGAAAGGCGGCAGTAATTCGCAGAGGGGAATTGAAGAGAACTGTTGATTTGCAATTTTTATTCATAAAACATTTTAAAAGAGAAATATTTTACTTTTCACTGTTCTACATTTAACTAAAAGTTGTTTTTAACATCTATCACAAAACAAGCCTCTTTGAAGAAGAAGATAGTTTAACCAAGCTTTAAAAAATAGAGCTTAAATGATAACCCACTGATATTTCTAAATAAATTTTTAATATTTGTTTTGTTTTAATTTGTTATTTCTGTCGATGTTCTGTGCTTTATGACCATTTATCAAAGCACTTTGTAAACTTCTGTTTTTAAAAATACTGTAATAATAATAATAATAATAATAATAATAATAATAATAATTATTATTATTATTATTATTATCATCATCATTATCATTATTGAAGGAGGCGGGACCTTTCCCTACCATCCTACAAAAAAAAATCGCCTCCCGGACACTGGCCCTTTAAGACGTAAACCCGGAAGTCTTGCGTTGCCAGTCAACGTGCGACTGAACTGTCACCACAAAATCAGAGCTGCTTGTCTTATTCGTGCAGAATATTTACAACTTTAGACCTTTGACCGTGTCAGTGTTGTGTTACGCAATATTCCCTGCACACTAGTGTACGCAGGCGTGAGAGAAAGGGTGTGATAAAGTGAATCAAATTAAAGGCAGGTGCACTGAGCTATGAGAGAAAGTGTCGCTGTGTCAGTGCTGGAGATTACACCTGATCCCCTAAAGGACTGAAGACAGAGTCAAGTCTAGAGCTCACAGTAAACCATGTCGACCCCGAGCAGACAGACCAAACACTTCATCAGCGGGGTGGTGGAAGGTAAGAGGACTGGGACCAGTGACTCAAACTGGACCTCTAGATTTAGATCCCAGTGATATTCCAGTGCAGGTCTTCAACAAGGATATGAACAAACATTTAACTGCAAGTTTCCAGAACAGAAATCCGTTATAATCAGAGTAATAGATTTATATATGAGCCCTCCTGCTAAGAGTTTTTGTGCATTTCCTGACCTCATCTTCCTGATCCAGGTTTTTATGGGCGACCATGGACTATGGAGCAGAGAACAGAGCTGTTTAAAAGGTTTGTTATGAATCCCTGTAAGATGTGTTAGGACTGTGAAAAGCAGTGTTAACAAGAAAGTCCAGTTCATATGAGTTATTAAGCTATTCTTCCATTTTCACCTCATAAAAAGCAGAACTGACAAAACTCTGATGTGGTTTATCTCTTGTGTGTCACAGAGAGCAGAAGTGGGGTTTGAACACGTACCTGTACGCCCCTAAGGATGACTACAAACACAGGATGTACTGGAGGGACCTGTACGCACCTGAGGAGGCAGGTAAGTCATCCCCAGCAAATTTGAAGGTGATGTAGGAGCCAAAATATATTTGTTTAGTTTGATTTCTAATAGGTACGTCACGTCCAGGGAAGATCACTGAGCATGTGGTTTTGGGATGTTTGGCGGGTTAATTAAATCTCACAGGTGTAGTCAGACGGGGGTTTTGGTAAGCGCTCATAATTTCCTGTTTTTCATCGGTTTTTATTGTTTTCACCGTTTCATTGATCCTGTTTTAACCTCATTTTATCTTATCACTTTTTCATTCGAAAGGAAATGTTTTGGAGCTGGATCAGCGTGTTTTCGTTCCTTTTTTGAACAATAAATACATTTTTTAACACTCAAACCAGACTGATAATTGAACGCGTCACATATGCAAGCGAACCTAAACCCCAGCAGCCTTTTTGTTGAGGGAAAGCAGTCGCTACAGGTGATCTGAGCACACCTGAAAACCAAACAGGCACAGGACCTCAAACAGGACCCAGAATCTATTTGCTGAAAAGAAAATAGTATTTCTCTAATCTCATGCATTATTGTCTTCCTGTTAAACCAAATGTTCTTCAAAATTTCTCATCTCTCTATTTCTTTCCAGAGCAACTCATCAACCTGATATCAGCAGCGAAAAAACACAATGTGGATTTCGTCTATGCAATCTCTCCTGGTCTGGACATTACTTTTTCCAACCCCAAAGAGGTGTCTGCCCTGAAGAGAAAGCTGGAACAGGTACGAGTTTATGTGCTCATATAAAGGGTGGAGTGCAAGAGATAATTCAATCTGAGGTGTTTTTATAGCTCTAAAGTAGGGCAACAGGCAAATGATGACACTGACACTGAAGCGAGTGGTGACAACAACTTTATTTACATGGAACTTTTGAAAATGAGGGTTTACAAAGTATATCGCAAAGAAACCAGAAAAACCTTGAAGAGACCGCAGGAGCTTAAAAGACAACTCTGGGACTACTAGGAGGTTCCCACCTGAGGATCTGTGGCTAGTTTATATGATGCGGGTTGCTCTTCTATGTCGCATGGAGCCAGGTTATTAGTGCTTCAAAGTTATGAAGCTGTAAAAGTCTCTTTTTCACGCCTCATGGATCCACAAACCCTAAACTGTCCTTTGTCTCCCTCAGGTGAAGGAGTTTGGCTGCAGGTCCTTCTCGCTGCTGTTTGATGATATCGAGACAGAGATGTGTCCCGCAGATAAACAGGCCTTCAGCTCTTTTGCCCACGCTCAGGTGTCCATCACTAATGCGGTTTACCAGCACCTGGGAGAACCTGAGACCTTCCTCTTCTGTCCTACTGGTCAGGCAGTGGGAGAAAACTACAGCTGAATGAATATACTTTCCTCATCTGTCTCTGTGAAGTAACATTTATTCTGCTTGTGTCCTTTCAGATTATTGTGCTGCATTCTGCACCCCAACAGTTCCCCAGTCTTCTTATCTGAACACGGTGGGTGAGGGGCTGCTGCCTGGGATTGACATACTGTGGACAGGTGAGGCAAAACACAGAGTTAAGATCTTTTGTTATTGTGTTTTTACAGCATAGAAAATGCTGGTTTTAACTTTTTATCATTCTCTCTCTCTTTTGTATGCCGCTCAGGTCCCAAAGTGGTGTCCCACAAAATCTCTGTGAAGTCCATAGAAGAAGTGACCTCTGTTCTGAGGAGGCCACCCGTCATCTGGGACAACATCCACGCCAACGACTACGACCCCCAAAGACTTTTCCTCGGGCCCTTTAAGGTCAATTGAAAAACTCCTCTCATGTTTTTATTCGTCTGTATGTGCTCCAGCCTGGTCTCCCTATTCTAACTGATCCAGTCTCTCTTTCAGGACCGTCCCACTGAGCTGATCCCCAAACTGAGAGGAGTCCTCACCAACCCCAACTGTGAATTCTACCCAAACTTTGTGGCCATCCACACACTGGCCACATGGTGCAAAGCAAACTCTGAGGGGGGACAGAAAGATGTGGAAATGGGTGAGGAAACAGCACTGTTTATTTTTATTACAGTTATTTATTATTTCAATTATTGGATTTTTTTAAAGAGATGAACTTGATTATGCAACAAAACACTTCATAACACCCCATCAAGCTACTTCATGTTTCAGTTCTGGAGATATTTTTCCCTTTATAACCACAGCAAGGCTTTACATACTGAGTTTTCAGTGCAAGTTTTTTAGTGGAACTACAGTATAGTTGATATTTGGAAACACTGGTGTATGTGCTGTCAAATGAAGCCCTTATTCTCTCTGCTCCCCATCACCAGCTGATGAGGAGCAGGACTCGTGCTATAGCCCCCAAAAAGCCCTGACCCTGGCCCTCACCGACTGGCTGCAGGAGTTTCTGAGCACTGATCAGCCTGGAGGTAAAGTATTATCAGAGCAGCAGGAAATTTAGTGAGATACAGTGGAATCAAGGTGGGTCTAACTTTGGTCTCTTAATCCCTCAAGGTCCTTGTCTCAAGTCCCGTTTTAAGAAAGAATCATCTGATGAAGAGCCCATGCAGACAGATGTAGGAGAGGGTTCCTATATTCCTAGCCCAGAGGAGAACCCACTGTACACAGCAGAACCCCTGACCCTGGAGGACCTGAAGCTGTTGTCAGATCTGTTCTACCTACCGTATGAACACGGGCCCACAGCCAGGAGCATGCTGCAGGAGCTGGACTGGCTCAAGAACAACAACGCAGCCGCTGCTGCAGAGACAGACAAGGTGGTGTAACAATTCGTTTTTTCAACAATCTTTTTATGGTCAGCTGGAACTACACCAAAGATGGCAGAGTAGGCATTAGGCTGCACATTTAAGGATAGTGCTTGTGAAAAATTTCTGAAAACTGCTGACCAGTAACATGTGTGTTAGTATTGGCGAGAAAATATGACATCTGCTACAATTCTCATCCACCTCAGGGTTAATTCAGGCCAGCCGACACCTGGAGAGGTGGGTACGGTGTAAAACTTTAAACTGAATTACACCTAGCCTAGAACATGAAGAAGGTGCATTAACTCTTTTCAGAGCTTCAGTCCAGGATTCCTCACGTAATACATCCCCAAGTGGTGCGGCATTTTAATTCATAAAAACAGATCATGATGCAGTGAACGAGCTAAAACTTGTACTCTGCTTCCAGACAGTGGAGTGGTGCTCGAGGGCGCAGCAGTTCGATGACATGTGTGAGGCTGTGGTGCAGATGTTCAATCGCCTGTCCAACGCCCCCAACCGCAGGATTCTGTACGACCTCTACAACTACATCTGTGATATCAAGAGCGGGGTCGGCCTGGCCCGAGCCTACGTGAAAACACTTGGTGAGGAGACAAGAGCGTGAAAGCTGACAGACTCATGTGAACAACACAGATGGTTGAGGAAAAAGTTGTTGCAGCATGTGAAGGAAGAGAAATATCAGCCCCCTGAATGTCATATGTGTACACTTTGCGACGTGTATCATTGCAAACCAAAGAACATAAAGTTACCTAGGCTCACCTCTCCACCCCAGTGCAGGTGAGTCTGCCTCTGATATAACTTACCGGATTTTAAACACAGTGCCCACATGACCCAGCAAAACCAATAGCAACCACACAAAAGTAACGGAACACAGGATAACCGATAAGCAAAGCATTATTATGGCTCCTTCAATCATATCCTCGACTGAGCCTGGCGTATCATGTTGTGTATTTGAAGTTTGAGAAATGTCACCTCATGAATTTGAACTTTATAAGGCGTACTAAATATAGCTAATTCAATTTGCTGCTTTTTTTTTTGCTCAGGAGGACAGGGTCGGCCCTCAGCCCAGCTCATGAACAACGATCCTGAACCCTGGGGCTTCAGGGGAGGCCTCTCTGGAGAGTTTCAGGTAACTTGTGTCCAAAGAGAGTGAGAAAATTTTTATTCATAGTTTGTGATCTCTTTGGAGCTCTGCATTAAGACATGGTTTTGTTTCTGGAACTCTCCATGAGCGTGAATATTCCTCCTATTTGTTTCTGTAGAGAATGCTGCCCTGTCATGGAAACAGAGACCTGTTCAGACATCCACCCATGACAGCAGTTTACTGCATACGGCCATACTGCCCTGACGACAAGGTAGAGATAAAACATCCTCACAGATTGTGATCATCTTATTTGTTAAAACAAAGTTCTTTGTTACACGTTGTTGTGTATCTATCCCAGATGGAGGTGAAGAAGATTTTCAGGGAGATGCAGAGACACCAGATGGTGCAGCCTGCACTGATCTGCGACAGGTGAGGAGCTGGTCTCTTCTGTTGTCGTATATTTATGCTCACATTATCATCCCCTCTGTCCCTCTGCAGCCTGTCAGCAGGTGAGATCTCTCCATCCCCTCAGTGTGCTCTTGTCCTGGAGGATGATATTGGCATGTGTGGTTATGCTCTCGCACTAACTGACGCCAAACCAGCCGCTGCAAAGATTCAGGTCATCATCTGTTTTATTCCACTGTTTGTAGAAGACAAAATGAAGATAGGATGCAGTGCTGCTCAAAGTGTTTTATTCTTTTTCATTCCTCTAGAGGGCTGTAAGTGACTCTGAGTTGAAGGACTTCCCCTCCCTGCTCACCGTACAGGTGTTGCCCCGGGTCACTGATCCCTCAACAGCCAAGCGTATGATTAGTTGGTTGTTGTCCTCCATCAGGAGCTGCGGTAGGTGGAGACTGAACTTGTTGCTATTCTTAGAGAGGTCTCATGGAATTGACCTGTGGTTAATTCACAAACTGAGGTTTAACAGTCTACATACTCTCCACAAGGAGGCGATGTCCTGTCATTATTGGCTGGGTTAGCTAAACCTTTAAAAATACTGATAACTCCTCTCTCACAACTTTAAAGGTTCTAAAGGAGCTTTCTGTGAGCTGAGGCAGGGCGATCAGCGGATGCTCCACTTTTACACCAAACTGGGCACCTTCAAACCCATAAAGATGGCCGGTCTGCCTCAGGACATCATCGCTATGGGAACGAGCCTGTGAACAAGATCAATCAAGACTTTCCTGAGGTTTGTTTTGCCACACTGGTCCTGTGGTATCACTTTAATGAATAGCTGCTGTCTTTTAAAAGCATGTGGGACTGCACTCTATTCTCAGTTTTAATCCATTCACAGTTATTTGTGTAATGTGGTTGTTAATTTCTTGAATGACACTGCTGATTGATAAACAAAGCTTGAGGAATGACTGTATGTTGAAAAGTCAGGTCTCGTCGATATGACATTAAAAATGTGGGATTATTTTCTACTTCAAGGTGTCAAACCCCTGCACAAAAATAAAAACATGTCAACAACATCAAATTTTAGATTTCTTGCATTTCGCTCAGTTGTGTTGGTGTGAAGACACATTAAACAAAAGATGTCAACAAAGAGTAGATATTTTAATTCTTTGTGTTTGAGAGAGAGTGTAAACTCAACAACATTATGCCAACAGTTGAATCTTAAATTGCTTGTCTTCCTGTAGTTTAAGAAGCAAATAGTGTTCAGTTTCACTAAATATCTGAGCAAATATTTGACATGGATAATGAGGCAGCAGGAGTTATGCATTAAAAGAATAGACACAGTCCATAAATATAAAACTGATAAATATAACGTCAGTGTGTCTGAACAGAGAAGGCAAATCAGAAAGTAATCGGTTTTGTAGTTCAAGTATAAAAGGATATTCTGTCTTCTGTTTTTTTTCACTCTGTTTGAATCTGTTTCACTTTGTGCCCCTGAGTGTCTGACCAGCAGAGTCTGACTGCAGAAGAGGAGATCCACGTCACATGAAGAGAGATTAGAGTATAAGCAGGGGTATAGTATCAACTGTTGAGCTCAAAGGGATATTCTGGCATAAATTTAAGTTAGGGTCAAACACAACATAACACAGAGTTAGACACCCCTTCGAGAGATGAATATGGCCAACTGCTTCCTTCTCTATTTATACTAACTTCAGCAGCGTCCGCACGATAGCAATACACAGCGGCCTATGTCTCCACGCGCAAATCTCAACCAAAACACCACTCTATAGCCACAAATAATGCTCAGAACAGCACCTAACTTCATCAACAGTACATATAGGGTCCCAGCCAAACATATTTTAGCTTTGCCTGGTTTCTTTAGCAAAGAGACTAAACACAACTCACCCACTCTCCTCCAGCAGCCGCTGGGAGCCCTGATAAGTCGATCACCGAGTGCAGCGGAGTTTCACAGCTCAAGGAAGAACATTTGTGATCATTACTTCATGGAAATGCAATCAGACCGAGATGCTAAGGCAGAAAAACTACCACGTCTGCAGTGTAAAATGATTTTTATGATGATTCTTTCTTCAAGGAAATGATTTGTGCGTGGAGACGTATACCGCTGTGTTTTGCTATCGTGTGGTTGTTACTTAAGTTGGTATAACTAGAGAAGCAAGCAGTCGGCAACATTCATCTCTCAAGGGGGTGTCTAACTCGGTGTTATGGTGTGTTTGACCATAACAATTTTCACCGGAGTATCCCTTTATACCAACTTACTCCAAACTCAAAACTTGGTCTAGACCAGGATTTGTTTTCTATTTCAATCTATCCGAACCATCCAGCTGGCAATCATTCTTCCTCGTGCATAAAACATCAAATATTGTGATAAACATGTTGCTCTCTGTGAGCACACACAGGGTCTGAAGAAGAAAGTCTGAGAGACCGCTCATAACCACACCTGTGATACCCGTTAATTTAACGGGCGTGTCAGGCTTTCCAGAGAAACCTGGGTGTGTCAGACTTGCTCCGCGATTTACCCTCAGTAAACAACAGGCATTCATTTTAAATTTCCTCCCCAACTCTTCTCAAATATCATTAGTGTGTAAATAAGTTTTTAATGGTTAATAAAAGTATCAGTCTGCAATCTATGAAAGGATGTTGTTACCCCTGGAAAAATATGAGAAAACTCATCTGGTGTTTGTCTACCGGACTTTTCTGACTGGTGTGTGAAAATGCCAACAACTTTATTCACACCTTTGCTGAACTGGAAAGAGAGTTTGTGTTTTGTGGTGGTCTGATACTCTCCTCCTCCTGCTTCCTTCTCTTCATCCTCTCAGTTATCAGAATAATTACTAAATCTTAAACTTTGGGTCACTTGTCTTATTGCACAGTAGAACTGGAGGGGAATGTAGTAATTAGCACTTGATACAATCCTGTTGGTGTGTGCGTGAAACCCGGCAGCCTTGCTTCTTCAAATAAACTCAAACCCTTCATACTTTACATCTCCTATCTTTGTCTCGGGCATCAGCACCCGACCGTCAAGCGTAAATGCGATGATGTATGTGGCGATCCTGCCTGCATCCTCCTCGGATTTCAGAGCCACGATGATCTGATCATCTGTGTCCGGGACAAATTTGAAGGAGGAGAAGCCGTGTGTGGGGTTGTGCGGTCCAACGTGGCGCACTGTTATGTGACTGAAGTCTGCAGGGCAGGATAGGAGGAGGTTTGTGGCACGCCGCTCGTCTGCTGTCTCGTCGTAATGCTCGTGGCTGGCACGGCGAGGGAGGAAGAACCATCGCTGGAGACGCTCGCTCCATGCTGCTGATTCGTGGATAAGGTAGCCTTTGGACAGGGAGAGAAGTAAAGGAGAGATGACTGAACGAGCGACCTGAGTATCATGAAACTGTATGAAAATGTGAGCACCATTTACAGGACGAGTTTGTCCCTGCAAGTTTTATTTTTTGAAGTGGAAACATTTTTACACTCTTCTTCATCTGTTAAGACACGGTTCTAATTAGACACAAACCTGGTGGTTGGATCCCTGTTGCTCCTCTCAGGGCGTTGTAATGTGGCACCCAGTTTTCATGCTTCACGTCACCATGATAACCAACAACTTTCACCCACTCTGGGTGGTTGTTGACAACCTCCCCTGAGGTCGTGGTCCATTCCTTCCCCAGGCCGCCAACATACAGGTGCTCATCCTTCACCGCCAGCCACTCTGCCTTGAATCCTTCACAGAGGAACAGAAGAGACGGGTAAGAAAACAAGCACCATGTCTTCAATAGATGAAGTCACTCTTAGTTTTCTACTGAGATTTAAAGGCATGGTTGACGATTGGAGAGATTGGTAATTATTATGAACCTCGCTTATATGGCGATCATGGTCCTATAGTGCAATCTCCACAAAGTCAAGAGAAAAAAAGAATGGAAACCCCAGCAGGTGCAGGGCTGCAAAAACATTGACCAATGGGAGCCATCAGTCCCGGACAGCTCCTATTGGTCAATCTCCTGCTCCTCCTCTCCATCCAATCACCTCGCTGTATTTGACACACCCCTCTCCCAAATTTCCAACTCGTCGCCTCCCACTCTACTGCCCCTCCTCGGAGCTCTGAGCGGCTAAAAGTAGCGTAGCAGCTTAGCTACAGGAGCTGTGATTGAGAAGGACGGAAAAAAAAAAACAGTTCTGCTTGCCCCAATACCAAAAGTGGGAAGAAAACGCAAACGACAGAAGACGGGGCAGAGACAAAGAGGAAATGTGACCAAGAGAAATCTAACTTGAATAAACATCGGGTGATCCTTCGATCGGTGGAGAAAGCTCCACCAGGATTTGGGCCTGAAAACAGACGCCGAGACAGCAGAGTTCTTGTTGAACAGGTAATTTTTATCACCTTTTATCGGGGCACATGTTACATAACTAACTCTTATCATTCTCTGCAATGTCAACACAGTAGCTGTCCAGGCAGCTGCAGATGGTGCTCGCTATCGGAGCTGGCATTTACTGCTGCTAGTCACACGCAATCTGACATGGTGAATCCTAGTTGAAGCTAGCGTAGGATCTTCTGTCAGCCAGCTTCTTGCTCTGTCAGAGGGGGTGTGTCGTGGGGAGGGCGATTCAGGTTCTGTGAGAAGTTATCGTGGAGCAGGATTATTTCAAATCTGCCTCAATGGCTCAGTTTTTTTCAACTGCTTCTCAGATCGTCAACCATGCCTTTAATGCAAACTGAAAGGGATATCTTGATATCTTGGCCCATCAACAAAGTTTGGGGTTTCTGTTTTTTGTATTTTCTCCTTTCTCTTCTCTTTACTGGATGGACTGCATCATACATGTGCTAAAGGGCAAAGGGCCTGATATGACCCAGATGTTTCTGTTCAGACTATGCTTTATTGTTGTACCAGTCAGAATTGAAGCAGAAAAACATTGAGACTTTTGAGTGCTTTAAACAAAAACGCCACTAACCTTTAGAGACAGAGCCATCACCGTCCGGTAAAATAACCCAGGGAACAGCCTGATTGCCCTCAATTCTGTATACAACACCTGTACGGTCATCTACACTGTACAGGTGACCATTAAAGGCAACCAGCTCAGACAGCTCCATACCTGCAATCAATCGAACATGAAGGAAATCAACATGCTGAACACGTAAACAGCAGAAGTTTTATACCAAACAATGACGGACCAGTGTGTACGGATTTCCCTACCTCGTCCTTTCTCAGCCAGGTGACTCTCCAGAGTGACCCTCTCGGCATCCCACTCCACTTGCAGCATGTCTGCGCTGTCTGACACAGTCAGGTAACCTCTTTTCATGTAGCTGATCCATGTCTGGTCTTTAGAGCTCCTGGAGGCTGTGTCCAGATCAGCGATCACAGCGATGCGGTAACGTATCCCCTGACTTGTCCTCTGGGGTGGACTCAATGGGTAAGTGTCATTGTAGGGTTTTTCCCTTCTCTTGTGTCGGGGAAGACTCAGGGCAGCTTGTCTGTTAGAGTCCCTGAAGGGGTCATCCCCACCTTCATGATGAATTTGCAAACCTGAAGCCCTGTTGTGGTAATATCCACTCGGCGCGGTATCTCTGTCCCCTACCGTCCTGTGTAGGTACAGCATGAGCACCAAACCAAGTAGGGTGGCCACAGTGATCGCTCGCCATTTAGGGTGGAAGCGTGAGTCCGAGGTGGTGGCTTGTTTCATGGACGCCAAGGCCAGGGGAAGGCCTCGGACGGCTACGCTAAAGGAGGTCATGGAAGTTTTGTTGTCATTTTCCCTCTTTGGCTTGGACTGGAGTTGAAAACCACTAGAGCCTGGGATTGGACAAAGAGCAGAGAGAAGAAAAACAACAGCAAAATGAAAATTTAATCCCAAATTCTTTACGTAAAGAAACCCACTGCACTTAATCCACAGTATTTCTTTATCTATTCAAAGCAGAGTTAAAGTTCATGACATGGTGCTCCATACAGTGACCTGGAAAAGAACTCATTATAGAGGAATTTGATCACGATTTATAACGGTAATGTGCTGTTAATTTCAGGGAAACTTTTTCTCAAGTTTGAATTAAAAAAGATGAAAAGATGAAAACAATAGCTGCAGAGGATGAAAGCCTGAATTCGGGGGGAAGAAGAAAGCATGTAGGAAAAAAAAGGCTTTTGTTCTCATTGTTCTTTGTTCACAACACAGCTTTGTTGTGTTGTTCATGCACAGCCTCTAATGTGCACGCTGAGTAGGCTGCTGGCACGTCCTACATCCCGAGCCTCAAATTTGATTTTAGTGCCCTCAATTTCTGCCAATAATATTGATTGTTGAAGGGTCCTAAGCAGGTGTTTAGCTCACTGATGCCTTGGACCAGCTCTGCCAAGGACAGTGGGACTTCAGATAAACCATGCTCAGTTCATAGGTTAATGTCAAGTTATTGGATCTGAGGGGATTACCATCTCTACCAATAAGGTGGTGCTATCTGTACAGTCAGTGAAATGCTTAGATGTATATGGGTGTAGTACATGCCTTACGTGCCTTAAGTTAAATATCGATGAAATTTTGTGGTATTGTTCAACACGGGCGAAAACCCTTAAAGTTTACACCACATCCAACTTACACAGAAGCAAACTAGACTGCACTCTGATTTAACTTTGAGATAATGTAAACATTTCTTCTTCGTGGACATATTTTTAGGAAGTTATTTAATAACCATCTAAGCTCAGGATGATGTTTCTGTTCGAGCAACTCCGTTATAACATGATAACAGAGTGATATTTGGTTTTCCAGGAGTGTGCTGAGTAAATGAAGAACTCCCAGGTCATAAGTGTATGATAAATGCTCGGCACAAGAATACATGATGATACACACCTTACATCATTCTGTGCAGACAAGATTACATATTAAAGTGTTTTGTCCTGTTGGAGGTTTCTGCTTTCTGTCATCTTGTTGCATCTGAAAATAATTTGCCTTATCACCCTGTCTGTCATAGGGCTTGGTAATAAACCGAAAATTTACCAATACCAAAATTTACGTCAATAACCAACGTCATTTTGCCCATGTCAATATATTTGGTGTCAAAACAATAAACAAAAGTTTGTTTTGGATGTGTGTAGGTAGGCTATGGTCTCATGTCCCTGTAAGACGCTGTCCTATGTTAGAGACGTGACTCCACACCATCCAGTCTGTTACAAAGAGGGAAAGACAGGTGAGGAGATGGAGGACGGTTCAAAAGTTGTAGCTGCTGAAGTAGACAAAGTTAATGTGGGAGGGGGTGAGCAGCTTGTGGAGTAGTTATCGTCCATTTATTGTTATTGAGGTGAACTGCTCAATATAACGTAATATTGATTTGAGGCCATATCGCCCAGCCCTACCCTGTCGTCTGTTCACTTCTTTGTACTTCATTTAGCCTTCTTATTAAAGTTACAGTAACAGGGACTCATCTACAGTTTGACACATAATTCCAGCAAACTACCAAATCTGAAACTGTGCAAATAATAAGAGAAATGCGATCTACAATTTCCTCTGAAGGTCTATCTAGAGCAGAGAAGGGTCAGTATTGCCTCTGAAAACTAACAAAATGACAAAAACTATGAGGTCAGAATATTGCCATAAAGGAACTGTGATGTTTCATTCACCTCCCCCAAAAAGACAGTAGAGCGTTAACATGCCTGCTTTCACATAAGCTTGTTGTATAGAAACAGAGACGCTTGTCACTGAAATATGAGAGGTGAGAACAAGAGTGCCAAGGTGGCCCTCGACCTTTCTGTTGTCAAGGACAACCAACAACAAAGAATATCAGCTTCATCTCAGTTAGTGGTCAGTCAAAACTTTAAAATACTTGTAAAGCAAAAACCAAGCTGTTAGTATTCTGGATCTTTGTTTTGGTATTTCCCCACAGTCTAGTAAGCCATTATCTGAAAAAGGAATTACCTGCTTACAACATGACACAAAGTAGGCACAAAAACAAACACAGTCTACATAATGTGAGCTACACATTGTGGTAAAGCTGAAGCAAATTCTAGGTGGGACTGAAGCGGCGGTGCACTTATGTAATTAAGCAGATAAATCATGATCATTTGGCAACCCAGAATAGATGTCCCAACAGCGTCAACAAGAAGTTAGTCTCCATTTATCGAGCAATCCCAGCCTAAATGACAGTGTTCTCAGAGATGTAAGTGTAAACACCAACCACGGAGGAGACCAAATGTGCCAAGAGGCCATTACTGAAGTGAACAACACAACTTTAAATCTCATACAGATGGAGAGCATTATTCCCTGTTTTCTGCCTCTTCAGCTGCTTTCTAAACAAGCTCACGCCCCTTCAATAAGACACTCATGAACACACATGCATACATACAGCTAAAGCACACACCAAAGAAGCACGCTCTTGGCCAACATATAATGCCCTTATTGTCACTATTGAACACAGCCCCACTAGAGAATCCAATTATTCACCCTTCCTTCGCCTCTTCTCCCCTGGACAAGCAGCTACCATCATGCTGATCTCCTTCGCACGCATTCCACAACAAACTCCACATCCTCTCAGCCCTCGGACCCACATGAATAACAGATCTATATCTCAGACAGTCTCCTCCTCCCTCCTTGCTTTACACTATCTTAAGTTTCTAATCCTTACCTTTAGAGCTGGAAAAAGGGGCTAAGCTTTGACTAAAATCACAAGACTAAATCTATTCAAAAAGAACAGGTTTGAGCAGGCTAATCTCACATGTTAAAGGTACAGAATGTACAGTTTCAGCATATGTGAGATGAAGAGGGGGCAGGGACTGAACAAAAAGTTCTTGGACTATTGTATTAGTTGAGGTTTCCTTTATAATGGGGCCCATTTTTTAGGTGCAGCTGGATGCTAAAACACAGTATATAAGTAAATAATCCCTTAAAATTCTTAGATGTGTAGTAGTTATTAAAAAGGGGCATTTTCCTACCTTTGCTTTTTCATATACCCGCTGGAATTAACAAAACAACCAGATTTCAGCTTCATATGTGTAAAATTTTTGCCTTCCTCTATTCACAGAAGCTTAAATGTTTGAGTTTCACTACTATGTAAATAATACACTTCTAGGTTTTGTTTAATGAGGGTCTATTTGTCTATCTGACTGTGTCTACGTGACATATGTATTTATGATGTGTACTGTATGCTCAACAGAGGTTAGTTTGAGCCAAACCCTCATTAAGAAGGTTTAACTTTGAATAGTAAATAACACATTTATATGGATTTAACTGATGGGACACAGAGTTAACAGAGTATTACATGATAATAAGACTGAGAAATAACAGTAACAGCTTTTGTACTCATTCACATATGTTACTCGTTAGTTTGGATGCCAGCTGTAATGTAAATACACCCTGCTAGTGTCAACAGAGAGCCACGAAAGCAGACGGACATGAGTCACTACAGCAACACCGGTAAACTCTGACCAGGTGGCACTAAACTCAACAAGACTTAACACCTTTAAACTCTATAATGTCTCAATCACTCGACAGTTAAAGAAAATACAGCAAACTTCTCACAAACACAAAAGTTGTCAGTTTTTTTGTACTCGAATGAGCGACACCGGTTCTGTTCTAAAATGTTACCCAGAAAGCTAACGCCAGCTAATGTTAGCTGCCTCCGCTGGCTAGCATTAACCTTCGCCAAGCTAGTTCCAGTGTGACCGACAAACTCCGACCTGGCGCTTGCTGGAGTTAGTTTGGTCTCTAGTTTTTATCTGGTGACAGTGGAAACCTTAAGGCTTACCGAGTGCAGAGGGTCCTCGGGTCTCCTCCTTTGGCCATATTTGCTGGACTGTTCGGGTAACGTCAGCGGTTTGTGGGCGATTAGCTCCTCCTGTCTGAAGACTCGGAACAACTGAAAATCCTCTTTAACTCTTGACCGCTGTGTGTCAGAAACTGAAGGACTCAATTTAAATATTTCTTCACAACAGTGGAGGACAGTGCATCACTTCCTATTAAAACTGCTCATTTTTGTTGCCGTTATCCTTGTTGGATTTAAAGGACAAAATTAGTCAATTTAATATCAGTAGGGGAGAGTGGGGTGAGTTAAACCAAAGGGTAAATTGAGCCACCCCCTGTTTTTTTTGAACCAGTAAAAGAATTTGATCATGTGACCAAATATTTAGGAGATGGGCATCAATTCATTGAGTCTGTGAAGGTCAGAAGCACATGGGTGAAGAGGTTAGACATTTATCCCCCCCCAAAAAAAAAAAAAAATTTTCACTCTTGAAAGTGAATTTAGTCTGTCCTAAGTTTTATTAGAATTGTGTTCAAACAAAAAAAAAAATCATTTTAAATTTGTTTTATACATCAATTGTGGTAGGGATACGGCTGAACTTAGCCCTCTCCTATGGTCAACTTACTCCCATACACGGGGTAAGTTGACCACTTTTTTTGGCATGCTATATTATCAAGACAGTTATGTTTTTCATAACTCATTCTGTTGGTTTGCAAGAATGCACGACATCTTGAAATACATGCAGATACACTAGTAAGAGACGAAATTATGATTGCCTTGATGTAGTGATCCGAAATATGAAAAATGTCTCATCTTACCCCACTCTCCCCTATAGCGTAAATAAGACTTTTTTTTCCAGTGGCCCTAATCCTCTTCTGTAGTTTTGGAATAATTCGGTTTAATGAATTATTAAGATAAAACCAACTCTTCTCAAATACAATCACATAGCTATGACCTTTGAAAAAAGCCTTTGTAACACCTTTCTAAGTTTCTAAGATTGTGTCTTGTGTTTGGCTGCAGTGTTCACAACACCTCTCTCACACAACAATCAACTGGCCTCTATTTTAAAGTGTGTAAAAAACCTCAATCTTTGAAAGTGCAGTTGCATTGAATAAATGCAGAATAAAAGCCATCACAACATAAAATGCAGGAGCACCACCAAATCAAAAGGGATTCAAACAGATTTTGGATCATTCAAAATACCTTCAAAAATGCATCACACTGTTAACCGCAAGTTTTTGAGCTTCACCTACACCATATGTGGGAATAAATCAAATATTTGTACAATCACATTTCATCAAGATGTGAATATTCATTAAAAAAAAAAAAGCAGCCAGCACAAATTCTCAAATAAAAATATTTATTGTAATGATTCTCTTCAAAATCTGAAATAATGATTAATAGCAGACAATAGTGTAAACATTACTGTAAACATTTATTTAATATGCTAGAATGAGGGTAGTCAGTAACAATGTGCATAAGCTTGATATAGTCCCATTTGTTCTTTACAATGTGCATATAGAAAAACAATATTAGGATCAAATAAAAGTGCAAATATAGTTTTGATTATCAACATTTTTCAAGTGTAGCAATATGTTAAAATTCCCTGGGTGACATATTTTAATTGTGGAGATTACAATTAAAAGCTACATTCGTTCTGTGCGTTCCATCAGTAAGATATACATGAGCTGCTACTCTTTTCCAACTCACTGACTTAGAGTTGTGGTGCAATGGTCACAGGAAAAAAAAACAAAGAACAGACAGTCCCGCCCTTACACCAACTATTGGAAATATGCCAAAACAAATAATGGACTCAGTATACCCGAGGAAAAGTATTTCCCGATGATAATGTTGTGCACTACAGCTTTTTGTAACTCAGCATGATAAGCCAAACCTGTAGTTAGTTTGAGAGAACAGTCATCCTTTAAAGTGGTTTAGGCACACAACGTCTTTGTAATACAATACTGTGGCTGGAAAATATGAAGCTTTGCTTGGACATTGTCTGACAGTATTGTCTACAGTTAACACAACTATCGAAACAGTAAACTGGACAGTCAACACAATCCATGCCACCTCAGAGTTAATCAGTGTGATAAGATGTTGCACATTTACCATTGTACAAACCTGAATGATGCATATTTTATTAGTATCAGTGCACAATGACTCCGTCTAGAGGTGTATGTTGATATGGAGGTATGTTGATTTCAGTAGACAGATCCAAGACTGCCACCTCAGCTCTTCCCCATCATCTTCAGGAGGAGCTGCAGAGAGGGAATATATTCAAGTTTATTTATTTAGAATTGTTTGACCAGGTAAGCTTCATTAAGATCACAAAACTCATGAGTTTTGGTTATAGAACAGCCCCAAGGTTTTCACTGATTTTGTAGAGCTACTAGAAATTGCAGGAAAGAAAAATCGTCTTAGGTTTGAGTGCATATACCTTAGTTAGATGATACTCTCCATCAACCAGTTGCTCAATGATACTGAAGTGGTCTGTGTTTGCTACATCCTCCATGCTGACATTTAGTCCAGATGCCTCGACAGTCTGCAAAGTCAGGACAAAGAAGTAAGGAAAAGGAAACATTCCCTACCATATAAAAATATGTAACGAAAAAGGATATTTCAATTTGTTCATTAAATAGTCTGGGTCAACGAAGAGCAGTAAAAAAGAACAACTTTAAAAAACAAAGGACTCGGGGTATGAGAGCTAAATCAAAGTAATAAAAATAGTGTCCATGTTCTTTTAAAAGCACTGACTTTAAAGTAATCTTCAGACTGCTTGCGAAATTCTGGTGAGTCATTCTCAGCGACGGCCACGACAATGTGACAGCTGGAGGAGGAGAGTTTGAGCTGAGGGACCAGCTTACTGGGGCTGTTCCTCAACGCCACCTCTCTACAGACAGGAGACAACCAGAGGGTCAAACAGGGACTGGTACCACAGAGCAGCTCAGGACAATCACAGTCACACACACAGATACAGATGCAGACAAAGAGCTGTATATGTGCTGCTCCTTCACTACAGACAACACTTCTACACACACACAGTTGTACTTGAATGTACTTTTCTAAATTAATTTACATGCAAAAAAACAAAACAAAAATGGATTTCTGCAGGGAGTCTCAGCCTTATCTGGAACATAATCCTAATCTCAGGATTAAATCCAGGGGAGTAAGATTTGTCAGGCTGTTGTTGTTGTGTAATCGAGGAGCTCATACTGTAGCATCTTACAAAGATTTAGCATGTCATGACAGAAACCCCTATTTTTAAAACAAAACAACACAAGCTCAGAGAAGTCTATTTAACTAATCTGTGCAGGCGTTAAGAAGAAAAAGAAGAGAAAATAGGATTACAGTGAGTGATTAGTTTAAAAGGAAAAAAGCAATAATCCCATTGTTTAGTTGGTCTATAATCTGAGTATTTCCCTAAACCTTCCCAGACCACCACAACCAGTAGTGAACTGGTGAGGATCCTTCGATGTTCATCATCAGTCATGTCAGACTGTTTAGGAAAAACTACAAATAAAATCCAAGCAGCAGGAAAGAGGAACTGCCTTTTATTCTATCTATTTTTCCTTTTAGTCAAAGCCTGGTGCGTACATTTCTCATCGTGAAACTTCTGTCAAAGATTAGAGTGTGTTTTTCTGCATAGGCTGATGTTGCATTAAGATAGTAGTGACAGGAGTCTCAGCTATTTTTAGTGATTCGGGTTGTTTGGCTCTGGTATGCAGTATTTTGGTATTCTGAGGACATATTCTGGTCTGTGTTGTTTCACTTTGAATGTGAACTATCTGGAATGAGAAGAGGAAGATAAACTAAAGCATAAGTCTTATGTCACTGCACTTATCCAGACTTGCCTTCAGTGAAGATTGGGAAACGATGAAGAGAGTTCAGTAATGCAGCTATTTATGATGTTCTGCCTCTGATTTGGTTGCGTCTTGCTGTGTTGTTGTTTTAACCCTCTGTAAGTCTATGCTAGTGTTGTCAAGTCTTAACTGTAAGCCTATTGTTGTGTTTGCCATGTCTTGTATATCTATTTAGCATTAATTCGCCAAACTTTTTTCATAGACTGTCAGTGCTGTTGTTAGTGTCTTGGTTTTAAAAGCTGCGTGGTTGTCTTTAAACATGTAAACAAATATAAATCAATGTACAAAGTTCAGTTGGTAACAAAATAGGGAACATACTCTGTCATCTTTAAAGGCTCATTAACATAGGTGGACAGGATGGGCAGAAGGTCATATATGCCACTGACCAGGAAAGCGCCTAGAAGACAGAGAAAACAATTCAAAGTTACATCAGCATGAATCTTTGCCTCAGTTTTGTAGCCATGAGTGACTTTAATAATTTTGTAATTCAATCATAATTGAATATCACTTCTGTTTGAACCTCACCTTTGATCTGAGGAGTGATGCTGTATTCAGACCAGTCAGTGGAGAGGACCATGGCAGCCAAGTGAGCCCCCGCAGAGTGACCGCACAGGTACAGACCACTGAGGGGGATCAGAAACAAATCATTGGAAACACACTGTGGATTTGTAACGATGGAAAAAGATGAACTCACACGGGAACAGGAGTGGGTACCTGATGTGAGAATACTGCTGAACAACAGACACAACACTCTTGCGGACCTGCGACACCATGAGGTCCATGTTACCTTGAAAAAGGAAAACAGGCGCATGCAGAGGTCATTATCAGAAAACATTATTTCCCACAAAACTGCAAGTTTTTTTTGTATTTAAAGTCCCTACCTTTGGGAGCGATGTCATACCCGACTGCAACAACCACTACACCTTTGTCAACAAGCGGCACAGCCATGAATCCTGACTCTTCCTTACTGAATCAAGAGGAAGCATCAACATAAAAACATGTGAAAAAGCATATCACGCATTTTTGCCATACTGTATGTGATAAAGATGAGAGTGTAACCGTGTACCTGAGAAACTGCCAGTAGCCTCCGTGAATGTAAATAACAAGGGGGACGTCTGAAACAGAGGGAATCACACCTGTTAATCTGCATGTGTGTGTATGTCTAGACCCTGATAACAGGGTGAGATTAAACTGTCGCTCATATCTCATATACGTACCCAGAGACTGTGTGCTTGGTATGTAGACATCCAGCTTCTCTCCATCTCCCTCTCCATATGGAACATTAAGCAAAGTTTGGGCCAGACCACGGGCTCGCTCCGTCCCTGAACACACACAGAGGTAAAGCATCTAATCATATCTGGTTAAATAAAGTGTCATATCAGCAGCCAGATGGTATAAAAATGTGTGCCTCAGAGTCTGGGACAATCATTGCCGAATTTTGTCCCAGGCCCAGACAATATTCGGCATTTCTGTTCTATCGGTTCATTCATAGGAAGTGTTTCATGGGGCCCCATGCAAGCCCACCAGTTTGGGGTTCAGGTCATGAACACAACATGCTCTATTCAAGTTTGGCTGTGGACTTTTGTTGGATGTCATGCCCCATCTTCTACCCCTCTCTTCCTGTTAACCCCCTGCTGTCAGCTCCCTAATAAAGACATCAACTCATGGGCTGGGGGGAAATATTTCTGACACCCTTATTCTCCAATTATCCCCATTTCCATCTCCACAAATCTGACACATATGTGCATGTCACATTTACAAACACTCTTTGTCCTTACACTGATAGCACATGTACATGAATGAGGGACATGAGTTAGGGCTGGGCAATAAACAGGAAAAAGTTTATCACGGTATAGTTTTTCATATCAGTTGATATCGATACGTATCACGATATAAAAAAGTCACATGTCAATCTTAAATGTTCCTTGTTACTCTTAAATGAAATTTAACAGTGTTTATTGGTAGCATGTCTTTTGCAATACAATAAGCTACTGCATCTGCCTCAGTCCAACCTCAAAAACCAAAATACCTCCACACCACCGACATTTTCGTGCCAGTGTTGTCGACGATGTCATCCTCTGTTGAGCCTTCATCTACATTTCTGACTGGGGTACCACTCTTTTTTTTTCCCTTCAAGGTGCTATGGTCGTAGCTGCAGCCTGCTAATACACAGTTGTTTGCTACTTGGTTCGGCACATGATCAGATCCGCGCGGCGTGACCCGGAGCAACTCCCCTTTTCATTGGCTATTGGTATAGTCTACCAAAACATGGCGGAATGCAGACTATAGAAAAGCATATTGACCATGTTTTACATCGATATCGAGGGAAATTAATTTTCGATATTGTTATCGTTTTATCGTCCAGCCCTAACATGAGTGTAGTTTTTAACCACAAGTTGCAGGTAAAGATGCTGATTCAAATTACTCAGAAGGCAAAAATAAGCCCACTAGTAAACCTCAAATAGCAACAAAGTGTGCTTGCTTACTGATGTCTCAATCCTGTGTTTAAATAAATGAATGGAGAGAACCTTTTCATACATTTTTAGTTCTGTGTGGACGTTTATCTACAAGCGAAAGGGTGTTTTAAAGGCTTCCTATTTGTACATAAATGAAAAAACCTACCTACACTCTTGACAGCTTCATTTCCTTTGAGAATTTCCACACAATAAATCAGCCAGTGCTACTTGTATTCCCAAGTAACTAGCCCATAGCCTTTGACTGATACATTTTGTTGTTAAAGGTGTTAACTATGAGTTATATTTTATCGTAGTTTCTATCATTTAAACACACACACATCAATAACCAACAACTGTTATAACAATTTAAAAGTAATGTGCTCTATCTTGAGTCTGAAATTTTGGAAGCAGACTTTCACCGGGATATAATATTTTGCATTACACCTGTGTCCGGCCTGCCTATTCGCCCTGACGGGATTTCTGAGTATTGTTGAGTGAGCAGCGACCAAACAGACTGACCTTCTTTCACAGCCTTCACGTGAGCCTTGATCACGTCGTCTGCGGACATCCTGTGCGACCACCGGCTGGGGGAATACTGCCTCTCGAGCTCCTGTCACACGGAAAGACCACGGTGAGCCGAGCGGCCATGAAACAACACCGACACCAAAGAACCATGAGACGGTCAGAAACAGGGTAAACTCGGTAAACAGCGCCCTCCTCTGATGTCATTAAAACTCTGCTCCGGATATATTTTGATTATAGCTCCTTTTTCAGTGTTCAAAAAGCACCAATAAAAGATTTTTGTTATTTTTAAATGTCTATAGGCTTAATGTTGGATGCAACCAATTATAAAAGGCTATAAATTACAAAAATATTAATCTATTATGCCAGAATACATAGAATAACATAATAGTTTCTGATAGAAAAGGTCAAATACTCACATCTTTCTCCATTTCAGTCCAATGTGACATTTTCTTTCTTGGTTGAAGTGACACAAGTCTACAAAGATCCGCTGCCAAATAAATCTAAACACTATATGTGCAGCTCTGAAGGGCTGAACTTTAGACCTTCACCTGGGTTGCACAATGTCAAAGTGAACAAATAAAGTAAGTAGGCCTTCTCTCAAGTTGCATGAGTATGGCACCCTGATGTGGAGGTGGATGAAACTGCACCTGGTTCCTGTATGAACTTGTTTTGTGACTGCCAAAACATATGTACGGTGGCCACAACAGAAGTTACCGATGCAAAAAAAGAAAAAGAAAGAAAAGGTGCAAATGTAAAAAAAGAAGCCACAACGGAACTTACTGATGCAAATAAAAAGAAAGAAAAGGTGCAGATAAAAAAAAAAGCCACAACAGGAGTTAACAACGCACAAAAAAACAACAAAAAAAAGAGAGGCGATGGAAAAAAAAGTTACCTATTGCGAAAGTAAAAGGACGCTACTAAAAAAAGCCACAACAGAAGTGAGCGGGCAGGGACCAATAATAATGATGCACCAGTGTTTTATGATCTAGGCACAGAAGACGATGGCAAGAAGATGAGCAAAGAAGTAAGTGGAAAGGTTATTGTTTAATTTGCTTTGTGTACTTTTTAATGTGTCATTTGGTCAGGCCATGTTGCACCTGAGTAAATATGAAGTTGAGCTGGAGGATGCCGGTGTAGTGTTAGCTTCTGTTCAACTTCATATCAACTCAGGCGCTAGGCAAAGCTAAAAAGATGTTTGGTGGCAAGCAGTCTGCAACAATGTACTGTTGATGAAGTTAGGTGCTGTTCTGAGCATTATTTGTGGCTATAGAGTGGTGTTTTGGTTGAGGTTTGTTTATGGCCCCTCAGACCGCTGTGTATTGCTATCGTGCGGTCGTTACCATAGACTGTATATAGAATGGACAGCGTCTGCCTCCTCTCTGGGTGAAGCCACTCTGAGAACAGCACCCTCTGTTGACGGGCTGCAGTATAGGTCATAAATCCCGCCTCCGCCAGCAAAGCTTATGGAGCTGTGGACAAACTTTAGAAATTTTTTACACAGAACATCAATTTTTCTCCCCCCTAGTTGTGATGTTGACATGTAGTTACAGTAGGTCTGGTTTGTGCTCAAGTCCTCTTTTTTCTGTACAGCTCCATTTTTAAAAGTTATTAGGGGGTTCATGTTTTCTTTGATTGAGACCTGATACAGCCTATTGGCGTTCAGGGATTGCGTAGCTTACCCGCTACACGCTGTTTGAGACGAGCGTCATTACAGTGACTCCCAGCGACTCTCCCGCCAAATGCGCACAACGCTACTGCGCAGCTTTGGTTTCAGGAAATGAAGAAAAATCGCGGAAATACCGAGAGCTTTTTGGCTTCAAATCCTTATACAGGCGGGAAGCGCAACCAAGTTGTTTATAGTATATACAGTCTATGGTTGTTACTAAAGTTGGTATAACTGGAGAAGCAAGCAGTCGGCAACAATCAGTGAACTCTTTGCCTTTGCTTTGATGGTAATGATTATTTGACTTTTATGTAATTTATTGTTAGTAAAATCAACATTTTAAAATATTCCTTATCATAAGTATTTGTCTGTCAAACATGGAAGAACTTGGGTAACCTCATTTCAATAATGGGTGTGTTTACTTTGTAGACTTTAGCTGCGTCCGAATTGCCAAGTAGTAGTCGAAGTAGTAGTCGAAGTAGTATCTAGCATGTCCGAATTGGCCACCGGAGCGAGTAGCATGCTACTTCAGATACTACTTCAGATGCTAGACACGCCCACATTGTAGGTTGGTCTCGGTGCATCCTACGGGCATGCTACTGACCCAAAATGCACCGCGGGCTTCTTCTTCGTCCTCTTAAAAGTTGTAGAAGCGCATGTGATGCTAGCGCCACCAGCTGCTCTGCCTATTTAAAAGTGTCGCGAACGCCGGCTGGCCACAGCAGCGCGCACCATGTCGGAGCAGCAGCAGCAGCAGCAGACGGGACCGCAGCAGTACAGATGTAAGTTTCATGTAACTTCACACACTGTCCTAAAAAATGTGCGGTTGTATCTCTTTGTCATGTCATGGTGTCATATTTGCCCAAGAAATCATTTTATGAGCAAGTGGCGACATCATGGAGGTAAAGCTCACTTATTCCATCATTAAACTGCACAGCTGCAGTACTACAGCCAGGCCCGCAGATGAGGGGCTTCAGTTACCACTGTCTGCACGGGCGCAGTACCTACTCTCTGCCTGCGGGGGTCGTCTTTCCCCACCGCTCGTCTAGTGTGTCCGAATTGGGCCAACGTTTTTAGTATGTAGGAGTAGGATCTAGCAGTAGCACGTAGCAGTAGCATGTAGTATCCGAGCGGGCAGTTCGGACGCAGCAACGTTGTTGTTTTTCATCTCTGAGCGTTTGTTTCCTGGATAGCACTAACCTGTTCCGCCTCGTTTATGGAGCAGCTGTAAATCACTTCCTGCCCTACGGCTCTACTACCGCCTATTCAAGGATGATGAGCCTGATTGGTTAGAATTAGCAAATGTCCCCTACACGTCATGTCTTTGGAGAAGCTGATTGGTTGACAGAATCACATGACCTCAGCTTGGTATAAGGAACACACCAGCGCGGCAAAATTCAACAGTTCAGCTCAAGAGTTACTGTTCCTGCAATATTCAGACAATCTAGCTTTTATTTATTCATTTTTTAAACTTCTAAATATTGCAGATAAAGATGGATTGTGTGGACTACCCAAGAATTTTTCCTAATTCGCCGAGAAAAGCGCGGGGACAGATTCAGGTTCGCATGTTTGCTGTAATGTTGATGTTAAACTCGCTATTCCTTCCATCAGCTAAACTTTAAGTAAACATAGGTATATAGAACAAAGTATATCGAATTGCTAAAACGTAGAAAGACACGATATTTGCTGATAATGGGCGTGCTTTCGGTACTTTCTGTTAAAGTAAATAAAGTATTTTAACATCCGGTTCTTTTGTTTACAGGTCATCTTTGGACCGATGTTTTCAGGAAAAAGGTGAGTTTTTTCACCCATAAACATTAAACAACAGCATGCATTATTGTCGAAATATCTTATAAATGTTTTCAGTAACAATTTTAAGATACTGTAACAGTAATAATTCCGCCAAATTACGAACCTCCCGCCAAATTGTCTGCATTGTTTACAGTAACTGTCTGTCTCCGTATCAGTCATTACTCTGTAGAGTGCTGTGTGCTTTGGTTATTTCGCATTTTAGGACCACTTTTCTTAGTTTTTAAACATTTTTACTACATTATATCAAGTAAAAGTCCTTACTAACAAAGTAGTACTGTAGGGGAGAGTGGGATAAGTTGAGCCAAAGGGTAAGTTGAGCCACCCCCTGTTGGAGGAGTATAAAGAGAGGATCAGAGTTTCAGTTCAGATTGTTGAAATGTTTTACTTTTTTTTTGTTTTTTTTACAAAAATACAGCTGTGAATGTTCTGAATCACTTAAAGACATTCTCATGTTAAAATGAGTTTTTACAAAACAGCTTTTTAGCAGTTATATGCAATAATAATAATGATAAAAAAAAATAATTGTACCAGTTGAATAGTGTGAAATAAATAAAAATACTCATGAATGTAAAGAAGTGACTGTTATTTAGGGAGAGAGAAGGTGAGGGACTTACCCCACTCCTATGGTCAACTTACCCCATACACTGGTTAAGTTGACCATTGGAGACCACTTTTTTTTGCATGCTACAGTTATGTTTACACTCATTCTGTTGGTTTGCAGGGATGAACAACATATTGTAATATATGCAGATACACTAGTTAGAGACAAAACTATGATCGCCTTGAAGTAGTGATCTGAAATATGGAAAATGGCTCATCTTACCCCACTCTCCCCTACTTTATGAAAAAAGAGGCACAGTCACATTAGTAGTAAACAACAACTTCTGATATTCTCCTGTATTTATCTTTTGTTATTCTTGTGTTTTTTTCCAGCACCGAATTAATGCGAAGAGTTCGTCGTTTCCAGGTAGCCCAGTATAACTGTTTGGTGGTTAAATATGCAAAGGACACTCGGTATTCTGACTCAGGCATGGCAACACATGACAAGTAAGTCCCCCTTTAATGATTCACTTTACTTTAATTTACAGAATCCTACTTGTCTTTGTGTTTGGGGAGGAAAAATAAGGTCGTTACAAGAGGATAAGGCTGTGTGTTGGTGCTTATTTATAGGTGTTTGAATGTAGACTTGTGTAGTTAAATAAAAGAATTAAACATGGAATGGGTTAGCAAAAAAAAAATCATACATGTATCAACAAGAGAGATTAAAAAGATGTTTGAAGGGAAAATATGTAAGTTAAGGTGGAAAAGTTTTTATCATCAGGAACCTTTAAATTTAGGAAGCAGTCTGAGCTATACTATGTCTGAGTACATGATGACCTCTAGTGGTTATTCCTGGTTTATTCCATCAGATACATTCTTAACAAAACAGTGAACTTAAAACACATTTCCTTCATGAAAGGAAATGATTTTTCTCCGTCTTGTTCCTTTATCAGAAACACAATGGCTGCTGTTCCTGCCAACTGTCTGAACGATGTGCGGCCTCTCGCTCTGAACGCCTGTGTTATTGGAATTGATGAAGGACAGTTTGTAAGTACAAATCCTTAATACTGCACAATTAAGTCACTGTATGCTTAACTTTACAGACCAGGGTGTCTACCTCTGCTGCTGTGAATAAACATGAATTTTCTCCTGCATCTCTTGTCATCATAGTTCCCAGATACAGTGGAGTTTTGTGAAGAAATGGCCAATTTAGGGAAGACGATCATTGTCGCAGCTTTAGATGGAACCTTCCAGAGAAAGGTGAGTGTCTGTGTTGGTCATTATGAGCTTTAAGCGTGCAAGTATCACAATGACACACTGAGTGCATACTTAAGGAGACGATAGAGCACCACTGTGTGTAGAGACAAAACAAAATACCTAAGACAAAAACACATTATGGAGGAAGGACTGGATGGGCTGCAGAATAGCACACGATACAATGTGCTGCGTCTGTCCTTGTAATGAAATTACAATTCAGGATCTCTAAGTACATTTTTTGCTGTGCTGTGCATTTTTGTAGCCATTTGGGAACATCCTGAACCTGGTTCCTTTGGCTGAGAGCGTGGTGAAGCTGCACGCTGTCTGCATGCAGTGTTACAAAGAAGCTGCCTACACCAAGAGGATAGGAGCAGAGAAGGAGGTGAGGAGAAAGCAGAGTTTCAGTCAAACAAACCAAAAACAGCTTAACACATTTCCTCATTGGATTTTTCTAAAATGTTTCTATAAATCGACACAAAAGTTATTTAGCTAAGATGTGGAAGTGAAACAGAATTAGGATGTTATTACTGCACCTTAATTAACCAGTGCACTCTCTCCAGGTGGAGGTGATTGGAGGAGCTGACAAGTACCAGGCAGTGTGCAGGAGGTGTTATGGAGGTCTGATGAAGGACAAGGAGAACAGCGCTCCCCTCAGGAATCAGGCACAGCAGCAGTAACATCAGCTGTTTGACTTGAATATAACCCACAGTGCTTTAACAGAAAATTAGATTTCTCCTCCCTTCACCTCTGAGCACTAAATAAGACTTTATGATGTTGAGCAGAGCATCTTTGTGTAGATTTGATATTTTGTGTTTTTATGGGATACAGTGTTGCACCCGATAACCCTCTAAGGGGTGAACCAACACAATGATGGCATTAAAATAAATAGAACTACATTCAAAGTCTGGTCTTTTCTAAATGGATTTGATAAACAACTTTGAATCTCTCTTTGTTTTATCACATTAATATGACTCAGTTAAGGCAGATAAGGAAGGATATCTTAAACAATATGTTCTATACATTTAAAATATTGTTTGTAGCTTGTCATGTTAGGGTTAGACGGTCACACCTTATTTATAATCCTGTACGTTTTAAATCAGTGCACTGACGGAGGGATGTAACCTTATGCCCTCACATACTACAGAAGACCAAAATAACCTGGCAGACTCCAAGGATGTGTGTGCTGTTGGCTGGCAGGATGGGATGGAAAAGTATACTCCTACTATATAAAACCTGTGTTGCATCAGTACAATAATAATCTCAAAACAAGCAAAGATCTGGTCAATGTTTTTATTCTATAAACAAAGATCTCAAGTAAATTGTGCCTGATGATGACATGAAATCATGACAGAAGGTGAAAGCAGGTTAAAGTCCAGACTTGACTCATAAAACCACTCTAGATAAAGGGGGAAAATAAAGCCGGACAGTATTTAGTGCCTGTTTTTGTCAAATATTTGTAGGCATCACAAATCATGATGTAACTTTACATTAAGGCTTATTGAATTCTATCTTTCTGTAGTACTTTGCAAAAGCTCCAACACCCACAGGCAAGCGAGAAGTTAAGAAAAACAGTCGAGTCATTGAGTGTTTAGAAGCTGCATTCTCAGAGGCAAAGGCATACAATACATTTAATGTTAACCGAAGGGCAGATGTAACTGATTTGCCAAAGCATGAAACTCGACTTACTCAGATCATCAGGCACAGCAGCAGTAAACAGCTGTTTGACTTGAATATAACCCCAGTGCTTTAACAGAAAATTAGATTTCTCCTCCCTCCAAGTCATCATGTCTCTCCACAACAAATCAACAGAAGTGCTTTTCATGAACTTCACACATTTTTCTCTTAGCAGTGTTGTCAAACTGTTCTCGGTGTGAATCCACAATGATGGCATTAAAATAAATAGAACTACATTCAAAGTCTGGTCTTTTTTCACAGATTTAACTTCACCCTAACCCTAGCGATATCTTGAACACCCACACTTATTTCAAGGCAAGACTGTTGAGGTGTTAAACTCAGTCACAATGCGACAAAGTAAACCAGTAGGACATGCTTTTTGAATGTCACCATCGTAGGCCGAGGTGTTAACCTGTCATCTGTGAAAACACAGCTGCAAACAGCCTTCAGCAGTTAAGATCAGTGTGCCTGTAAACAGGAGATACACATCAGCGTTACTAGAATTAAAGTCACAGAGGCCTGGCAGGAAACCTACGGCCGCTCTGTTGCAGTGAGCTGTCGTCGTTGGCTGTTAATAAATGACTCTTCAGTATGTGCTCACACTCGGTGGATAAACCTGTTCAGTAAGTGCAGTTTTCTACACGCCCCTCCCTTCTGTCTATCTCAGACTCATGGGCAACACTGAATACATTGACACCTCTGCAGATTGGCAAATTCAACCCAGTTTTACCAGCAAAAAAAAAGTAAATTTAAAAAAAATAAAAAGGCATGAGAAGACTTTTATGGTCTTCAACTCAAACAGATGTTTAGAGGGGTCTTTAAAAAAAGCTTGTTGAATTAACAGTCATCTTTCTGTGGCACAAATATTGAAAAGCTCGGCTAGTTTAATGTTTTAAGGATAACAAACTGAACTGAATTATCTTTACAGGGCCTACTTTACACACACACAAAAAAATCACAACAGAACATTTGGCTAGTAGTGGTATTTTTCCACGGTACCCCAACTCTTTATCTTTTTGTAGGTCCTCAAATTAAATACCCTGGAGAAGAAGAGTTCACTAAATCAAAAGCAAACTGAAAATCTGGCACATACAACCATCAAAATGGCAGCTTTGAAGGGTAGGATCTATGTACAAATGCACATTCTCAGGTCTCCCAACAGAGAGCAAAAAGGAGAACGTGAAGCGCTGGAATCCTCCCCTCTGATTGGTGCTTTCACAGGTTTTCTTCATAACAGCACATAACGTGACCTTTGAACTCCTGCTTACATTCCAACCACCTCTCCCCTTGAGGGTAAGCTGCTTCGAGGTAAAAGTTGCATCTTTGCACCAAAGGTCTAAAGTCAGATTACCCAATCATCAGAGCTTATCTCAACAGTCAGCCTGCTGTCTTGGCTCTGAACAGACTCTTGTGTCAGTGTGTCCCTCATCTTTGACTTGCAGGTGCACTGCTCAGGTTCGTTTGGTTTGATTCGACACATTAAAATAAATGAGTCGAATCAAACCTAAAACCACATCAATATGATATGAATCTGGATCTGTGCAGTGCACCTGCAGTCGGTCCACCGTCAGATGACCCGGAACACCTCCTCGACATGTGAACTCCCTTTGTCTCAGTAGTTTGGCGGCTGGTAGCCAATGTCTTCCTGGGGCTGATGCTGTGGGGGGAAGGAAGGCTGAGGGTGCATGTCGGGTATGCTGCTAGGATAGGCTGAGTACGTGGTGGGGGTGTAAGTGGTGGGGTTATAGGAGGTGGGGGCGTAGGTTGGAGGGTAAGGTGTGTGGTGATCTGGTGGTGGCTCCGCGTAAGTCGGTACGGTGACTTCATTTACACCTCGGCGGAAACGGCCCAGAGCAAAGTAGGTCAGGATTCCCTGTACAATGAACAACAAAAAAAACAGACTTGATAAAACAGTCAAGGATGCACACAATATAGCAGTTGTCAAATTACTTAACAGGTAGAATTAAGGCATGCTGTCCAGTCTCTACAATCAGTGGTATTGAATATGAAAATTCTTAGTTTGAAACAAGGAGGTACCCAGCTGGGACTGATACATCAGGATCCCGCAAAAGTGTTAAAGTGTAATTAACTACAATACGATTGAAAGTGTACTGCATCATAAGTAATGCATCGCTTCCAGTTACACATCTTTTTATTGAGGCACACACCCAACACACTGAAAACAGCTCTGCAACCTACTTTTGGGTTCTGACCATAGACTGTTTATACTATGGACAACTTGGTTCCGCCTTCCGCCAGTATACAGATTTAAAGCTAAAAAGCTCTCCGTAATTCTGCTTTTTTTCCTCCACTTCCTAAAACCAACATTGCGCAGTAGCGTTGTACAAATCAGTCTTACAGTAACTACATGTCAACACCACAAGCAGGGGGGAGAAAAATGTATATTCTGTGTAATAAATTTCTTAATTTTGTCCACAGCCTCATAAGGTTGGCTGGCGGAGGCGGGATTTATGACCTATACTGCAGCCTGTCACCAGAGGGGGCTGTTCTGGGAGTGGCTTCACCCAGCGAGGAGACAGACGGCGTCCATTCTATATACAGTCTATGGTTCTGACCCACCAGGTGAGAACCACAGGAGGAGTTGGTTTATCCTTGTCTTTGAAAGTTACTTTAACTGATTCTTACTCAATCATCTCTAGGCAGTAGATTCAGTCACTAGTTTATATGCACAGTTAAGTCAGGCTACAGTCAAAGCTCGATTAGGCGAATTAACTGGACTACTGTCCTGGTCCTAGACTAGAGTGGGTGTTAAATCCCTATTTCAGCTGGTTGATGTGTAACAGATCAAAACAGCCGACAAAGCGTGTTAGCAAGAAGCTAATGGGAGCACAATTTTTGTTTGAGGTTTGAGGTTCTGTTTACTACCCTGCTCCCTAGCAACACATCCAGGCTACTCAACCACCAGCTCAGAGCCTGGTATGCAAACACTGGAGCGTGTGCAGAACGCTTAGGCCAGTTTCCGTCAGATTGAGCTGTATACATGACAGAGAAAATCTGTCTCCTACTCCATGTACTGCTTGTAAATAACTTCATTTCATGTTTAATGTTTGTACATAGTTGGCAAAGTTTACAGCAGTCAAATTCCCTTCATTTGTTCACATACTTGACCAATAAAGCTGGTTCTGATTCTGATTATCCAGGTATCCAAGTCCAACTATGAGAAGTCTGATTTCAGTCATTGTCAGTTCAGTATTTTAAAAGTCCAGTTTCAGTCGGACTATTGCAATAAATTGATTTGTCTTAGTGAACGTAAATGAACTGAATTTGAACTGACAAGAAACAAGAAACAATAATATCTAACTTTTGATTTTCCAGGCAGAAAATCAGGTAAGTCCTGTACACAATCACCCTTGAAAAGTCACCAGTAAATTAAAAGGCTAAGGCTGTTAATCATAAAGAAGATCTTGCTCACCCATGTTGCTATAGAGAAGAATGAAAAGGCCACAGTGGCACGTGCAGCATCCATTGGTATTCCTCCGATTTCATGTGTTTTACTCCATTGACTGGCCAACAGGCAGAAACACACAAACCACAGGAAGGTCCACGCCCCTGCAAAACATACAGAGACACAGATGCACAAACACACATGCAGATATAAAGGATTGTTTTCACTGCAGGAAAAGTTATTCAAAACTCTGATGTGAAAAGTTGGCTACTGTACACACACACAAAGAAGAAAAACAAGGTGGATGAAGTAAAAACAGACTGAGATTTGTTGCCATCTGTTCAAATGACCACAAGCTGTTTTTCCAACGACCCCGCCATTGTTTTCTGAAAGAATGGCTGACTGTTAACTGTGTCATGACCAGCTGATGAATGCTAAATTTCATCTCGATCTGTGACGTCATCCCTAGACCTCCCCCCACTCGTTGCTCACAATTCCGCAGTGACTAATACATGTTGTTACGTCAGGAAAACAGGCAGAGGTTTGTCCTACATTATAACAATACTCAGGCTTTGTGTATGAAGGGTCCACACCGAGAGGAGAAAACTGAAAAAGGCTGAGAAGTGGAGAAAAAATGTTCAAGAAGCATCCGTGTATATTTGGGCTTCTAGTTTATTTTGAAGACATAATCGAAACTATACAATGTGGGTGCAGAGCTGCAGACGTAAACAGAGGGTGTAGGAAAATGTAAGCACTGATGTTAAATGTGTCCGCCTAACGTGAGGGGTAATGTTCACTCTGTTTTGGTCTCTACCAACTTCAACAGAACATTACAAGCTGATTTTTTAACTGGACCGTCTAACTTATTTTTAACTGGGTTATCCATCAGTCTGGTACTTTAATGAAAATGCTGCTCAGCTCAACCCTCTCACCTAGGAGTGATTTTTTTTTGTAGGATGGTAGGGGAAGTGCTGGGCTCCGCTTGGTTATTCCTAATGGATGTGAAACGTCATCGTGTGTAGGGTTAGGGTTAGGAGATTCAGAAGTGCGATGATGTTCTGTACTGTTCTGTTCGATGTACAGAGCCGACAGCCCTCCTTTGGCTTGAGCGTGTGTTGACGTTTCCAGCTTTCTAGCCAATCAGAGGCGAAGAAGGCGGGACTTTCCTCTACCATCCTACAAAAAAAATATCGCCACTTGGAAGCAATGGTGGCTTTTTGGGCCGAAAAGCTCGTGAGATGCATGGTAAGTGTTATGTTGCAAAGCTACTGATTTAATACAAAAATATGCATGTGCATGGTAGGGATGGGCGGTAAATTATTGTTTACTATTTATCAGAAAAATTCCTCCAGTTGCCATCTCATGTTAAACGCGATAAATGCAAGTTGATGACGTAACTGCGAGCCGTGGACCACACAGATCAGAATAACAAACAAACAAACATGGCCGAAGGTGGTGAAGGAAACGTCTCTGAGCAGCTTGTTGCTAAACGAGGCTCCACATGAGGGATTTCCTTCAAGATTGAGGTTTAGATGAGCGCAACCAGATATGCCTGACATCGGACAGTGGATCTGCTCACTCTGTGCAATAAGAGTTTTTAATAAATGTTGAAAATGTTTCACTAGTTTTTCTCCATAACCTATCACTCAAACTTGTGGTTAGGTGTCTTATTTGTCTTATAAGACAGAATGAGTCAAAAACATAGATTTATAATATTTTTATCGGGAATTTTATTTTTATCGCCAGAATGGCATCACCCAATCACCCATGCCTAGTGCGTACTGGTTCTGTGCTACAATAGCAAGATGGCAGTCTTTGTGAAAGGGAACCCGCTCTTATGTGGATGTGAAAGTCCTTCCTAAAAGGGTAATTTTAGTATTTTTCAACCTGGGTCCTATTTTTCCACGTGTTTGCGTGTGCTTGATGGATGAGGAGAACAATTTCTAAAATTGCTCTTGGATGGAGGGAGAGCGGGGCAGTCGGCAACTTTAAAACAAAAGAAACAAAGAAATCATTCAAAGTCCACCTCACCTGAGAATCCCAAATCTGCAATGACAGCATATTTCCTCTCCTGTGCGTTGCTCATGTAAGGCACGTAGACATCCAGCACCAGGAAGGCCACACACGCCAGGAAGGCTATCACCCCAATGCCGACAGCGTAATGGCACGCTGAGTCATTCTGGTTGAAGATGCACTTCGCCTCAGCACTGTAGGGAGAGTTGATGTATCCCTCTGTCGTGATGCAGGCGAACACCACCAAGGCAAATAACTACAGTGATGAAGAGCGAGGAACAAAGCGGCCTTCAGTGACATGCAAACACAAGGAGGAACTGTGCCTTCAAAGGAGCGTACCGCGAGCTTCTTTTCAAGCTCACCTGTCAACTTCAAACTGCTGAAAACCAGGTTTGAGTTTTGGAACATTCACTTCTAACTTCTGACTAAAATTACGTCTTAATTTAAGGAGCCAAACCATAAAATAATCACATCCTCAGATTGTACCTTGGACCTGCAGAAAGCAACAATTACAGAGGAGAGTACTAAACTCTTCAGACTAAAATAACATAGCATTTAATGACATCATAAACAGTGTCCTTTCGATTCCTCTGGATCTCTTGGTATCATGTGTTTACAAAATGCTCCTGCTCCTCCCGAACGCCCCATGCTCTACTGCTGCCTGCTCTGGTTACCCACCTAACCATGTGACCTACTTCTGAGGGCAGCTGCCTGCCATGTGACAGCAGAGATGCCACCGACTCGCTAACAACTCTCATTATGGGATCTGGGAGGAGGATAGAGAGCGACTGTTCGGCTGGTGGGAAGGAGGAGAGGGCGGGGAGGGGGCAGAGGGAGAAACTGGCCACAGTTCTGCTGATGGGATGAGACAAAAAGTACCAAAAAGACACAGAGGGAGATATACAGGAAGTAGATTCAGGGGAGTTTCAAAACACAAGAGACAGGTGTGACGTCGGACTACACATGGGTATTTCTACGCATTGATAGAAAAAGGGACAAAGACACCAGAAACAGGACTGAACATAGCCAAATATCTGGTTTCAATGCAGGTTTTGGTTTAAGTTCTGGTTTATCCGTGACAAAGAAAGTGATCAAAATGTAAAACTTGCAGGTGTTGTGCTTTAAGGGACAAGTAGTCAGAGGTTTCCAGAAAACAATCCACTCTTATACTATTGATTCTGGCTCAGAATAAGATTACAATCATCACCAGATATAAGAGGAGCTGAACACAGCTGCAGTGGGTATGTGAGTGAGTGTTTGAGAGGGAAATCAGCGGAGCACATTCACCAAGAATAAAAGAGCCAGCGTCCACAAGGGGGTAGAGGTATCACCTTACCTGACCACTATCCACTGTTTACCAGTTGCGCCCACATAATCTCATATAATCCCTCCAATCCACCCACACATATGCAAACACAAGGTTTCACTCAGATGTTGAGCCAACCAAGGGCACATTCTGTCCCCTGAGATCACTCTGGATGAGCTTCACTCTCCTGATGTAGCTGAGTGATTTCCCCCTGCCACCAATTTACATGAGCTGTAGGCCTTGAACGTCGTTTCAGCTCCATCAACCAAGTAGATTAAAGCTAACGTAAAGTCTTGTAATGGAAGACACGAGATGACAGCGGTGAGGGTCCATCTCTTCTTTCATTATACCAAGAAGATGTTTCAGGAAGTAGTTCAGAGTAAATCCTTTACCCTGTGTCCTCATGGAGAACAACAACTTTCTGTGGCATAACAGGTCTGGTAAGAATTTTTCTGAATTTACCCACACAGTGTCTCAACCACAAAACGAATCTGTGTCATAGAGTTTGCCCAGCAACAGGTGATGGGTGGTTTCTCAGAACTTTCCCTGATAAATTTCCCTCCCTACTCTCTATGGAAATAACCCTCCCATCTGCTGACTTGCCTGCCCTGACAATTTATATTTGGATTTATACATTTCAAATTTATTTCTTAGATTTTAGAACATTTTTAATCTTAAATTCCTTTATTTACCTGTTGCCTACTGAGAGCTATGGTAAGAGTCTACTCATTAAAATAAACATAATGATTAATTAACATAAATAGGCTCGATAATGTGTTTACTTTATTAAAGGGATATTCCGGCGTAAAATTAATTGAGGAACACAATACACAGCGGTCTGAGAAGCCATAATCAAACCTCAACCAAAACACCACTCTATAGCCACAAATAATGCTCAGAACAGCACCTAACTTCATCAACAGTACATAATGGGTCCTAGCCACAGCACTAGCCACCAAACATCTTTTTAACTTTGCCTGATTTCTTTCGCAAAAAGACTAAACACAACTCACCCAGTCTCCTCTAGCAGCCGCGTATTTGAAGCGAGACCTCAGGCCGGTCCTTGACAGACTACAGCGGGATGTCACAGCGCAAGGAAGAACATTTTATGATCATTTCTTCATGCAGATGCAGTCAGACCTAGACCCTAAGGCAGAAGAACTATCACGTCTGCAGTGGAAAATAATTAATATGGTGATTATTACTTCAAGGAAATGATACAGAAATGATCATAAATGTTCTTCCTTAAGCTGCGTCAGTCCGTAATGGACTGGCCTGAGGTCTCACTACAAACAAGCGGCTGCTAGAAGAGAGTAGGTGAGCTGTGTTTAGTCTCTTTGCGAAAGAAATTGGGCAAAGTTAAAAAGATGATTAGTGGCTAGTACTATGACTGGGACCCTATATGTACTGTTGATGAAGTTGGGTGCTGTTCTGAGCATTATTTGGGGCTATAGAGTGGCGTTTTGGTTGAGGTTTGTTTATGGCTCCTCAAAACGCTGTGTATTGCTATCGTGCGGTCATTACTCATAACTAGAGAAGCAAGTAGTCAGCAACATTTATCTGTTGAGGGGGTGTCTAACTCGGTGTTATGGTGTGTTTGACCTTAAACTAATCTTACCCCTGAATATCCCTCTAAATTCCTTTATTTACCTGTTGCCTACTGAGAGCTATGGTAAGGGTCTACTCATTAAAATAAACATAGCCTTCATATGATGATTAATTAACATAAATAGACTCTCTAATGTGTTTACTTTATGAAGTTTTGTACATATAAATCGACGTCTCAGTGTGCCTGACTCTCTCTTTGTCCTGACACTGGTGTTGACCTGTCCTGTCGCCGCGCTGCTGTCACACACCAGCTGTGTGCAACTTGACGCTCCGCAGGGACGCTGCTGCTGCGGCGGCGGCTCGCTGCTCCCTCCAGAAGGCTGAATGTGAAAACGGATCATTTCACCGCTCGCGAAGTACATTGCAGGCACGAGGCCAGGCGCACCTGTTGCCCATTTCCACGTTGAATATTCCTACCGCCTTGTTCGACCCTTCACAAATGTATTTAGAGATTAATTATCACTTTTCACTGTCTCCACTTACCCAGCTGAGAAACCGCACAATAGTTTGCGGCTGTCGGACAAACTTGTTGACGTCGAAGCCTCCTCCCGCGAGTGAAGCCCCATACGCGGTCGCACCGCCCGTCTCCTCCATGTCTCCCCCGTCCGGACTTCTTCGTGTGGCTTGGATAGACCTGACTCACAGGACCGGTTACACTTCGCTTGCACTACGTCTGACCTCTGCCGTGTAGCTCCACTTGTCGGAAAGTGGAAAGAAGAGACACCCAGAGGAGCTGCGCAGGCGGCTGCGCGTCAGAGGGGCGGAGCTGAGCGGCGAGCAGCCAAGAAAGTGGTCATGTGCTGCTATTATCATTGACTGCAGAGGTAAATAAAGTGACAGCAGAGGTTTTCATAAGGCGTTTATTCAAAAACAGTCTGCAAACAGGACATAAAGCTTGAACCCTCAGTCCTCATCTTCTGCTTCATCTTCCAAAGTCCTTCTCCTCTTCAAAATTTGGGGCCACTCATCCACAGAGTCTTCAGAGGTCTGAGGAGAGAAGCAGTGATGATGAAATTCAGTTGGAAGCCTTATCTTACAAGCTAATGTGTATTTTTGACTCAGATAAAATTAAACAGCTGCAACAAAAGGAGTGAAAAAATCTTATAAACAGTGAACTATTAGAGGAGGCTCATGAGTCACCATTTTAACCAGGCTTTTCACTAATTGCCTTTTTATATTTCTCTTATTGCAAATGTTCATTTTAATCTAAATTCTTAATGTTTCTCTGTTCTTAACTCTGTTCTTAGTCCTCTTCTTAAAGGTGGGGTAGGCAGGAATCCGTTAAAGAAGCATCTTTTTTGTGGTGTATTTACAAAAAAGCTTTTAATATCAGTCGATAGATATTAGTTATTGATTATATTTGTGAATATAACAATATCGCTGTGTTCTCTTACGTCTCTGTAGTCAACATTTTAAAATTTTTCAGCGGCCCGCTCTTTCTGACTGTAAACAAAGCTGTTCTCTGCCTCCCCAACCTGATTGGTTGTGAGGCGGACGCTGCTTCCTCGTGTCATTCAGGAGCAAAGTTAGCGTGCTACAATATCGGACAGTAGAACCCAACCAGAAAGTACAGAAAATTGTCTGAATCCTCCTTTGGCCATGACTGCCAACACAAGCAAGAAAATGAAGTAAATACCGGAGACTCTGGTGGAATAATGGACGCTTAAAAAGGAGGTAGACCGGACAAGAGCTCAAAAGCCGTCAACATCAATGAAGCTAGCATAAATGATGGGGGATGCTTCGGGATCTTGGTGACCCTGTAACCTTTCTGCTAGACAGATAAACCGCTTTAACAAAGTAAGTCAAGTGTCTGTAACTGAAGTGTTTCTTGTCAAACGGACCTGCTGTAGCGTGTTGTAGCACCGCTAAACTGTTGACCTCGGGTCCTGGACTAAGTCACTTTATCCTAGTTGTAGAAGTCCTACAAACATTGTGTATGCTGGTAGTCTGTTGGCATCTACAGTAGCACCAATGCTTTTTACGCTCATGTTGACTGGGCTCCATTTGTAATTATCTGAAGTACTTATCAGCATTATATCTGAATTTAATTAGAACGATACGAGCCAGCAGGAGCATTTGTTTGTGGGCGGGGCTTGCAAAAAACAAAAATGGTTTGGAGGGGAAGAGTTCGCATTCAAGATTTCTCCCAAAAACTGGCACTTCCTTAGAGCCTGCCTACCTCACCTTTAACTCCCGCCTTAGAGGTTTTTACCGCTTTTACCCATTTTTATACGGTAAAGAGCTTATTTACTTATTTGTTCATTTTATTCATACCATTTTCTATCTTTTATCTCCAGTGTTTCCCAATGGTAGCTCTTTCCTCACGCAATGTCTCGGTGTCAGGCCATGTCTCTTTGATAATATATCTTAAATTCTCACTCTTTGTGTGCTTGTGTGTGTGTGCTTGTGCGTGTGTCTGTGTGTGTGTAGGTCCATGGGTGGCTGTGTGGGTTCGAAGGGTCGGGTTTTATTGTTGTTTGATTGTTGTTTTTGTCTGAAAAGTGCCATACAAATGAAGTTGAATTTGAACAAATTCCAAAGGAACACAAATGAGCCATCAGAAGAATCAGTTTGTGAAATGGAAAAACAAAAACTGACTTTGTAAAGTAGTTAAACTCAGAGAATAGATGAATGAGTCGAACAGTTTAATCGTCTTCTAGATCAGAAAGCTGACTGATCTGTTTTTATCTCACCTGATCAGAGTCTCCTCCCCGAGCTGTCTGCACCAAGTCAACATCCTCCTGGTACTCTGACACATCCTGTCAGAAGTAAAGGAGCTCTGTGTCAAAGTTGATACTGATCACGTGGTTGCAAATGCACGGGTGAAGTAAACAGGGTTAAAACATGATGAGAATGAGGTCTGCACTCACCAGCTCATCCTCATATGCCACTTTTCTTCTGACCATCTCCGCGCTCCACCTGGAAGCAGGAAAAGTCAATCACCATGTGAACAGCAGTCTTGAAACAGGATTGGTTTGTTTAAGTGCTAAAGGTGCAGAAAGTTTTAGGCTGTAGCTCTAAGGACCCAAAGGTTATTCAGTGTGTCATCTTATATGGAGCTTTAGAAATCTTAAGTAGCTCTTTATTAAATCAATATCCCATTAAATACATAAATGACTCATATTTGAAGCTCCAGTGAGGAAGTCGTAGTACTAATTCTCATCCTGTTAACTTTTGACAGTGAAATTCATTGTTTATTGTCAGGATCTCATGTGAGAAATGGTCAAACTTACAAGAGAAAAATAATTTGTCTGGATTTTTATGGTCCTCTCTTTTCATACATTATAAAATTGGAGTCTGTCTCATAAATGTTCAGAAACTCATGACAGGAGTTTTAAATTGAACTTTCTTTGGCATGAAAATGTGAAAACATGTCAGTGAAGCAAGAGGTGTTGAGTATTTTTGAAGTTCATTATTTTTAACAGAAGTGTATTGCATTTACCAAGAAAGGAAGGTCTATTTTTCAGATAATTTTTTTTTCTTTCTGAATTTCAGAATATTTTCTCCCCTGTTTTTCATACTAATTTTCCTGTTTTTCAGACTAATTTTTTTTGTTGTTTTGTTTTTCAGACTAATTGTTTTTCCTTTTCTCTGGGATCATGATCATTTAAAAACAGACACTTTCATCCCCCTCTGCTTGATTTATGGAAAGCAAACATGGCCCACTTGTTTAGTTTAATCAAGTTTTACTTTGTTTTGGGTTTGAGACACTGGGAGATACTGTTTTATTTAAGTCAGATAGATGGAATCATCATAAGTTTGTCTACTTTGCTAAGGCACCTTCGGATTTGCATACCCTATGATTAACTAATAACATGCTTTACTCTCATTGACCCCGTGGTCAAAATTAATTAAGAGGTGGAGAACCTGCTGATTTACAGCAGCCGGTTTGGTTAACGGTATGCGATTGTATGAGATTCTCGCAGGATTTTGGAGTGTCTCGCTTAGTCAGAAAAAATAATGTCTGAAAAAACAAAAAGACCAAAAATTGTACAAAAAACTGAATAAATATTTGTGCAAAAAAACAGAAAGAGGGGGAAAATATCAGTACAAAAAAAATAGAAGAAAAAAAATTGGTCCAAAAAATAGCAAAAAAACAAAACAAACAAAAAACCCCGAAAAAAACAATTTTCTTAGATAAAACAATACTGATATTTTCGATACTGAAGCATCAAAATAAAAGTCTTGAATGTACTAATACAGATCTTGTTTTTAAGACACTTAAAGTTCAAGATTTAATACTCTAAAGTTAAAGATACAGAAGGCTGTATAAGGATACACATAAGGCTAATTCAGACCTGTCATGCATAATTGCTTTTGCTCGTCTTTTTTTTCACTTTTGATCTACACAGAAATGTCCAAAAAAAAGGACAAATGCTCATTTTTTTGTGACTAAAACAAAATAATGTGATTTCATGTTTAAAGGTGTGATATGCTGCATTGTAACATGTTGCTGAATATAATCTTTTTTTATGTATAGATTAGCACCCAACATGTTTGGCAGTCAAAGAAAAAAAAAAGCCTGCTCAGTATCAAGTTTAACCTTCCTCTTTACAAGAGGAGCTAACAGCTTCGTCGGAAACAGGTCATCATTTCCCAACCATGTGAAAACCAAGCAGTTCAAGTTGAAAAGGAAGCTAACGCACAAATGAATGTGTAAGAGTTAGTTGGGGTTTGCGTTTCCAATAAGGTGACCACCAGCTTTGCGAGCCTTCTCAGAAAGCAATGGGCTGAGACTACATCTATGTTTTCAGCTGTCTTTGAATCAATAAGAGAAATGACTTACAGTGAATTCTCTCCATATTCCCTTTTCCCTGAAAGAAAAGTAATAAACATCAGTCACTGTGCCAACATGGAGGCTATAGGTGCAGTTAATGTAAACTTACTGAACAGCACTCCGTAGCAACAACAAACAGACACCACGAGGATCACAGTCATGAACGATCCAAAGACAACCACCACCACCATGAGGGGAAGACGATTCAGCACTTCTCGATCCAGGTAAAGCCCTCTGCTGCTTATGGCGGTGATGTTGTCAAAGCTGTCAGACACCTCGCAGCGGTACGTCCCAGCGCTGCTCCCCCCCACAGACAGCAGGAGAACGGACTGTCTGGGCTCATGCACCATACTGGAGAAGCTCCCTTGTTCCTGTATAAGGGTTTCGTTGAGGAACCATTGGTACTGTGGATGAGTTCCTTTTGCTGCTTTGCAGTAGAGTCTCAGACCAATCACAGCATAGTCTTCTCCCAAGTCAGAGTCATACTGCAATGTCACAGGCCCTCTGACCGGCACTGTTGGATCAGAGAACATCATTAACATCTAAAAAAGCTTTTTCTATCAGAGATTATACGTCAAAAATTCCCAAAATTGCATGTACCAACTTCAAGTGGGATCCATTCACTCTCTACGGTCCTGTTTTCATTTCGTGCCTTGCACTGAAGTTGCCCTAAATGCTGGCCTAAGACCAAAGACACCCTAAATGTGGCTTTGGTCTCATGAGCCGTCAGTGAATCAATCTGGGCTGTCCCGTTAAACAGTGTAAAGTTGACAGGTGGAGTTCCTCTCATTGACTGGCAGGTGACCATGGCATAGTAGATGGAGCCATCCTTTGACACATTGAAGGAGATGTCAGGTTTTGACACAGGGTCTGAGGGAACGGTTGAAAGATGGTATCATTCACTCAAAAAAGCATCACTATCTATAAAATAATACAGGTTATTTACCCCAGAGGATCACAAACCTTTGACTCTGATGATGATTTCAGAACTGTTGAAGGTGAAGAACTCTGTCACGTTATAATAGTTGGTGGCGACACACATGTACACACCGCTGTCTTCAGAGGTGGTGCTGCGGGTGACACAGATCACACAAATAATTTTTCTCATATCTAAGCAGAGGGAAACAGAGGATTTTATATAACAGTGCCAAAAAAGTAACTTCCCCGGAGTTTAAAAAACGAGTCATTCGTGTTTTTAAAGTCTCTGCGGTTCATGTAAGAACAATTCACAGGACAAAACAGACTGTTGTTGAAAAATGTCAATTGAAATTATTATTTTAAACAAGATAGATACATCAATTCATATTAAACTGTAACTTTTCGCTGACTGCAGATTGACCATGAAAAAAATTAAACAGAAATGCAAATGATTTAACTCTTTGCCCTCATGTGGAAATGGAAAATCAACTATTTTATCCGTACACTTTTTTCTTTAGTAATAAACAGCAACAATTTTGTAGCAATAATTTTCTAGCTTACTCTGGATAATGAAATCTTGGAGTGCGGTGTACCCTACCTTCATTAACTAAAACTCACACTAACAACAACAAAGGAGTTTGATGCTGCTAGGTTCAAAATGAAAACCCTTCACCTGCAACCATGCAGAAACGTTGAATCTTTTATCCATCTCACCTGGTGATCAAGAGCTGCCCTTCTACAGCTTTGTGACGAGGAGTCAGAGAGACAGGCCGACCATTCAGCAGCCAAGTGTAGTCGACGTGATTTCCAGAAGTAACATTACAGCGTAGATCCAGTGTCCTTCCCGCGAAGAACTCCTGCAGACCTGAACTGATGAAGACGTTTGGGTTTTCCACTGGCACTACAACACAGGTACAAAAAAACGACTGAGATCCTGACGCCGGATGCTAAAGAGGAATCAAAGCAGTGTCACGGGAGCAACAGGTACGACTTAATGTGTGTGGAGGACACAGCAATGTATTAAATAGGCAATGACATGTTTTACCCTTTTCCGAACAGTTGATGTGTAAGCTGCGTTTGGACTACTCATCAGTATGAAGCTAAAATTTCACAATTTCAGGAAAGAGATAACAACAATGTTGGACAATGCAGCTGTAGCTGTTGTTATGTACCAGGATTTCCCTGGGTTTCTGGAGTGGAGAAGTGATGTGGTTTTAGGTGGGAAGTAGTGGGGTTCATGGAAGTTGAATGGGGTGGAAACTGTAGGTGATCTTGGGCCACCGACAGTTGATGTTCCCACATAGTTGACGTCTCTCACAGTCGTGGGTTCGCGAATATTTGTCAACACGGACATCCAGCGAAATAGGCTACCAGTCACGCCCACAATTAACGGAATGGGCTCATGGGGCCCCAGTAGAATAGAGCTCTGATACCTGCTGATGTTCCATTCCCACAGATACACTCATTATTAGCGCCGTCATTTGTCAACAAATGCCGCTTCCGGTCCATACCGGAAGTCGCGCCCATAATTCACGCGAGAGCTCATGGGGTTCGGAATAAGTTGGATGTATACAAGTTTAAACTCTACCCTGCAAAGACAAAGTCAGAAACACTGCTGACTTTAACTTAAGTCACTCAAGTAAATGTTGAGGGTTTTTCGGGTTGAGTGTTTTTTACATGCTTCTCACTCAATTAGTCCATGCTATATTAACTTAATACTTCCATACAAAACCCTGGATATTTGAGGGATTTTATAAACTCCAAGGACAAGGTCAGACAACCTCCCAAAAAAGAGGACATGTCTAGGTAAAAGAGAACGTACGGTCACCCTAACTTAAGTGGAATTGGAGTTTCTTACAATAACTAGATTTAATTTCCACTAATTTCCAAAACAGACATGTAAAACCATAAAAGGAGACTTACCAATAACCTTTAGGTAGTGTGGGCTGCTGACTGTGGGCTCTATCTCAGAGTTGTTCTGAGCTTTGGCCATACACTCAAGGTTACCCTCAAGTTCGAGCTTGACAACCTTGGGAAAGAATGCCACCTCTTCAGACAGAAGGGTGTATTCAGCCAAGACTTCTTCATGGTGACCCACCCTAGGATCACAGTCAGAGATGTGTTTGACGATTAGGCTACTGTTGTGTTTTGACACGGGGTTTAAATGAACATGAACAAACACTCACTTGTACAACTGCAGCAGGATAGTTTCATTTTTGGGGTAGACCTGAAGCTCACATTCAAAGTCTTCAACTGTTCCCGCCAGCACCACTGAAGGGCCAGACAGTGTTGGACGGCCCAGGACTGGTTGACCTATCAGGCAACAACAACTAGATAAAAACACACCACAGGAATCCAACACAACCCAAAAACAATGACACTATTTTCATCCTTAAATGACAATTCAAGTATACCCACTGAGACAACACAACAGACTTACTGTTTTCCTGGCTGGAGTAGCATAACCCTGTAGAGAAAAGTGATCAAATAAATAACAGGAGCGTCAGATAAAGAAATATCCACTAGACCAGTGGAGACGTGTTCACTTGCTTACCCAGTATGAGCACAAAGACTGACGCAAACATCTTGGAGGTAAATGTTAATATGTATCCTTATGCATGATGAGTTTAGACTGCGCTGTTTGGTGCAGGCGCTTTGGCAGTTATAAACACACACACGCACACACACACACTCTTAGTAACATGTGCAAAGAGCTGATATGGTTAACCTCCTCGCCACACACCCCTCCTCACATTACAAGATCTGCCATGGTATTCAGATATCGAAAAACATTCAGACACACTGAAGGAAACGCTGTAAAAATCACGCATCATTTACTGACTGATTCATAAAAAACAAACAAACAGAGTAGTCAAAGTTTGAATTATTTATTTGCCAAAAACATGACAGTATGTCTTGCCTTAAATATATGCTTTCACTCTTCATAATTGATGGTCAGGTTTACAACAAACTTGGCAGCTAAGAAAAGTGAAAACTGGCACACGTGCAATCCAACAAAAACAGACGGATGGGAGATAGAGAGGATGAAGAGGAAATGGTCGGAGGAGGTTCCTTATGGGTCACAAGGTGATCTCCATGAGCTGAAAACAGAGAAATAAATGTAGTGATCAGATGCTATTCAAAGATATTTAACCCATGCTCTTTTTGATAAAGTTTAGACTAAATCAGACTCCATAGCAGCTCTCAGTCTTCGTATAGACTCTTCGTCTATATGTGACTATCTGCAGTATTCCCAATATTTATACCTGATGGTGAATATCACGGTTTGCAGATGCAGGAACAGCCTGGGAACCCTCTGATTGGGTTGTGGGCTCTGACAGCGTAAGTACATCAGAACTAGCACTAGGAGATAAACACACTGTTGTTCAGCAGGTTGACTTCAGTTTCAGAACACAGAACTTTCTGAAGGTCCATGAAGTTGTAACTTACTTTGTTTTAGAAATACAGGCACGAGCTGTTAAAGAAATTAGACCACATAATGAGTCAAAGAACATGCAGTTTGACATTTGACATTTATACATTTTGTCTTACATGCACGTGAGCACACACCTTGATCCTGGTCCAACATCCAGTAAATTAATGTTAAACCCACGACCAGGGTCAGCAGAACAAAGCAGCAGAACCCGATGGAAAGGGCCTCCATGGTGGTCATGAAAACCTCTGTGGAGGAGAACAGACAAACAAGTGTTTTTAACATCAGAGGCAAGGAGATAAACATATCTTTCTCATGACTTCTCAAACATTTCCGAACACATTTTCATTTTGATCTTTTTTTCGTAGAAGAGTAATACCCCTTTTCATGAAGCTATGCTGAGTTTAGCTTCTCTTAGCTTGGCTTAACCTATGGAGAGAAATTGAGCCAGTGCAGAAGTGCTGAAAACTGCAATTCCTTGAGTGTCCACTTGAGGCTGGTTTAAAAAGCCCTTGGGGAACAAAGTAGCTGTTAACAAAGAGGCTTTCGGCCTAACCCAACTCCTCTTTTGTTCCCCCTTACGATAGAGCGACTGGAAGAAAGGTTTGAGTCGGCTTTTCACCGGCATAAACACAGGCTAAAGTAGAACGACACTTGTCTAGCTCAGTTCAAATCATATTCTGTGTAATAAATTTCTAAACTTTGTCCACAGCTCCATAAGGATTGCTGGTGGAGGTGGGATTTATGACCTATACTGCAGCCCGTCACCAGAGGGTGCTGTTCTCGGGGTGGCTTCACCCAGCGAGTAGTCCGACGGCGTCCATTCTATATACAGTCTATGGTCTCGATACTAAACCACTTCACCTATCCTCCTTTTTTCGAGGAAATCTCCCTTTTTCAATTTGACAAATTCTCACAAATCTGAAACTGTTTTTAAAATCTGCCGTCTTTCCCAAGCAACTCGATCCAGAACTGCCAAGTCTGTGCTTGGTGGCCTTGTATCAGGAGCTGGTTCATTTAGGCCCTCAGGTTTAAATGCAGAGTAATATGTAGTATATGTATATGGAGTAATGTTAATATTACTCCACTTCTGGTCTTGAACTGTTCACCTGTGACTCGGACCAGTACAGCTTCACTCTTCACCCAGGGCCCAGAGTCATCATAGCTGTTCCTGGCCCTGCAGTTGTAATATCCAGACTCCTCTGGGCCAATCCTGGTCAGCACAAGGGTTTGACTGTTGTCACCGAGGGCATAATTAGACAGCCCGGGTTTAATAGGAGCGCCTTCTGGTGGTGCCTCGGAAGGAAGGACAGAGTCGTTGAAGAGCCAGGAGATTTGTGGGAAAGTTCCCCTGCTGACGTCACAGCTCAGTGTAGCAGCAGCCAGCTGAAAATCAGCTCTGTAGAGATATTCAATATCCAGCTTCACATCCCCTCCAACTGGAACTTGACAGGAAGAGAGTTTAATTTAAAGGCAGGGCTCAAATCATGCATCACAAACATACCCATGTCTCTCACAAGTCTCTGTGTGTTTCATACCCACTTCCAGAGTCACAGGCTCACTCATCAACTCCTGTATGTCGGTTTTCACCCGACATCGAGCCACGCCCATGTCCAGACCTGGTATGATTTCAGCAGGGAACCAAGCAGCGAGGGATTCAGTCGCTGTGACAGATCCCTCTTCCCTGTCGTCTAGTAACAGAGAGAAGTTGACAGGTGGACTTCCTCTCGTTGACCAGCAGGTCACATTGCCTTGGTATGTGTCTCCATTTTTAAGGATGGAGAAGGAGATCTTTGGTTTTGAGACATGGACTGATGAAGGAATAGAGAGAGAGGGAAGGATCAAAAACAAACCAAAGTCCATCTAGTAGTTTACGGTACATTTGTAAATAAAAGACTAGTGTTGTAACTCAATCTGCCCTTTTTGTGTAGCTTAAAACAGCCAGTTAATATCTGAGTGTTTCATTATATCCCAGATAAAAAGTTGCAATTAATGACAAACAAGTATAAAGTCATTATTAACGAAAGTAAAGTCATTGGGCTCCCAACGAGAATGAGGTCCTAATAAAGTCATTACTAACGAGTATAAAGTCGTAATTAAGTCATTATTAACGAGAATGAAGGCGTAATATAATCATTACTTTTGAGAATAAAGGCATAATCAAGTCATTACTTATGAGAATAGTTGTAATACAACCATTACTAACAAGAATAAAGTTGTAATAAAGTCATTTCTAATAAGAATAAAGTGGAAATAAAGTGATTACTAGCGAGAATAAAGTCGTAATAAAGTCATTATAACATGAATGAAGTTGTTATAAAGTCATTAAAACAATAATAAAGTCGTTATACAATCATTGCTAACAAGAATAAAGTCGTAATAAAAGTCATTACAACAAGAATAAAGTCGTAATACACTAATTACTAGCGAGAATAAAGTTGTAATAAAGTAATGACGAACGAGAAGTCATTTGGCTACTTATGAGAATAAAGTCAAAGTTTTAGAGGAGAGTTGTTTAAATGAGCTCTCAGGGGCTCTTAGATTAATTGTACTTCAGTAGCTATAGTTTTACAAATTCTGACTTCTACAATTGTTTTTTGGACATTTTTTCCCCCTTTATCCTCTTCCATAACATCACACTCTGCTATTACAGGCTTTTCTGTCTCTCCTCTAAACACGTACCTTTTACAGTCACCAGCACATCTGAGCTGCTTGTAAACCTCCTGATGTCATGAATTTGGGACCAAGCCACGCAGTAATAGCTCCCAGCATGCTCTGGGGTCACATTCTCCAACACAAGCCTGTTCCCGGTGAGGTGGAGGAAGGGAGAGGTGGAAGGTGTCACCTCCTTCTTGTTGAAAAACCAGGTGTAGGACAGGTGGGAGCCCTTTGATACATTGCAGCTCAGAATGATGTGTGACCCCTCATATGCAACAGGAGGGGAAGGGTCAGAAAAGATCCTGGTGTTTAATGGTGGAGCTGGAATAAGGGTGTGATAGATAGTTAGGAAGAGATCGAGTTAGGGGATGAGAGTGAACACTTTCTGTCTTTGCCGCTTTTACTCACTGACTATGCTCAGCTTTATGCTGTTGCTGACTCCTGTGCTCGCTCCGGCTGTCACCCTACAGTAATATGTCCCCTCTGTTGTAGCAGAGACCTTTAAGAAAAAGGGTGCAGGTCGGCCCCCCTCAAAGTCAGTGTCCGTGTCGATCAGGACACTATCATCCTTCAGCAGCTCATAGGTGATTGGAGTAGAGGAGCCAGGAGCAGAACAACGGAAAGCCACCCTGGAGCTGAGGTATGCCAAGTCTGGACCTGTCAGTACTGGTCGAAGAGAGGTTGATCCACCTAAAGAAAGATATGAAACACTAGGAGTTTAGAATTTATGATCGCACACTACAAATACAAGCATGAAATTTTAGGCTGTGGGATTAAAAGGTTTGCAAATGTCTACACACTTCTGAAAAAGGGAGAAAAAAAGACCTCTCTGTAATCGTGGCACAATATCACAGGCCACATTTGACAACTTACTTATCTCGATGAACCAAGCTGCTAGAGCTGAAAAAAAATAGACAACTCTGTCATATTTTCACTCCACTTCATGATCTTTTAATTTTGTCATAGTTGTAAAAAAACACTTTAAAAAAACTCACCCAAAACTGGCAACAAATTAGAGAGTAGATTCTTCATCCCAGTGCAGTGCATCTATCTTTGACATGGCTTCTCTAGTCTGGTACATGGTGAGTCTGTGTGTTTTTGCATGCATGTGTGGATATGGTGTATACGTAAAAGCTATGGGTGTCAACATGTGTTGCATGTAGATAACAGTCAGCTGCATGTTTGGGTCAAGTTTAACAACCTGTGTGACGTTGTTGGACACAAAAAATACTCACAAAACACTTAATAATAAGCAAGATTTAAAAAAAAAGAAACTTTATTATACACACGTAAATTAAAACACATGACAACTGGTCCCAGAGGTTATCCTAACATTGTCTTTATGATTAAATAATGCACTCATATGAAGAGGAACTAAAAGGCTCGAACTTTAACCATAAATTAAGCTTTAAAACACACATTTTAGAGATTAAATAGTGGCTTGATTAAAGGCCACAAAAACATTTCCTTTATTAATCTTCATATCATGAAACTAGAAAGTAAGATTTCATCATCCTTTGACGTTTCATGAAGGCACCGCCCATCTGCTGTCCACCAAACAGCCTCTATGCTTTAAGTAAAGTCAGTGTAAGAACACTGAGGGACAGGCGGAGCAGCCTTAATCGGGAGCTTTGATCAGTCTGCAGGGGTCGAGGATGGGTTCTCGTGGACGGTGGCAGAGGGAGCTCTGTGGTTGTGTTTCTTCTTTTTGAGTATGGTGGCGTGTTCTTTCACCAGGAAACGCTTATCTGAGCTGCTCTGTAAGGAAAAGACACACACACACGCGCATATTTACAGACTCTGAAACCAACCAAATCAACTCTGTCTTTTCTTATCTTCGTTCAGTGCCTGGTTTCTAAGGATGTAAGTTTATTGATAAGATGTGGCTCACCATAACCAGCATATCTTTGAGCCGCTCTATGGCCCTCTGATTGGCTCGACTCCGTGACACGTACGAGGTTAAGATTATACTGAGGAAATACAAAATGATTAATTTGCACATGAGATTGAAATTCTGCCTGTCTATTTTTGAAAGAGAGTATATGCAACTTCTGTACACTCACATTTCAGCAAGTATGAGCGGCAGGGCAAAGGCCTCTGAGGCCAGGTAGCGGAGGGTGGACTGTGCCAGTCTGGGAAGGCTTTTCACACATGTATCTGTCACATTAAAGACCGTTTCTCCGTTTCCAAACGGACCACAGGGGACTCTAAAGAGAAGCAAAAAGATCACAGATGAAGATCAAATATCAAAGAAAAATCAATCTGGTACTTTATTATAGTTTAAAAGGGGTCAGTAAGTCTAAATTTATTCCAACAATAAATTAATACATCCATACTCTATGTGTAAATTTCTGTGAGAAAGTAGAAAATAGCATTAAATAAGAAATGCCGTTTTTTAGGTAGCCTACGTGTTCAACTTGGTTTTAACTTCTTGTTGGTGTAAGTTGAAGCCCAGAGTGACGGCAGCCATGAAGAGGCCGAGCAGCAACATGAAGTGGAATAAAACCGAGGAATTGGAGGCTCGAAACGTCCTCTGCTCTGCCACACAGCATCGCAGAACTGTGAACTATGACAGAGAAGAGAGGCAGTGACACTCATGCTTCTTAACAGCTCAACAAAATTATTCAGAGTCAAATTAAAGTGGATTATAATTCCCTTTTAAACTTCAGGACCACTTTAGAGAAAACAGAGCAATATTTGGAGGAAGGTGTATCTGACTGCTTTCGGTAGATTCTTAAAATAGACAGTTGAGAAAAGTTCATGTTTTAAGCTGGCTCTTAATAAAACCTAAATCCTCATCATGATCAGGACAGAAAGTCACCATACATACAAATCATGTCACGCACAACCCCTTTTAAAAACCATACCAGAACCAGACCCTAATCTTTTTTACCTTTTTGATGTAGAAGGTAACCGTCATTGTGACAGTTCCTATCAGAGGCAGCAGAGGGCAGTAATACACTCCCACCCAGGACACCGTCTGACCGTACACCAGATCCAGCACATTAAAGGGGACCAGAAAGTGCTGTTTCCCTGACATTCTGGCCAGCAAAGATGTAGGGCAACACTCCTGCACCAGCCTGTCAGACAGAGGAAACAACATTTTCAACAAAATTGCCAGAATGCTCTGAAATCTGCTCCAGAAAGACAACAAATTTCACAAAAATCACAATAACAAAGATAAAAGGGCAAAGCAGATCTCAAACAAACCCACTTCCTGGGGAAGCTCAATAGGAAGGCATTGCAGAAAGTGGCAAGGAAGTTGAAGATACACAGCTTGTACATCTCTCTGCCAAATCTGTTCGGCCTGCACTGAAGAAGACTCTGGAAAGAAGCACATCAGTGAAAGAGGATGTTTGTGAAATCTGTATGTTCATTAACCTGACAACCTGAATCCAAGTCAGAGACAGAGTAGATGATTCTATCTCATCAGGACATTTCAGGTAAATCTCTCTCCCAGCTCACCTGCTGAGTTTCTTCTGTGTTGAAGACAAAGAACAAGTAGATTCCCAAGGAGGCCAACTTCAAGAAGATGCTCCTGAAGACAAGAACGATTAAATCCTTGCATCTGTGAGCGCGTGCCACAGTTTTTTTTGTAGATCCTCTACTTTATATCTTACCTCACTAATGTGACATTGACCTGTGTGGTAAAGGAGTAGTCTTCAAAAGATGAGATCTTGCGGAAGATGTGAGGGAGGACCAGGTTGACGAAGGTGATGGTGATGGGAGGAAGGTACTGGAAGAGCAGGCTGACCAACCCGTTATCCCCATCCTAAAAAAAACATGTAAGGGTATGTATGCGGAAATCTGATCACCAAATTCAGGACATAGTCTGACAGTCACACAGTCTTACCTCTTTCTGTGATTGTATTGTGGCGTAATAGATGAGGAAGAAGGCTCCACCCAGAAGAGCCAGAACAATCAGGTTAAGAGTGGACCTGAGGATGTAGAGACGCATCTTCTGTCCCAAAGTCCTCTGACCCTTACGCATGGAGAAACGCTGCTCATCAAGGAAGAGCTGAGGAGAAGGATAAGAGTAGCAGAGGCAACGTTTACTCCTAAACGAAAACAGTACGACAGGACACAATACCACACAATACGATACGAAACAACACAATATGATACACTAGACAAGAAAAGATTACTTACCAGACAATATAAAGCAGTGCGTGAAACAATACAATACAATACGATACAATACGATATACGATACAGTATGATACAATATGATATGATACAATATTTTATGATATGATACGGTATGATACGATACGACACAATATGATACAATACGATAGTGTACAATATGATACAATATGCTACGATACGGTATGATATGATACGGTACGATGATACAATACGATATGATGCGATACAATACAATATGATACGATACGATATGATATGATATGATATGATATAATACAATACACTTGTACCCTAAGTCAAAAATGTAGAATTTCTCTTGATGTCCTCTTTTGATAAATATTGGTTGATGATGTGGTCAGTTAAACTGGAAGGGGAATCTGTCAGGAGTGTTTTATTAGCTTAGCTTTTAATGAATATTTATTTGTTTTATCTTTATTTACTCTAGTTTGCCAAGGTTTCTTATTTTATATTTATTTATATCTATTGTTACTAAGATGGTCTGTGTTTTATTCATATTTTTGTTTTTACTTGTTTTATCCTTTTATCATTTTTATCGGCACCAGGAGTGGTGGTCGGCTGTGGTTGCAGGGGCCAGTCATGCAGTTCCTGGTGGAGGTTGGTGTCTGCTACATCTCTCCTCTGACCCTGTGTCGGTGTCCTGTGGCTGTGGGCGGCTCTCTGCTCCTGGTGCTGACGGCTCCTCTGATGGTGCTTTCTCAACTGGTTTATCTGTACTCAGCCTCATGTCCACCATCTTATCATATGTGCCAGTGCGTTGCCGTGTGTGTGTGTGTGTCTGTGGCTTTGGATGAGATTATATGTGACTGTTGACTGTAGATTGTATTGATGGGCAGGGTAAGGCATTTGTGGATCTGTGGGGCATCTGGGATAGTTTTTTGTTTTTAAACTGACTGTACAGCACTTTGCGTAAAAGTCTTCTGTAGAAAAAGCACTTTATAAATACAGTTTGATTTGATTTGATGTTATTATTTTAGTTAAAATACCTTTTTTTTGTAGCAGAGATGCAATGGTTTTTCACCATGAGTCAAGGTGAGAATAGATTACTTAGCTGATATTTTTCCCACCCATAACAGGCAATCTAATTCAAACGTTTACATCAATCTAGACATTATATCTGTGAAATAAAAACAAAAAAGAACTGCTTAATACATTTATTTAATTTATAACCCTCTCCTATTTTGTTTGAGAGCACTTTCAACCTGAGTTTGATAAAGCAGTCAATACACCTCTCTTTAAAAAGGGTTTTGAACATCTGAACTAAATGTTTATTCCCTTCTTTTCCAATTATTTATTATGTTTGTACATATGTGTCACAGGGGCACCCTCAGTAATTTATGTCACTGATATGAGGCTCATTTTTAGGCTCCAGTGTTCATATAACAACTATTCATTACTGAGCTAGCTACCATTTAGTGCTCACAGCTCTTGCTGTCCTGTTGAAATGGGCCGTGTGAGCTACTGTAACCAGCCAACTGTATGATTGTCCAGTAATTATTCTGTTCCTGCTCAGAGATCTTTGTGTAGCAGCAACAGAGTTCGTTAAACCAGCCAGCTGCAGTGAAGTGCAACTGTGCATGTAGCCTACATATGCATGCATACGTTTGTTTTTGTCTTGTATTTGCAGCAAAATCAATGTCTATTGGTTTGCAGATGTGACAATAGTCTTTAAAATCTCATCAAATCTGTAAACTAACAAATCATTGGTGAATTACAGAACAGTAAATTTAGAGGATTTGCGCAGAGATAAAACTGTTAAAGGTATTTTCCTACACAGTACGACAGAAATAGTTCTTTACCAGCATTTGACTAATCATGTGAAAATTAGAGAAGTGTTTCTTTTGAGTGCGTCATTCACCTTAAGATCATTTCTGATGAAACTGCGTTTGAGAGCAGCTGCTGAAGGGTCGTGGATGGTGAAGTCCCAACCACATAAGATCTTGTAGCATACATTGGTGCTGTAACGTTTCCCCAGCATCCAGGTGTGTTTATAGCCAACGATGGTTCTGTTAGACAAGTTTACAGATAAACAGACTTTATAAAGATGCTTTTTTTAGGATAGGCGTATAAATGAAAGTTTTATTCTGACCTGCGGACCACCATGATGAGACTGAGGAGGAGGATGGTTAGGATTCCAGAGAAGTACAGCAGAGGTGTATTCAGACACGGTTTATCCAAGGAACCTCGAGTGTAGAAACCAAAGAAGACTGGAGAGCGATCCAGATAGCCCTGTCAAAAAAGAAAGTAGTGAATAAATGACATGAAACACACATGGAAAACATAAGCACAATAACAGAAAACCTTACTGATCCCAGGAAGAAATCCAGGAAAGAGTCACTGTCTTCAAACCTCAAAGGTACTGTAAGATCACAGAGAACAACACAGCAGTGACTTTGGAGGCCTCAGCAACTGTGAACCGTGGCTGATCTAGTGTAACGTTGTCATTACAGCTGACCCACCACTGTTTTTGCTCCTGCCATAATACGCTGTAGGCCCCAGTATGAAGCCTGAGATCAGAGCGCAGTGAAGAAGGTTGAGGCAAATCAGATATCTGAGGAAGATGAAGTACGACTTCACGCCGACTCCGAACCTGCCTGAAACCCACCAGAGACAGTTTGAGAACAAGTGAAGTCTCCTGTACACTTGAAATCGACACAAAACAAGGGGTCCTCAAACCGAGTTTTTCTTACCTTCAATGGCGTGGAGGGTACGCCGCCATGGCAACAAGCTTGATAGAGCTCCTCCCATTTGTGCCCAGATTCTTTTCGCGTTGATGCTCTGGCTCCGCCTCCATGACTCCCAAAAGCCAATATTATTCCTTTGCATTTTCCTCCTGTCCCTGTTGAGAGTATACAGAAGTAGTTCATTCAGATTTCTCTCCTCTGTTTGGAAGACATCTCCTCCACACATTTATAAAATCATTTACCCGTGTTCGGACCTGAGTTGGTGATTAGAAAGATTGTTTTTAAATGTCACAGATAATTAAAAAAGCAGGTTTGAAAATGTTTTTAACGTGACTGTCTCTCACCTGGCGTCTCTTTTCCCCTGAATACACATGACCAGGTTTCTGAGAGGCTGTGTAGACGTCTTGTCTCTAGACAGAGCGCCATAGCTGGTCCTCTCCCCCGACTCGGGACCACCCTGGTTGGCCTGAGCAGGTCTGATGGCCTGGATGCTGGGCAGCTGATCAAATATCTCAGTCTGATAGTACTCACAGGAGTCAGATGACAGGGTGGACTGAGTGCTCTCCTCTGAGGTGAGAAAGACAGCAGTGTGTGATCCTCTGACATGATACATTCATGAAAAAGTAAGTCAGAGTGCATGCTTGCAAAGGATGCATTTGGTCTGTAAAAGTTAGCACAATTTTAAGACACTAAAAGCTCTTGGATCTGAACCACAAGTGGAGTTTTCTCATCAAAACAACAACAACATGAATCAAACCAATTTAGCAGGGAAATCAAATCTTAATTCATTCACTATAATAGCTGCTGATTACGTTTTCTCAGGATTTGATAATTGATTACTGTCATGATTGTTCAGGGCTCTCTAATTGGGCCACATTGTATCTTACAGAAAAGTACAGAAACTTGTTTGTAGTTTCTGTGTTTTTTCTGCTCAGTTTAACACAAAAGCACAGACACAGTGCTGAGCAAGCAAGATGTCTCTTCGGACAGATTCACCCATATTTGTGTCGTTTTTGTTACCTGACAGGAGTCTCATTAAACCGCCAGGGTTTAGCTCCTCCATTTTGTCTTCTTGCACTTCCTCTTCAGCGTGAAACATTCAAACCCCAATCTTCTCGCCTCAAGCCAGCAAACATCTCCACCAGTGCTGCAGCTCCAAGCGCTGAAAAACAGTTACTTCCGCAGCCTCCATCTTAACAGCTTGACTGCCACTTCACACTGACACCACCCTGAGAGGCTGGTAAGTGAGCCAGTCTGGTTCCCGGGGTCCTGTCTGTGCTGCTCACTCTCTGGGAGGTGGAGTAGATGTGAAGTTTGTCCACATATTGACTGACTGCGAGGGTGGCCAAACTTGACAGCTCTCAGGAAATCACATGACAGGATGCAGAAGTAGGTGTAGCATTAGTTGCTGAAAATATCACATAAAGTTCACAACATAACAAAAATGTTCACACCTATACTGTGGATAACCTAACCTAACAGGCAGACTAGTGTGTGCTCAGTTTTGTTTGATGTGTACAGGATTAAATCAGAATAATAATCTGCCCATCTGTTTTCTTATCATTTCTGCTTATTGATTTGCTAAATTACTAATTGATTTTTGTGAAATTGCTTAGCTACATTCTGACATGACAAATTTTGAGACCATTCAACTTAAGGGTTTATGTAACTATGTGATTTCTCTGTATACTCAGTTGTCTTTCTAAATCATAGACTTTATTCTGCAGTTCTCAACACTGGGTAAAGTTGACATGAAACAATGTGCAGTGTTTCATCATTTGGAAACTTACTCTTGTATTAGAGGCGACACAGTGATGAGATCTTTCCACCCACCTCACCACAAAGACATTGAAGCTTGCAGTTAGCACTTCTGGAAAGATGAAACACAATCGACAATGTGCTAGTTTGACCTGCTCTTATTTTCAACTCAGCTGAAACTGACATGGACTCACTTTTACAGACTTATTTTTATGTAATGCTTCTTTTATATTTTTTATCTTTTGTCTGTCATCTTTTATCTCTTTTAACCCTTATCTTATTTTGGCTTTACTGTCTTTTTAGCTTTTGTTATACTTGTACTCTTTTCTTAATTAACCTTTTAGGCCTTTTATTGTTTTATCTCTTGCTCATTTCTGTTGCTCTATTTTCTATGTGCTTTATGACTATATGTCAAAGCACTTTGTAAACTTCTGTTTTTAAAAGTGCTACACAAATAAAGTTGTTATTATTATTATTATGGGGCGCAGCATAAGATAGTCACTTGGAAAACAACTGTACTGATATGGTCTCTCCTGCCAGTCAGATAGAGTAATTTTTATTCCACTCAAGTAAAAATAGCAGTAACTCAAATAGCTCCTCTGTAAGTAAAAAGCATCATATTACAGGTTTTAGCAAGTGTAGACATGTTGGTAACAAATAACAAATGGTGAATTAATCTAACTAGATGCTGTAATACAGCAAATTGATCCATGCAAAGATAATGTTGGATTTATAAATGGATTAGTGTTACTATTTATGGCTGTGAATGAACCAGTGCATTATGCTTTTGTCAGCTTAAAATTAAAGCAGTAAAATAAAACACATAGGGGAGAGTGGGGTAAGATGAGCCATCTTTTATATTATAGATCAGTACATCAAGGCAATCATAGTTTTGTCTCTAGTAACAACACATTTCAACAATCTGATCTGAAACTCTGATCCTTTCATCAGACCTCTTTACTTTCTCAGTTGAGCCACTGGCTAAACTTACCCCAGAACTACTATTATGACTTTATTAGTCCTCTAATATGCTAGGTTTTTGTAGGTTTTGTCATATTGTAGCTCATAGATACCACAATTGATGTATAAAACAAATTTAAAATGATCTTTTCTGGTCTGAACACAATTCTTATAAAACATATGACAGACTAAATTCACTTTTAAGACTGAAAAATGTTTTTTTTTTTTTGTTAATAAATGTCTAATTCCTTCACCCATGTGCTTCTCACCTTCACAGACTCCATGAATTGATGCCCATCTCCTAATGGCATCTCCTAAATATTTGGTCACATGATACACAACTTACCCTTTGGCTCAACTTACCCCAGTCTCCCCTACAGGCTTAGATCTGTAGTAAAATGATGAATTATACAACTCCACTTAACCATTCGCTGTTTTTTGATTGTCAGCTTGGGTGTGTGCATGTAAAGACAGGAGGTTAAAGGACCAGCATTACTGTTTTTTGTGGTCAGGCTGTACTTTTGTTGTCACGGTGCTGTTTGTATTACATTTCAGGCCTCTTCTCTTGATAGCAGGTGAGTTCTACATCCTCCACTTTGCCTCCTAGCGTCGTATGTAGGTCATATCTTTAATAAAAGAAAGTTAAACATAAGTCAAACTCTCGAGTGAGATGAGATTTGACCGTCGTGTACACTCTTCCTATCGTTCCTGCAAACAAACACCGGTACAGAGGGGTTTCATTACAAATAGGGGCGAACCAACAGGCGCGACGTAATAGGGGTCACAGTAACTTCACCCTGTCATCAGTGAGCGGTTTTAGCGCTGAATCTCTTTTGCATTTTGGTCGCACTCGTAAAATACTATTTATGCTTTAAAGACAGAAATATTTTTTAATAAAGAAGGTTAAAAAATTTATTTTTGAGAAAGTATAAAAAGACAACATCTCCCGGAGAAAATGGTTTGTCCCCCTGCTGTTGGATTGCGCGTGCAGCAGACTATTTTGACTGACATACTCGGAGAGTGAACTGGTATATCGAGTCCTGAGAGCGGGTGAGTGGGAGTACTGGGAATCTCTGTTTAAGATTTAGGATGTGGTTTCGCCTCATTTTTCTACTTAACTATAATCGGATTTGTTGTGACTTTCAGGGAGAACTTTGTGAAACTCATTGATAACTTTGAGACCTCGCTGTCAGTCGTCGGTCAGGTTTACAGGTACAGCACTCTCGACTAACTACATAACAACAAAGTAATGAAGTGACCTGCTTTAACATGAACTGCTCAACTGTTTCTTTGTCTTGTTTTGTGCTGGTCGGAGTTTGATCTTGTTTCTTCTCGGTTATTGAGTAACAGCAGGGTGGTTTGTTGTAGCCGGAGTCTTTCTTGTACACTCTTATGTATCAGAAACTAACTTGTAAAACCAAAAACAGGGTGAGATTTTTGTTTAAGCACAGGGGCTTCCAGTTTCTGCTCTCAAACTAACTTTAAACCTGTAATTTTGTGTGATTTTTTTCTGAATTGAGGTGGGAGGTATGCAGTTTTATGGGCCCCACTGTGCAGTAACAGTATAATTTTGTGTATGCATGACTGCCTGTGTTAGAGCCAGCAGAGTGGTTTGAATGGCATTTTTCCTTTTGTCTGCCTTTTCCCCTGTTAGTATCCTTTAGCTGCTCCCTGACTCCTTTGCTCCTTTTTTTCACTCAAATTACAGTGCTGCATGTTTGCTCCTTTAATCTCCCTTAGTAAATCCTCTGCTCTTGGGACTGACTGACTGACTTGGGAGGGTACTAATACACAAGTATCCGTGTCAGTGTATTTGCTGTGGCTCTGTGTCTCTCCTCCCTCTGTTGGTTTTGCCCAGCACCCTGGGAACCGATTGTCCTGCAGTTGTTGAAAGCTGTCAAAGCAGAAGAATTCACTAAGATGACTCCTCCCTTCCTTTACCCCTATGCGTCCCTCTCATATCTGCTGATAGCTGCTGTCTGTTTTCTGGAAAAAGTGTTGAATGTATGTAATGTAAGCCAGTGTTTATTCTAGGATGGGGGTGTCTTCTTTGCCTAGTTTCTACCTCTGCTCCTAGAACTTCAGTGAGGCTTTTCCCCCAGGTTTTATTTCCTTTTTCTTAAAGCAGCAATGCTCTATAATTAAATTGTAACCTCACATAAACCCACGCTCAACCAATCTGTATTCTATTATCCCCATTTTATTTTATTTGGCAATCCTGCAGTTCAACCCCGACCCCCTGTCAGGCTGTGTTGAGTGTTCCCACCCCCTCTATATCCTGCTCAGGCTGTAGGGTCTCAAAGGACTGGTCAGACACTAGTTATCACATATACACACATTAAAAAGGACACAAAGAGTCACCAGAGGGCTAAACATATGGTGTTTAAGAATGACAAGCCACCTCGGCATTGCAGAAGTTCATGAAGCCTTTGTGTTTGAGACTGATTAAGACACAAAATCAGGTCAGCAACAAAACAAATCTGTGGATTGGCCCTTCGAAAGAGTTGTAACTTGATCTGGGAAACCTCAGGTGATGGAAAAGTGTTCCTGAGAGGGAAGAAAAAGAGCAGATAGGAGCTGAAGATAACTGTAGCAGCGGTTAACTCAAAAGTGGGATCAGTGTTGATTCTGGCGGAGGGACATTTTTGAGCTGTTCTGTCATGTAGTCTGTGTTTTTGGCTGACATTGGGAGCTGCACCCTGCAGCATACATGCAGCTAATAATCATATTCTCTCGAAAGCAGAATCAGAAAGACCTCCACCCTGAGCTCAAATCTGGGCGTTTATTGAAGCTAACACATGTGGTAAATTATGCACAAACTGTATGCTGGAAAAACCAAACTGATACTGTTTCCTGCTGCGCTGTTAGTGCCTTTGATTAATGCACTTTGCAGTTGCTGTATGACTGCACCAGGCATATTATTGATGCAGAGGTGTTCCTGAGAACCCAAACTTTCTTGAGCAGTGGTTTTGTTTTGGGGCAACACTTAGTGAAGGGACTTACCCAGAATGCCAGAGACTCATGCATGCCTCTTGTTTCCATCTCACTGAAGACAGCCTTGTTTAACTTGATAACTCAAGAATGTGAAACCAAGCAGCAGCTCCCTATACAGATATATCCAGGAAGAATACTCCATGTTACTAGAGAGTATGAAATCCTTAGAAGACCTTCAGAAACTCCCACAAGAACATACATGATCTCAAGAGGCACGTATCACTCAATGGTGGAGCTGGGTGCATGTAAACAGGATGTGGATTTGACTTTTTATACGTCCTGAACTATTCTTAACAAGAACTGTATTAAGATCTAAATTGGAAAAATCTGTTTAGTTGGATTAGAATTAAACCCTGGGGAAGATTTATGATCCTTTTCCTGTTTTGGGGAAACAGATCATTGGGATATCTAGTCACTCATTAATAAGAATGATCCATTTATTGTCCCTTTTAATACAAAAACCTGTATCTCACTACCAGGGGTGGGAGAAAAAATCGATACAGCATTGTATTGCGATATTTTGTCTGGTGATGTATCGTATCGTCTTGTTTACCAAGTATTGATATTTCGAATGTATTGCTAATATGAAGTCAAATCTATGGTAATGAAAAAAATAAAATCAACTGTTTGTCCAGTGAGGTTGGCAGAGGAGACATCATAGAGCAGAAGAAAGTTAGTACTACAAATATATAAAAGGTTTGCAAAATGTGCTACGTGAAAATAAAATACAGAGTAAATAAGACAAACATAAAAAAAAGACAAATGCTAAATTAGCTTAACAGTTGAAAAAATTGTATAAATTGCAATATTTAGTATCAATACTCACTGTATTGCTCAATGTTAAAAATCACAATAATATCGTATCATGGCCCGAGTATCGTGATATTATTGTATCGTGACCAGTGTATCGTGATATTATTGTATTGGTCCCCATGTATTGTGATAATATCGTATTGTGGCCCAAGTATCGTGATATTATCGTATCGTGGCCCAAGTATCATGATAATATCATATAGTGGCCCAAGTATCGTGATATCATCGTATCGTGGCCCAAGTATCGTGATATTATCGTATCGTGTTGAGATTGTGCTGTGATAATTTATGCACGAATGAATGTTCTGTTTTTAATAAGTATGTCATGAGGTAGGAAGTAAAAAAGTGTTGAGTAGAATAGATGGAAGGTACTTGCGGTTTTTGTTCTCTCATAAATCAAATGATAAATCAATCATGCGTAAAGACTTAAAAATAAATGATTTTTATGTAAATCCAGTGACCTTGAAAATCATGTGTGGGGTCATGAATGAAAGTAATGGCCTAAAGGTTCATTACACCTACTTGGACCCTTACCTGCTGATATGAATTATCCTCCGCAGTGGTGTTTAGCAACCCTGAAAACCTGTAGTTAATAAACAGGAAGAAGAAAGTGTCTCCAGATGCACTCCACAACCCATCCGTTTAATGCTGTGTTTCTTCTGTGAGGTATAAAGGTCGATTTTAACTCTAATGTTTTATGAGCAGCTGGAACTTCAGAGCAGTCATTAAACTGGGTTGTGAGGCTTGTTTCATTTTCCCACAGCTTTTTTTAAAAACACACTTGTGTGACTCTGTAGAGGGCTTATATAGACACTAATGAGTACCTGGATTCAATTTCCTTTAATCCTCCAAACTGCACTGATGTTGAGTTTTATAACCTCTGTGGTTATGTTGTACACAGCAGGACACGCTGTCTCTGTGTCTCTGTTGGAGGTTTATGAACAGACAGAGTTTTGGACTGAAGTAATGACCTTTAAGATACAAACAAACAGAAACCAACGTGCTTCCTTCAAACCTTCCATATGACACACGCCAGCTGTAAACGCTGACAATGCATCATTCTGCCTACGGGCATGAATATTCATTCATTATACTGGTGACTCGGAGGCATCTGACTCTGACTGTGGTCCTCATCACAAGCAGAGAAACAAAGGAGCTCTCATGACTCTGGACAAAAGTGACCCAATCCACCAAACAAAGTCACCAGAATGACTGTCACATTACATGACGAGGGAAGAGGCTGTGAGATGGATGCATGAAATGGCAAACTGCACTTTGTTCTGTCATTATATCGGCTTTGAGTTATTAGAGGACATAATCTATTCAGGTCTCACAGTTTGTTTCCTCATTGTGCATTTAAAATGTTTGCAGGACAAGCAGTAACATGACAGGAGTGTTCAAATTCCAACAGAGTCTGCTGCCTTTTCTTTTTTTTTTACACCTTTCTAACTCCTCCCCTTTCCATTCCTACTACTCCGCCTCACCCTCTTTGTCTCCTCCTCCCTCTTCACAGGTAAAGGACTAAGCAGCATGGTGGGAGGGGAGTGCAGGTCTGGGCTGGTGAGGGTGTGATCCCTCCACAACTGAGACAGACGGCCGGACAGCGAGACCGGGGAAGGAACGGAGGAATGGCTCGCAGCGTGAACTTTTACCTGAGCGCCCCTCTCATGGAGGCTGGACTGGAGTGAGTGTTTCCTCTCGGTCTCTCTGTGTTTTCTTCCTCTGTTTTTTTCTGAGCTTCAAACTTCACTTCACACAGCTGTACTCGACATGAAGGCTGTGAGGTCGGGAGGGGAAGTTAGGAACTGAGATAACAGGATTAAGTGGACTCTTTGAAGCGTTGTTGGGCATTGAATAGAAAGACAAACTACAATGCAGAGCGCCTTTCATGTTCTGATGTGTCTGTGTGAGAGTGTGTGTTTGTGTTTGTACACAGTCTGTCTGAATGTCAGTGTTTACATTGAGAAAGAGTGCAGACATGTTTGGCGTCTGTAGGTCCTCTCCTCGTTCTGTCTGAGTAAGTCAAAGGTGATTTGAAGCTGTTTTTTTTCCTTCTCTCTTGCTCTCAGAGAGTGTATTCCAGAAAATGCATCGCGAATAAACCGAACAGAAAGTGATCTTTGCGTTACGAATGAATCAGCAGGGCCTGACAGATGTGTCTGATGTCTGTATGACATTTCTGAATGTCTCAGGAAGGCAGTGGGTTTTATCTGTGGTGTCGTAGGTGAGAAACAGTTTTCAGAGGGTTTAAATCTGCAATGAGGTCAATAAAACAAAACTATAAAAATGTTTTCGCTCTGTTGTTCTCTCACATAAATACTCCTAAAACTAGATATGAGTAGTAGATATGATGAGCACCCTCCAACAGGAGTGCTATACTTGTGACCATATTGATTATTTATTTACTTTTTTTTATCAGCTGTACACTGATAAAGCTGTCTTGACATTATGTGGTTGTTCTTGCTTACTGGCCTGGTTAAAGCACCTCTGAGGAACTTTGGGGATATTTGTTCAGCTGTTTGATAACACCTACCCCCTTGCACCTGTTTTCAACCGCTTGCTTCTCTAGTTTTACCTACTTAAGTAACAGCCACACAATAGCAATACACAGTGGTCTACCTCTCCACATGCAAACCTCAACCAATAAGCCACTCTATAGCCACAAATGATGCTCAGAACAGCACCTAACTTAAGTACTAGCTGTTAAACATCTTTTTAGCTTTGCCTTGTTTCTTCAGCAAAGAGACCAAATACAACTCACCCACTCTCCTCCAGCAGCCGCTTGTTTGTGGGGGAGCCCTGATGAGTCAATCACAGAGTGCAGCGGATGATTTCCTTGAAGTAATAATCATCATAATGATCATTTTGCACTGCAGACGCTGTAGTTCTTCCGCCTTAGCGTCTCAATCTGATTGCATTTCCATGAAGTAATAATCATAGATGTTCTTCCTTGAGCTGCGAAACTCCACTGCACTCGGTGATCGCTGCTCTCCCCCACAAACAAGCAGCTGCTGGAGGAGAGTGGGTGACTATCCTTTAATTTTTTTAATGCATGAAACCGGAGTGAGGTTTTAGCTGCTGAAGAAACAATCCTGTTTTTACATTTTACATTTACAATATTTACAATAAATAGTTAATGTGTCTGACAAAAGCCAGCAGTATGGGATTGCTTTCTTTTGCCACCTGCTTCAGCTCTGTTAGCGCTGTTATTGTTTGTTTAATCAAGTGAGTACCTATCATGGGAAGGACTGCTTGTTTTTCCCTCCCTCAAAAAGTAGCAGGTGGTGACTATCATAACAGAAACTTGTGGTGTGCAGGCGTCTGTGTTTGGAGTGCCAATCATCATTGACGGGGATTTAATGAGCTACTGTATTGGAAACAAAATACTGACATAGTTTTGATAACATTGTTGCTGATGTAAAAGTCTACCATCCTGTTTCTGTCTTTAGTGTCATTTTAAGTGTGCTCATGTCCGAATGTGCCCTTTCAGGAGCCCAATAGATGAGGAGGGAGTCCACGACTCATTCAGCCAGCTGATCGCAGAGCAGAGTCAGAATGGAGGAGTACCAGACGCTTTTGAGCTGCAGCAGCTGCAGAGAGATCTGGACGAAGAGGGACAAGGTACTTTGTGTTTGAGAGCATCAATGTGAAAAAGACTGAATTTGTGTAAAAGCTCATTCTGTGAAGTAAAAACACTATCAAGATAAGTATGCTAATCAAATTAGGTTAGTCTTGTCTTTTCCAGCAGTTGCAATAATGCTTTTAATTTCTCTTTGTTTGTTTTAACGCCACAGATAATGTCCCTTACCTGCCCAGTCCTGGACCAGAGTACAGAGGAAGGCCTGAAGGGCAAACAGGCACAGAGTGGGAGGATAATGATGGAGAGATGGACCCTCTGGTGGGTGAACGGTGGTCCTCTGCCACCATGAAGATCCTGTCCTCCATGCCCAGTCGCACAATCGGTGAGTCCTGACGTCAGCTCATAAAAAAGACACAACATCTTATAGTGTTATTAAGTATAGAGTGAGATTAAATGGCACCATATTTTGCTTTTTTTAATTTCATTCACAACTTATGATGAAACACCACGTTTGCCCTGTTAAGTTGCTGTTTTTCAGAGATTCAATAGCTCTGTAGTTCATCTCAAAGTCAGGTTCGGTGTTAGCATGGCTTGATTTAATGAGGGCGTGAAAAACAAGACTGTTTCAGCTGAGCGGAGTTTCATAGGGAAGCTGTTTGTCATCTTCCTGTGGCAGGTCAGATGCAGACGGCTGTTGTCTGATTTGTTTAAGCTGTGCCACACAAGAGTATATGTGCTGGTTTGGCTTCCTATACAGAAAAGACGGCTGTTTATCTTGAAGTACTTCCTCTCTGTAAACATCCGCTAAGTGTCATTTAAATTTACGCTCTTCTGCTTTGTGGAACCAGTTTAGCTGCTAAAACTTCAAACCTGCTTTGGTTCATGCATTTTTATTTGATGTTCCAGTAGATGACTTTGTGAAGCATCTGTGTTTTTGTCTCTTTAGTCTGTTCAACAAACATTTACAACTTAAGAAGACTGAGTATCTCTGGTTTGATGTCTACAGAAGAGGATTAGGGCCACGTAAAGAGAAAAAAATAATTACAGGAAGGAGATTAAAGTCGAAATTTCGAGATTAAAGTCGAAATTGCGAGAGTACAGAATGTCGTGAATAAAGTGGAAATTTTGAGATGAAAAAAATTTACATTTCGAGATTAAAAAAATTACAATTTTGAGACTATAGTCGACACAAATCAAGTCAAAATTTCGTGAATTAAATCGAAATTACAAGGCAATTAAGTCAAGGCAAATAAAGATAAAACTTCATGAATAATCCTCCCTCCTGAAATTATATTTTTTTCTCTTCTTGTGGTCCTAATCATCTTTCATAGATATCTCACTCTTACTTCTTGTGAAGGTGACAATTCAAACAAGAAGTTTGAGAACAAGAGATTTCAGTGCAGGCTGATCTCATCTGTAAATCTCATCCTTGTCCTCAGGTCGCAGCAGAGGAGCCATCATCTCTCAGTATTACAACAGAACCATGCAGCTCCGCAGGCGCAGACAGACCAGGCCTGCTATTGCAGGCAGCTATCGCGCCGCCAGACCGAGCATACGAGGCTACGGCATAGAGTCAGACACCACAGATGATGTAGCAGGTGAGGACGGGGACATGCCTGATGTAAATATGAGAATAAACATAAACCTCTGTTCAAAAAGGTTCAAATGTAACAGATTCTGCCTGTGAATGTTACAGCGAGTAAGAGGGACCGTTTGGTAAACAACCTGCAGAACCTGTCAGGGGGCGACCGAGTGAGGATGCTCAGAGCGATACCTCTCAGTGTGGCCGAAAAGAGGGAACTCAGGTGGGTGATGTTTGCCACTGGTGTTACTATGTGCAGGGATCAATCATACAGTATGTGTATATAAACAGGCGTAAATGTCTTTGTCTGTCTGTCACTAGGAGGTTGGCTTTACAGAAGGAGCATCGCACACAAACGGCCAGCAGAATCCCCTGCTGCAGTCAGCTCAAATATTACATCATCATAGTGAGTTACAACATTTCCTCATTTCCCTCCTTTTACCCAACAAGTTAACTCTGGAGTATATTTATATTAGTCAGACAGACTCCCACATATATTTCTACAATAGTGATGTCAGTCAGATTAGAGTAATCACAGTTTCAAAACAACTTTAAAAACACTCTGCAGCCTGTTGCATCACAGTCCAAATAATGTCTTTGGGATTGTTGGGTGGCCAAGTCAGGTTTTAAGTCAGGTCCAGACTCCCCTGGACACCCCTAACTCCGACCCTGCACCCAGGCAAAATTACCCATCCATCTCATCGTGCATCTTTGTGCAATGTCTGCATTTACACAACATCCAGATGTTGCAACACACCCTAACTTCAGCACTAATCTCTGTTTAGTCTGCTCTTACTGCCAATGCATGAAAACACTAAAAGGCTCACTAGGTGCGACAGAAATGACTTAGACGTTTACTGTCCTCTCAACAGGCAGTTCTGACGTCAGAATTTCCCTTCAGGGATCAATAAAGTTATTCTTTTTCTTAGATTTCCCTAATGTAAAGCATCAGTTCTGTCTCAGCGTGGTTGGGAAACAGATGTTTCGTAACAAGAATCTGTGCGCTGATAATGCTGATCTGGTGTCTGTTTCTTCACGGCTGAAACTCAGTTCTTAACATTCACTGATGATCCACTGAACTGCGCAGGAAAGTCAAGCTCCATGCGAAGTGTTAGATAACATCACCACATCCATTTGGCACAACAGGGTTCAGTCTCATTTTCTCTGCTTCATGTCTGTATCATGTTTTCATCACCATTCAGTGACTTTTATGGATAACTGAGCTGTAATCAACCAAAACCCTAACCCTGACCCTGAAATTTTCCACCAAACCTGACACTCTAAATAATAATAAATATTCAGCAAACCACCGGACGTTTATTAACGTGGACGCTCCTCTTCAGTCATCCTGTGTCAGCCGGTCTCCAGTGGGTTGGGCGAATCCAAAATGGTGAAAACAAGGGGGGTGTTCTGAGACAGGCTGGAACCTGTGAAACGGCGTTGCTCTGAAAACACCCCCATTAGCACTTGGTACGTTCCTCCTGATGAAATTAACCACAGACTGTAAATTGACGCAGAAAAAAATCGAGTCGACTAATCAGAATTTTAGTCGACTCAGCACGTATCGACCAATAAGTCGACCAGTCGACTAGGACTTTACAGCCCTGAACAAGTCTTAAAAAAACTCAGAATCAGGATTTGAAGCAGTAATTTCATAAAAAGGTCTCAAGACAGGAGCTTTTGAAGCTTGAAATATCATGAGTCTCCATTATAGTCATAATGACGTTAATGGTTTCTAGATGACTCACTCAGTTAGGCTCAAAGAAGAGATTAACATGTATAGTTTGTAGTGTTGTGATATGCTTTGTTGCCATTGAGTGAAGTGTCAAAGAAGTGAGCTGAATTGAGTTACACAGTCTCAGCCTTGTCTCTTCAGTCTTACATTTGGCCATCGGTTCATCCATCTAGACAAAAAGAAGTGATGATGTATGATCTTTCACTGATAAAAAAGGGCGCGCACACACACACACACACACACACACACACACACACACACACACACACATATAGACACGCGTATAGACAGCGCCACACATTCCTCTGTGCGGCTGTCACTGGGTGTCTGTGGGTATTTCCTGTAGGTGTTGTTATCATGTAATCACTTTATTGCTCAAGCGTTTTCTGCTCAGGGAGTGTGAGTCAGAGAGGCCAGCCTTAAACACTGAACACAAACATGTGTACACTCTGCCTGAGGTTATAAACTATTGCATTACTGCTTGTTTCAGTCGAAAAGGCCAAGTTTCTGCATCACCTCTTAATGACTTCACTATGTTATAAACTGATAAAGCAGGTTTTTTCAAATGTTACTTTTTGCTGACTGTCATTTTCTCCGTTTTCCCTTCACGTCTCTTCTCAGGCGGCGAGGCAGAGTTGGTACAGCTGGCTGTCCTTCCTGCACTCGCTCCAGCTGTGGCAAGTAGCTCTCAAGAGAGTGAGCGGACGGTTCGGTTCTGGAGTCCTCTCATACTTCTTGTTCCTCAAGACCCTGCTCTTCTTCAACCTCTTCTTGTTCCTGGTGACAGGGGCCTTCTTGGTGCTGCCTCAGGCGGTGCACCCCCCAGCACCATCTATAGGGAGACGCTCCTTCTCTGGACTGGAGCTCCTTACTGGAGGGGTAAGAGAAGTGCGCATGTGAAGTGATATGTTGATGCAACGCTTCTCAAACACAGTAGAGCCTCTTTTTGAAGAGAAGCGTCACCACATCCTGGAGACTTTAGTTTCCAGTCAAGTACCCGTCCTCCAGGGTGCACAGTCACACTAAACTTACCAGAGAAGTACAAGATGTCTTCTGTCAAACAGGCCAACTTCTGAAACTAGATATATTTACATCTGAACAGATTGTAGATTGAAAAATGTATAAATAGTCTAAATATACAAAAAAGGTAAACGACTGTGTTCTACTGACCCAAATATCATAATCTGTGACGCACGGTATTTGCAATAACTGGAGTTCCTCTTCATCTCATTTCTCAGGGCTATTTCTCAGACTCAGTGATGTACTACGGTTACTACTGCAACTACACACTGCGCAAAAGCTGCCAAGAGGACGTCCTTGTGGCGAATGAAACCCGATCAAACTGTGCATCAAAGCATCATTCTTACAACATGCCACTTGCGTACTTCTTCACCATTGGATTCGCTTTCTTCATCACATGCATCATCCTGGTGTACAGGTAGATGCACAAGATTTAAAGAGAAACTGCACCAACAAAATGTCATTATATCATTTTTAATAAAATGTGATTCTGTGTAATTTTACTCACAGCATGTCGAAGTCTTTCGGTCAGAGCTTCAGGATCGACAAATCTCGCAGCATCTTAGCCATAAAGGTCCTCTGCTCTTGGGACTTCAAGGTCATAAAGAAAACATCAGTGAAGCTCATGTCGGAGAATATCTGCACACAGCTCAAGGTAAAGAGAACGAACACACACACACTTTAAAGGGATATTCCAGCGTAAATTTAAGTTAAGGTCAAACAAACCGTAACACAGACTTAGACACCCCCTCGAGAGATGAATGTTGCCGACTGCTTGCTTCTTTAGTTATGACAACTTCAGTAATGACCGTACGATAGCGATACACAGCGGTCTACGTCTCTACCTCAACCAAAAAAGCCACTCTATAGCCACAAATAATGCTCAGAACAGCACCTAACTTCATCAACAGTACATATAGGGTCCCAGCCATAGTACTAGCCACCAAACATCTTTTTAGCTTTGACTGATTTCTTTAGTAAAGAGACTAAACACAACTCACCCACTCTCCTCCAGCAGCCGCTTGTTTGTGGAGGGAGCCATGACAAATCGATCACTGAGTGCAGTGGATCATTTCTATGAAGTAATAATCATCATAATAATCATTTTGCATTTTCATGAAGTAATAATCATAAATGTTCTTCCTTGAGCTGCGAAACTCCGCTGCACTCGGTGTTTGTGTTTAGTCTCTTTGCTAAAGAAGGCAAAGTTAAAAAGATGTTTGGTGGCTAGTACTATGGCTGGGACCCTATATGTACTGTTGATGAAGTTAGGTGCTGTTCTAAACATTATTTGTGGCTATAGAGTGGTGTTTTGGTTGAGGTTTATGTGTGGCTCCTCAGACCGCTGTGTATTGCTATCATGCGGTCGTTACTAAAGTTGGTAAAACTAGAGAAGCAAGCTGTCAGCAACATTCATCTCTCGAGGGGAAGTCTAATTCGGTGTATTTGACCCTGACTTAAATTTGCGTCGGAATATCCCTTTAATTCCTCATGAAACACTTCCTCTCTCACACGCACTTGACAGGCGAGGATATACTCTCTTCTCCCTCGGGTCCCTCAGAGTATTCCTCTAACCTCACTTTCCATCCTCCCTCAAACCATCTCCTCATGTCCCTCCCTCTCTTCCAGGAGCTGCTCGCCGAGGGGAATCACAAGCAAGATGAAAAAACGAGGTGTCAGAAGCTGAAGAGACTGATGGTTCATGGTTTGGCGTGGGCAATCTGCATAGCGGGCAGCATTGCTTGTGCACTCGGTATCTACTTCTTCTCTGATCACATGCACCAGGTGAGGTGAAGGGGTTTAGAGTCCAAAGGAAGCACTCAGTTAGATTTATGATTTTGTGGTGAAAGGAGGAGTAATTTCTGGCAGTTTGAGGATTACAGAAGACAGTGAACTTGAAATAACATGTCATCTAGTTGTGAGTTGATGTCTCCTGAATTTATCCGTCTCTCTCCTCAACAGAACCTCAGACAAACTTCACGTTTTGTCCCCAAGAACCCGTTATTGAATGAGGCCAGCCTGCTGGCTCTGCCTGTGGTTGTGTCCCTTATGAACCAGCTGCTGCCTGGTCTGTTCAACCTTGTAGCCTGGATGGAGGACTATGAGTCCCCGACTATACGGACATATGTCGCCATCAGCAGGTATGAGTCCAGTCAGTGACACCAGACTTTAAGAAAGTGCTAAAGTAGATGAAGTCATTGCTTAGACGTTGTTTATTCTTTGTATTTCCAGAAACTTGATATTGAAAGTGAGTGTCCTCGGAGTCCTGTGCTTCCACTGGCTGGGTCGAGTGGCTACTGAACCTGAGAGTATCGGACTGCAGGTAGCAGAAAGGACGAGACGCAGTTTCCTCTTTCATTCAAGCCGAGCAGACAGTCATTTCCTCACATATTGAGTATAAATAATCTCAAGTGTTGTTGAGTCGCTCAGTGTTGCTTCCTCTGATCTCTGTCGTCCTCAGTGCTGGGAGAGTTTCGTCGGCCAGGAACTTTATCGTTTCCTCCTCATGGACTTTATCTTCACTCTGCTGGACACCTTGTTTGGAGAGTTTCTTTGGAGGTAGATCGATGATAAAAATGGTCTTTAGTGATAAAAGTACCACTCAATGGAGCACTTGATGACAAACTTAAGTCTATTAATACATTACAGCTTCCTCTTTTGTTGTCTCCAGGTTATTTTCTGAAAAGGTACTAAAGCGTAAAAGGAGCCCTGAGTTCGATATCCCCAGAAATGTCCTTGACCTCATCTACGGTCAGACCCTGGCCTGGTACGAGCCTCACTCTTTAGCTGTACAGAAAGTTACCTGTAATAAAGTCAAACCTGGTTTCTGTTCGGTAAAATTGAGCTCTGTTTTTCCAGGTTAGGTGTCCTCTTCACTCCCATCCTTCCTGCCGTACAGATCCTCAAACTCTTCCTGCTCTTCTACATTAAAAAGGTATGTAAATGAAAACATTGGGATTAAATGACTCACAATGAAAAAGAGAAAAAGGTTCAAACATCTTGTTTTGCTGTTTGACCGTCAGTCTCAAGTATTAAAGCTCTGACACCGGCTCCTGTGTGATTTTCTTTCTACAGAGCAGCGTGATGATGAACTGTCAGGCACCGAGGAGGCCATACAGAGTCAGCCAGATGCACACGATCTTTATCTCTCTGCTCTGCTTCCCCTCCTTCCTCGGAGCCTCAGTGTGTGTCACGTACACGATGTGGAGGTACACTTACAAAGAAAGGAGATTTTCTTTTCTTGTTATTTTTTTGGTGTGTTGTGCTGTTCACCCATTTATCTCTCTATAAAGTCATGGTTTTCTGAAAACGAGTCACCACCTCACAAGGCACCCTCTTGATATATCCAGTCACAGTGTGTGTCTTGTGTCCTTAGCATCCCGCCATCCTTCTCCTGCGGTCCGTTCCGTGGACTGGGAACCATGTTTCAAGCTGGGAAGAAGTGGATGGAAGAACTGGAAAAAGATAATCCCAACCTGTCCCTGCTGGCCAGGGCTCACTCCTACCTGCTGGAGCACCCTTTCTTCCTGTTTGTAGGAGCAGGTATCTTCCTGTGAGTACACACACACACACACACACACACACACACACACACACACACACACACACACACACACACACACACACACACACACACACACACACACACGCCTATAGCAGACCAGTAGGGCCGGATTTACTGAAGTTTTGTGGTTTTTAAAATATGCAAACTTCAGGGCACCTGCAAACAAACAAAGAAGCTGATCTTCTAACAGCGTTCCAGTGTGGATTATGATTTTCAAATAACAGGTGTTGTCCATTTAGCATGCTCGCATTGATGAATATGCAATCTGGGGTGTTTATTTTTGGTTAGTTATTTACTTTTTATCTCTTTTCAATCATCTTTAACAGAGAAAACCATAATGATTAAATTAATTCTGATATTTGTGGCCAGTTCATAGCCACTGTTGAAAGTAAAAACAGACTTTAATGTCTCCTCCCTTTCTTACTTCTTACTCGTCTGTTCGCCAGTGTTGTCTTTCTACCTGAGGTTTTCCTCTTTCATTATTAGAAGCTCGTTCCTCCCCTGCATATCCTTGTATAGCGCCGACCAGCTTTCTGGTCTGAGTCTGAGTACCTCTGAGGACAGAGCAGGCACCTCCTGCGCAACAAATAATAAAGCTGTCTTCAATAGCTGCTTGTTGATTTGGGTTGGATGTTCTGTTTTATTTGCTCAGGTTTTATTTGAAGGAAATTTGCCTATTCTCCTTTTTTCAATTTCCCCTTTTGCATACATGTTGATTTTCCTACTTGTACTCTCTTGTATCACGTTCCTCCGTTTTTGTTGTAGCTCAGTTATTGTTTCCTCTTTTACTAACACCTGCGATCGGGCTGAATTTCATTTAGCACCTGCTGTCAGTCTCCTTAATTTAGAAATCACCACCTCCACAGTCTTTGCACCTGTCGTCAACAACGCAGTTTTTTCTTAGCTAATAAAAATGAAAATGCTCACAAACTAGACGTGCAATTTGTTGGGACGCAGTTTAGTGCTTTGGAATCATTTCCATTTTGCTGATTGAAATAGTTCAAAAAGAGTAAACACATTACCTTAATAAAACTGCGGCAAATTCTCCCCCTGACCTACACTTGTCATCTGTGACGTGTTGAACTAAGTCATGTTTTTTCTCTGTTAGGATCGTCATTTACTTCCACAGTCAGGTGGTGGACGGTCAGAGGAAGATCATCAGTTTACTACAGGAGCAGATCGAAAACGTAAAACAGATTTACGTATAACTTTGGTTCTCTGGGAATTTTATCATAAGATGTTTAACTATCACTAATCTGATTAATCTGGTTTACTTTCTATCTCTGTGGTCAGGAGGGGGAGGATAAGAAGTTCCTCATAACTCGCCTGCAGTCCATCCATGAGCGAAAACGAACTCCAGCTCGGAGACAGGTGAGTCAGCTCTGTCTTAAAATGTCTAAAAATGTCTTAAAAGCTTCTTAAATTTGACACTAAAACATGATCTGTACCACCACGGCCTCCTCTGACCTTCTGTCTTTGTTTCATTGAACCTCCAGGACTCAAACTATTGAGACTCAGACTCCCCTGCACGCAGAGATGTGGAGAAACTCAGACTAGTGAGGATTTAACTGGAATAATAACATCAGGGAGGACAGCTGTGTATACGAGAAAACTATATTTTATAGATCTGCTAGATTTTATAATGTGTCTGTGGAGAAGAGGCACAAACCACACAGGAGTAGGAGGTGAAAGGAAGCTGTCTGCTTTATACATCATGATAACAGGATGAGCTGATCTCAGATTTTGGGGAGTTTGAATGTTTTTGACAGAAAAACTTGAAAAATCTAGAAGCTGATGTTTTCAGTTTACGCAGATTTCTGTCAGTCAAAGATGCACTTTTTATGTCAACTGTGAACAAGTTTTTATTTTTTAATGTTTCTCAGAAAAAAAATGTATTTAGTCCTCAGATTTTTAAATCTTTTTAGTTTTTATAGTTTTTATTAGTATGTATGTTGTAGGTGACTGTGTGGGTGTGAAACTGTTGTCTAGTGGTGAGAGTTACCACTGTGATCTCATGCTTTTATAATAAAATACATTTTATATACCAGCATGTGTTCGTTTTTATTCATGTTTTAGCAAATTCAAAAACTTTTAATACACTCTAAATATAAAGAGAAAAACATTTACTCACAAACATGCAAATTCAGCCTCAACATGTAAAGAGATTCCAGCTATCTGGTGATAAAACATAGAAAAATAAATATATAAGCTCTATGAAATTGCCTGAAGAGTGAAATAATTCTTGTACTTTTTATTAGTAATCCTTACCCATTAACTGAATATTTCAAAATGAGTAAAAGCAGCATATTTGGTAGAGGGTTGAAACAGCAGCAGCAGCACCATTGATGGATTTCTAATGAAGCTGACAGAGACGAGCGTCAGATCGCCACGAAACAGACAAACCTGTGCGCTGTCATCAGAGGTGTTTAAGTCGTCACTGCGCTGAGTGAGTATATTAGACTGAGTATACTGCATACACACACCTTTTTATTGTATTTGTGTACATCCAGACTATTAGCATATTAACAGTATAAGGTAAATCCCACTATACATCTATACATGTGTTTAAAAAAAGAGCATCTGATGAGTAAAACAGCTCGAATGTTCTGGTTTGACTCTTTTTCTCATGAGTCATTCTGTCCTATAAAGTGTTAAAATCAGTCTGATTTCTCCTCAGAGTTTTTATGTTTCTCTTGTCTTCCATTTCTGTTCAGCACCGACTCGTCTCTGCTGACAGTCTAAACATAGAGAGTAGCTCAGCTCCCGTTATTGAGCATGCCCAGTAGCGTCCTAGGGTCCATCCCCTGCTGCTGAGCCATCTTCTGCACGTCAAAGCCCATGTGCTTCAGGAACTGGATCACGCTCATCTCCTGTCCGGTCAGCTGGTCGCGTATCGTCGGGCAGGAAGGGTTACAGTGAGGCCACGGGCAGCTGTCAATCAAATGTAAGGGGCAACCCCTTGAGGGTGGGGTCCTGTTCTTTTGATGGTTGCCATGGCTACTGTTGGCGTGCCTGTTGACTTGGAGGCTGCGGTCCCAGCAGTGTAGAGCTCTAGGGAGAGAGATGCCTTTGACCTGAATGTCCATCCAGTGTCTGCAGAGACAGAGAGGTAAGAGTGGAGACGGGATACAGAGAGATTGTTAGCTATATGACAATGAACTCATGAAGTTAGTCTATTTTAACCTTAGTGCACTAAATCGTCAAATAAAGATCACATTTCTATGACTTTACTTGATCAAAATGTAAATCTGTACTGGAGTATGAGTAATATAATAATCCAGGTGTCATAGTCAATGAGACGAAAGGATGAAGTTTCCAAAGTCAGAGAAAAAGAAAAACTTTTTCTGTTGTTACAGTTAATTAAAAAAAAATCACTCATCAGTGCTCTCTGCTGGACAAACTGTGTAACAGCTACACTTATAAAATTACGTTTTCTGCCTGCCAGCATGCCGTCAATACACATTTATTTCTTTGAGATTAGCGCAATAGAAACTAGTCAACCTTGACACTGTCTCCACTGGATGATTCATCTGGCTGGTTTGTCATTTTGCTCTAGAATTCTGCCTTACCCTTTATTTTTTTTTTAACAAAGTCTATTCACAAGCTTTAATTTTCAGATCCCTTTACACCGCACAAAGTATCAATAAAGTATTTCATTACTGCTTATTGAAGAAAAGATTTATTTGCCACAGGGGGGATGTTCTGGGAACAAAAACAAACACTGTTGTATATGTGTAAAGAAAAAAATATGTTCTGCTGTCTAGCAAAAATGAAGTAGCTCACACTTTTTTATGTTTAAAGTCTCAAAGGGCTGTTTTGTTTTTTTTTGCCTGCTGTCAATCCTTTACTCTAAAACCGACCTCTTCACTGCATTTGTAAACACTGAAAATCTCTACAGTGAAATCTTGTTAACTTTTGAAGGAAATAAAGAGGCATCAGTATCAATTTCAGTTTGTTTCTAAACTGGTTAAAAAAAAACAACCTTACAATGTCTTTAAAAAAGTAACATGATTTCCTGCTCCACTCCAGAGATCCTCTGCACAGAAAACACATATGCTATGATACCAGCATAGACGACTTAACTCAGTATAAATATAACTAAAACTAACATGGTTAAACATCACCACAAACTGTGCTTTCATATTTTAATATTCAAGGAAAGCTTGTGCAGCTGTCATAACACGTGTGTGACACCTGCAGACTTTTGAGAATATTTAGTTAAGATTAATAAAGACGAGATTAAAATCTTTCTTGATCCAGCTGTACTGTACTGTACTTTAAAAAAAGTTTTAAATCAGCTGAGTGTGTGAATAAGATGTTATTTGAGGTGACCCTAAAGATCAGATCTTCTTGTTTTACTCACGTTCTGGTGATCAGTTCATGTGAGAGACAGGCGGGGACAAACATCGCCCTGAAAAATAAAAACAAAGATTCACAAAATAGCCTCAAAATGTTGTAGACAAGTGTGTTTTGATTATGTGAGTGTGAGTGTGTTTGTACTGGTCTTACGGCACGTCACGCAGTGTGCTCCTCATCTCCTGGCCCAGGTTCTGTATGTACCTCCACTGACCCTCATGGACCGGCTGTCCGGTCAGGTGGATGTTGTCCACAGTGAGCTGAGCTTCATCAAACAGCCACTGAACCACAAACACAGGGCCTGACAGGAGAGGAGGAACCGTGGGTCAGAATCACTTTATCCTCTAAATGAAGCAGCTCCTGATGAGTTTACACTCACTCTTTAATGTGGGATAGACTTTATATCCAAAGAAACACTTCCACTCCTCTCCCACATGAGCCTGTCTGCAGCTCTCTGGCACCAAACCGCCCCAGTACCTGCACGACAGACACGCAACACAACAAAGTAGAGGCTTTATACTTTTGTGTCCGACCAGAACATCCAGTCATCCTGTCAGCTGTCCACCTGTCCTACCTGATCCCCCTCTTGATGGCCTCAGTGGGAGCACAGCTGATGGTGTCCAGACAGTCGGTGAATTTGTACTGTTTGTTGTCAAGGAACCATCCTGAGTCCGCTAGACCCCGGACCTGCACCCCATGGTGTCCCTGTGACTTCAGCTGCTCTGCAACCTGGTCCACATTCAGCAGGACGCCGGTACCACCCGCACTGATGACAGGGAGAGAGGAATCAGACGCACAAACACACACTCACACACACTCAACACAAATTAGCGAACACACAATCAGTGAACTGACCTGCTTCCTGCCAGGAGAAGAACCTTTGCGTTGTCGAGACCTTTAGTCAGCAGCTCGTTTACAACCTCCTTAATGATCAGAGAGCCCATGAACGCGTAATCGCCTGAGAGAGAGAAAACAAAAAAATGATTCAGTGAAACACTTCAATACGGAGGCCCTGAGGTACAAAACACAACAGCACATCAAAAAATCACAACACAAAAACAGAAAACACAATGGTTGATGTTGTTGTGTTTACTCTTTTAGTGTTGTGTTTTCTCTTTATCTGTTGTTATCTCTTTTGTCAACATGTTTTCTGTTTTTGTGTTGTGTTTTCTTATTTGCTGTTGTGTCTTCTCTTTTTATGTTGTGTTATTTGCCGCTGTTTTTTCTCTTTTTGTGTTGTTTTCTCTTCTGTAGTTGTTTTCTATATTGTGTTGTTTTCTATTTTTGCCGCTGTTTTCTCTTAGTACTGTTTTCTCCTTTTCATTGTGTTTTCTCTTTTGTGTTGTTTTCTCTTCTGCAGTTATTTTCTTTTTGCGTTGTTTTCTCTTTTGTCGTGTTTTCTCTTTTTGTATTATTTTCTCTTTTTGTGTTGTTTTCTCTTCTGCAGTTGTTTTCTCTTTCTGTGTTGTTTCCTCTTTTGCTGTTGTGTTTTCTGATTCGCTGTTGCACCTCAGGGCCACTGTACTTTCATGACACACTGTTGAAGCAAATGCTTCCCTGTGTATTTGTGGTTTTATTCCTTAGAAATGAACATTTTGTGTTTATAGAAAAGTCTAAAACCTTTATGGACATTATTTAGAAGTAATGCTGTAAGTGAGACTGACTTCCTTAAACTTTAAAACACTTTTAACAGCTGTTTTCATTGGTAGATCAACAGGGCCACAATATAATGATCTGTCCTTACTGGGATCCGTTTTTGATGTCGCTCCACTCCACACATCACTGGAGCAGTATGGGATGAACCTGCAGAGATAGGATAGAGAGCGCAACATTAAAGAGCAGCTTTGATACGAGTCTGTTTACTGAAAACTGGCGGATAAGAAATAATGACAACTCCACGGCGGAAAACTGCACTTATATTAGAGTATGTTTAAAGCAAAAGAGCAACAACAAGAGATGTACAAACACTCTGATGTTTGTGCGTGGACACACACCCACACAGGAATGAGTAGAAAACAGGGAAATGAGAAATATCCACACACAAGAGTTAGAGAGTGAGAGACGGGAGTTATTACACCATGTTGGCGTTCCACCAGTGAGGGTTTTCTTCTGGCTGAGGAGACAGAATCCCCGTTCCTGTTGGAAAAATTGGAAATATCTGACGTTAACTTCACTTTCCCGATAAACATCCTCAACGGAGTCAAAAAGCTTCAGTCAAAGATCTTAAAATCCTTCATACTTAGTATTAAACCCTGTCAAACCTTGATGTATTGCCTCGTTTCGGTGACGTTCAGGCGTGTGTTTACCGTCTGTGTTTGAGTGTTTCCCCCTGCGGTCACTAAGTCATTAACCTTACCTGCTTTGGTCAGCAATTACACACAACCATTGAAGAGCTCTGCGGCTGCTGAACTGGCCACCAGAGTAAAGTTTACACAGAGAGAGACTGGTGGAAAGCCGGATCATAAACAAACAAGAGGTTCCCTGATGGCTGCAGAGTTGGACTTCTAAAGATTAATGCAAACTCAGCTAAAGAGGAAACACAAACAGGGATCCATGAATCTCCTTCATTCAGGGGGGAGTTTGTTTTTTCCTACAGAGAAGAGGAAAAGCTCTGTTGGCTCTGGTGCTGAGGTTTCACAGATGCAGCGTGCACGCTTTCCTGAGTGTGTATGTTTAATCGCATCCTGCATACATGCGAGTGTCGTTACCTGTTCTGGTTTGCAGCCACTTGGTGGAGCTCATCAGTCTCCTCATGGTCTCGTACCTGCTGTCACAGGTCTGTCTATTGAAACAGTACCATCCACCTGTAAAACACACACACATGCTTTTTAGCGGGTTACATAAAGAAGCAGAGTCTGTGTGTTGTTTGGTATGGGGTTAAACTTCATCCTCACCTTCTAAGAACAGCAGCCACCTCTTGCTTCCTTTGGACTCCTTAATGTAATACCTGTGTGAGAGCAACAACACAAATCTGTGAGGAAGTAACGCACGCATACACTCACACACTCACACACTCGCATTGTGACTCAGCAGGGGTGCTGCCTTTTATCCAGACATGGAGGGTAGACTCCGTTCACGCCACTTTTTCAACTCAAAACAAATCAAGTGTGTTAGATGTTGCACATTTTTGGAGGCACATGTGAAGTGTTTTGATTTTGTGATTATGTAATCCACTTTCTGGTGAAGTGACTTTATATGAATACAGTGAAAGCAGACCAATACTGTGTGTCAGAAAAGAAAAATCACACAATTTTAATTGAAGTTAGTTTTTTCATGAAGCTAAAACTTTCATTTCTTCTTGTAGGCTCACTATCAGATGACTGAGATCTGTCAAAGCAGTAAATCTGTATGTCACTATCACAGAGTGTTTCTACTTTCTCATATAGACTTTGGTTCTTATTTATTATTTACAGAACATGAATATGTCCGTGCAGTTTGTCCCGCTTCATCGTTTAGATCGCTCTCAGCACTGTCTGCAGCACAGCAGAGTACCTTTAAATAGTCACACGAAAACCAAAGCAGTAGGGGAGACCGGGGCTTGTTGTCACATTGCGTTTATCTTTGCCACCAGAGGGCGCAACTAAAAAGTGGAATACTAGTTTTATTCCTTTACATCGTCTTTACATTGTGAGCGGAGATGAGCACCAATTAACCATTTCGCACAACCCAGAGTAAAAAATTTTAACTTTATATATTTTAAAATAAGCTTCTTCCAGATAAAAATCCTAGCAGTGATACATGTGGACTTCCACAAATGATCATTTCTATTGAAATTTTGCTGTAAATCTCTCTAACACCTTTATTTAAATGGGTGTCAATGTCAGCCTTCAGGTACACCTGAGGGTCTACAGTGGGGATCACTTTCTTGTTTTTGTTTTTTAAAATCTCTATGAGTAAAGTTGACTTGACTACTTCTGATGGCTAAAAACTCCAAACTCCACTGTTTGAATCGCTATTTTAGGTCAAACAACTTTTGTAACAGTAAATCTAATCTCTTTAGAGGAGAAAACAGACTCTCTTTCGCTCTCTCTCTGGTACTTTGATCAGTTTTGGTCACATACAGGGTGACAACACACCCAAACACACCACGTTGTCCAAAGAGGATGTACAGACAGAGCACAGCTTTAGTGAGTTTATCTAAAAATACAGCAGCACACACACAGAGAAATGAAGTTAGGACTCTTACACAACATGTCCACTCACTGATAGAGTGGTTACGTTAACCAACTCACCCTGCTGGTGACCCGTCATTGCAGGTCACTGATGCATTCTTTAAAAAGTTCAACTTCATCTCTTGATCCAGTTTCTGCGCAGAGCACGGATAGAGAGACTGCGCCAGGTTCTTTATCTGCACCATGAAGTTGTCCATGTTACCCTCCACGGCTGTGAAGTCTAAAGGGAAGCTCTCCGCTCCCTCCACCCGCTCTCTGTACGCCACGGCCTGCTGCTGCTGCTGCTGCTGCTGCTGGGGTTGCTGCACCCTCCGGGTTTGCGCCCTACCTCCGTGCGCCCTCTTCGCCTCCACCGGTGCGCTCATGTGGATGAAGAGCAGCAACAGACAGGAGCGCAGCGCGGACGGACCGACGCTGAGGCTATGCATGTCTACAAATACTTACTGAACAATGTCTCGTTGAAGTGTCGGTGGAAAGCGTATCGAGCTCAGCATATCCCAAAGTAGTTAGAGAAGGTAAAAGTTCTTTGGAAAGTTGCGCGGACCGCTGGGAAGCTCGTCAAAGGTGTGCGGAATAAACGCAGGTTACGCTTCTCCATGGTGTCTCGAGTTCTGAGGAGCTGGTCCGAACTAATTCTGCTCCTGAAATGCAGATTCATCCGGTAAAAACGTCATTACGCGTGAATTCAAACATTCACTGACAGACAACCTGTTGGCTTTCGGTTCACTTCTTCACGAGCTGTGGACAAACTGGAATTTTATTTGAAGCCCCCCACCCCTCCCCGCTCCGAGTCCCGCGTGCTTCTCAGTCCCGCGGGCCAATCGCTAATATAGTTGGCCATGCTCCTCGCGGGGCGTCGGTCTCACATCAAGAGCGCGCGCATGCCTGGCACGCCTCCTCAGTCGGTTTACTCCTTTGATGTTGTGTCATCGTATGGCGGCGCTGCCTTTGAAGTGCCTTTGATTGAATATGGTGTGTGAGGCAGCAGAGGGTCACAGCATGCCACCGGGGTCCAACACAAACACGTTTCCAGTGATAGACACACAAAAACTCCTCTCAATGGAAAGCCACATGTTCGTTATTTGTGTGCGTAAAAAGTTTCTGTAGAGATGAATAAAGAAAGATAAGGTCACCTGGAGGTGTAGAGTTATAACTTTGACATGTGAAGACACAAAGATATGCAGCATAATGATATATCTCTTTCCATTCAGTGTTAGCAGTTGAAACATCTAGGCTACTTTTAACAAACGCATTTTTGAATATATACATTATATATATACATACATTTACATTCAAAGCAAATAGTTTTGAATCTTAACCTTTTACTTCATGTGGCACATCATCCAACCCTTAAACTTTAGTGACATCTTAACCCTTGAACACTATCGCTCGAATTAGTAACACTATCACTATCGCCGGGTGATTTTTACCTGGAATAATAGACCCAAGAAAAAGAGTCATCAAAATAGGTGAAAATAGGACAACACATGACAAATTAAAGTAGTTTTCTTTTATTTTTAACTGTGCAATGTCCAAAGGGAGGGAAAACTGCATGAAAAGTACTGCATCCATTTGCACTGTTTACTATGCTTTCCTAACGCCTAAAAAATTAATATATAAACTGTAAACTTAATTTCTTTTCCACCCATTTTCTGGGGCATGTGAGTCTTCCCTGGTGAAGACTTGGGGTCCTTGGCACAGTAACAGCTGCAGGAGAGAGAACCAAAATATGGCAGATTTTGAGTGAGTAAAAATGACCAGCTGACTGAAATATTTCTTATCACCATATGAATTCCCTTAAAAATCACTACTTTGTGATAGTTATTCATAACCACTGCGCTAAATAAAGATAGAATGCAAATTCCAGGATCACTCTTACTGACCTTATTCCCTACATGCAGCTATCAAATCCACCCAAACCTACTTTACCCTCTATCACTGTTGCCACGTGCCTGTAGGAAAAAGCAGGTTTTGGATCAGGGAAACAAATATGCCTTCAAAGATGTCAAAGGCAATGCTGAGGCTACCTAGGGACCCATGATACTCAGACAAATGCAACATAATGAAAATCACGTAAACATGTTTGGTCGGGTGAAAATCACCCAGCGATAGTGTTCTAGGGTTAAAAAAAAGTCTCAAAAGTGCATTCAAACCAGCTCTTTCTCTGTCTCTGAGCCTTACATCCAGCCACATATGGCAGTCGTATGTGTGTTTAAAGTAAAACCCTAAATACTTTAAAAGATATTGGGAATTTCACATGAAAGAAACCAAATTTATGGGGTGAATCTGTTAGCCATTAATTAATCGGTGATTTGACTCCATTTTTCTTTTGTTTTGTTGTGTGAAATGTTGTGTAAAATCCAACAGACTCTCGGTACAGATGCCTTCATGTGCTCGCACTCCAGCCAGGCAGTTTTGAAGTTTCTGGCCTGCTGAGTGAGGAAGGAAACTGATTGTTTGTTTGTTTATTCAGACGGTGGCAATTTCCCCCCTGAACTGAGAACTGCATTCACCTCTCACTCTCTCCCTCTTTCTTGTTTCCAGGTGGACTCTGACTCTTAACTTTGCCGAGGTGGTCACTCACTTGGTTGCTTGTATGTCCTGTAAAGCTTAGGCCTCACACCTCTCCATCTGTTGGCTGTTCGTGTGCTCAGTCCTGTCTGATTCCAGCTTTGATATAATTTGATTTTTTTTTTTCTTGAAAAAAAGACAGTCTTAATTTTCTGTCTGTGTGGACTGTCTGTCAAACTACATATGGTATAAAGTCATACATATGGGGCACAGATTGGATGTGTTGTTGCCAGTTTGCTTATACCGGACTATTCATTGATGAGAGGGGTGAGCAAGGGAGGTCATGTTTTTCCATTTTGAAGTTTCCTTTGTCAATGTGAGGGTCTTGTGTCTGCATATGGTAGCCTATGTAGTCTAGATAGGAAACTTGATCATATTCTAAGTATTCCTGTGCATCACTTGATGTTTAATTATAACAATAATAGGCTAAAAATCATCTTTTTTTATTTTTAAAAATGTAATCATAGATAGATAGAGAGATAGATAGATATACCTTTATTGTCCCACAGACACTGGCATGGTCCCATAGACTTAAGGACAACACGGCATGTTACATGATAAGGGACAGAGGGGCACATAGGACCTCACAGTAACAACAAGAAGTACAAAGCACACAGGACAACACACACGCAGATGAGGCACGGGATTAGCTTTGCAGACTGTTCAGAGCAGTGATGGCAGAAGGGACAAAGCTTTTACTAAAGCATGCCCGCTTACACCTCAGAGTCCTGAACCTGCGGCCTAAGATTAAAGATTAAAGATTAAAGTTGAGATGTCTTAGATTCACAAATGACTGCTTGTCAACTGCTATGTTTACCTGGAAAATATGTTAAAACACGTGGCAAAAACATGTTCCTTTAGTCGATTTTCTGATGATTGTGTCTGCCAACAGTTTGCTTGGAAAAATCCAATTTTCAGCAGTTGACATCTGGCGAGTGAGAGAGTCATGGCATATGTTTCACATCACTTCTATTCTTATCAAACTATTTAGCATAATAAGAAGCCCTTTGATAACAGGATGGGCCCACTTCAGAGCGAATATTTTTGCCTCTTGTACAATGAAGAACATGGTCGATTAAATATCAGTTCATTCGGTATCTTGAGTAAGACGGCAGAATGTAAAGTCTGAAAGATAATTTATAATTCAAACTGTATTTACATTGTTCAAGATTTTTAAAAAGACATACTTTAGAAGAGAGTTTTATTTTGGGTGTGTTGGCCCTTTAAATCGTGTTTGTAACTTGTCAATAAAGTTTATTCAAACAAACACTGTGACGTCACGACCCACAATGGCTTCCAGTGGCACATCTGTAACGGTTCTGACTCCAAATGGAAGAAGACAGACCCTCAAAGTGTCCCCTAACACACCTTTACTACAGGTAAGTCTTAATATAACATCATTTTATCTTCGTCGCTCGGACAGATTCTCTTTGTCTGTTACTTTGAGTCCAAAAACGAGAAAAGTAGTTTCCTCTGAGTTAGCTTGTTGGCTAATAGCAGTTAGCCAGTGACAGATCAGTTTCTTTTACGAGTCGATTAAATTCAGTGATTTGTCAAATAAGATGGAAAAATGTCATCTGGGAAACAAAACATGTGTTTCTCATTTTCAGGTGCTGGAGGATGTCTGCAAAAAACACGGATTTAACGCAGAGGAGCACGGTTTAAAGTGAGTATTAGCTGCTGTAGCTGTGATATGATGGAGTCCAGTCAAAGTTAATGTGATGACTGTGTTAAGAGTTATAGACTGAATCATTTTTAAGTTAAGATTGTATTCATGTTTTGATAGTTTAAGTTTTTTTAGATGGTAAATACGATTACTGCTCTGAATTTATCCTGTGATGAAGTAAAATACGTCCATCCAGGGCTGTGATTTCAGGTTAAATATATTGGAACTATACTGAGTTTTTAGCAGTCTTTAGACAGTGTTTAAATATTGTTCAGCAAAGATAAATACTCAGGCTTTTACTCATAAAGTTGTATTCATTTAATGAGATAAAATCAATGAAAATAGTCAGTATCTTGCTTTTAATGACACATGCAATGATTTTAAGACACTGCATGTGCCATTGTAATCACAACACGGATCATGTCATTCTTCCAATAATAACAATAACAACAACAACAACAACAATAATAATAATAATAATACATTTTATTTGTGGACGCCTTTCAGCGCACTCAAGGACACCTTACAGGACAATTAAAAGACACATCAGTAGGATAGTAAAATCATTAAATTAAGAAAAAAGAAACATCAACACGACAAAGTTTTAAATAAAAAAGTGAAAGTCTAGACTCTGCAGCAGGTCAGTCTAAAATAATGTCTCCTCTTGTCTTTGTCACACTGACATGATAAATCTGCAGATCAAGAGGATAGATGTTTTTAAGTTTGTGCTTTTGTTACATCTTGAGTGATGGACTTTTCCCATCACACCCACCTGCGTCTTTTCTGCTAACAGGTTTCAGAGGACTACTGTTGACCTCTCACTGCCGTGGAGGTTTGCCAACCTGCCCAACAATGCCAAACTGGAAATGGTGACGAGTACGAAGAAACAGGCTGCAGCTGAGAGCCAGGTTAGTTATACTGAGTGTAGGTGTGCTTGATAAAGAGAAAAAATAATACGATGGCCAGTATGCAAAGATACAGATGTCTGACAGCTCTTGATGTAGTATCTTTGTTTTTATTTTTAGGTGAGATTGATTAAGCAGAATAGAACTACGATAAATCATCACATAGAAAGATAATCTATGCAACAAACGCAATAAACATAAAATGTTTGAATACGGTGTTCAAAGTCAAAAGTTTAAAATTTGTTGAACTTCTTGTAAGTCATTATAGAATCAGAAAGATGTCATTCCAAGGTACTTCTGGTGTGCATGTCAGGGGGTTAATGACACTATCAAGCATCACAAATGTCGTTTTTCCTTAATTGTGTGTTTAATTTTGACAAAAACAAATGTGAATTCTTTGCATCACTTTAACATTAATGTTTTAATTCAGGTAGGAAAAAGAAACATGAAGTACATTTGAAATAATCATATGGAAGACATGTTAGAGCCCCTTCCTTAACATACAAGCTGAGTATGTGGTATATAGTAAGATAGAGAGCAGCATGAGTCCACAACAGGGAGTAAAAGGGAACAAACAGCAGAGGACATCATTATCATGGCTGACAGTAAAAATCTTCCTTTCCCTGTGGATGATTCTCTTTCTATGTGCACTTTACAGGCAGATTGCACCCAGGTAGACAGGAAGGAATAACAGGATTACCAATATATAACCAACTTAAGATATCACATCAAAAAAAGAACACCCTATAATAGTGTCTAAAAAGTGTTCTTGTAAACCACATAACTAAGTGAGTGTTTCAAGTTTAGGCAGCAGAGCAGCTTCAGCGCTCCCTGTTATTGATTCCAACTGTCTGAGGCTCCTTAAGGAGTAAATCCTGTTTGTTTTGTGTGAAGTCTGAGTTAATTTGGTGTTTTGATGTCGGCGGCGGAGAGTTTTAAAGTTTCAGCTTGTAAATCAGATAGAGCATGTTTGATGAAAGAGCGGAGAGCATTTGTGCAACATGGATGAATGCGCCAAGATTACAGCATCAGACAAGCTTCAAACAGCAAAAGGCAAAAGAAAATATCTGCAGGAAAGAAAGGAAATGCCTGTGCTTTGGTAACACAACAGACAGTATGGTGATACTTGTGCCAGACTTTCAGTATTATATTCCATGAAAGAGAGATAAAATTCCCAGACTATTGATTAATACCCCTATACCGCCTCATGAGTGTATGGAGTTTTGTTGTCAGGAGCTGGAAATGAATAAATTCTCTGTCTGTGTTCCTGTGCTCTCTGTGATCTGACCTGTTTCCAAAAAGACTCTTTGTTGTATCTGAGCTGTAGTTTCCGATGACATCATGGCATCATAATCTAAGCAATAAAGTCCCGTCTGTGTTTCATCTGTTGTTCTTGTCCATTAAATGGATAGTTGCTATTGATACCTCGCAGATTTTATTGCTCCAACACACACTGTGACTTTTTTACACCACACACGCAGACTCAGACAAACTCAGTGTGGTGTGTGAGTGTTTTCACGTTCGGTCATTGACAGCCAGCAGCTCCTTTCATCTCTCTCGGTGTGCAGACGGGCAGTGTCCTTTCTGTGCTGGCTGGACAGCATGGTTGTTGAGTAAACATAAACAACTGGTAGAATGAGTCAGACACAAAGAACAACAGAGACTCGCACCGATGCCTGATGTTACTCATTTCCACGCTGAGGTGGGCCCACATGTGCCGTCCAATCAAGTCTGATTATCAAGGAATTTTCCACCTGCAAAATAAGCGTGGACTAAAGAGCAAAGTACATTCAAACAGACTCATCAGGGACATTCTAGCACTTAGAGTAGTGAGTTCATTTCTGCTTTTCAGGTGACTTTTTGACTCGTTATAGTTTCAACGTGTTCATTATGGTTCTCTTTATCACACGTCACACATTTACTGTCTTATGCATGTTGTTTATTCTGGATCAAGTAGAAAAGTGTTGTTGTTTTATGCTACCGTGACTTTATGCCCCTCAGGTGCGAATAGCTCTACAGATGGAGGATGGCTCCCGACTCCAAGGCTCCTTCTCATGTGGACAGACTCTGTGGGAACTCCTCACCCATTTTCCTCAGACCAGGTGTGTCTGTGTTGAATTATTCATTGCAACTTTGTTTGGAGTTTGGCAACGTGAAGACTAAATTTTAAGGCAATTTTAAGGTTTTTTTTGGGAAGTGGAAATACTGAATTCTGCACAGATTTGATTGTTGCTTAAAGGGACAATCTGCAACGAAATGGTTTTACTCTCATTCTGCATTTAAATTTCATTGTGACAAAGAGACACAGGAGCCCTAGTACATCTTGAATAATGTGTACTAGGGCTCTGGACGCTGACCCTGACTACATTTACATGTGCCCGGCTACTTTCATAAATTGACATTTCACCCTCTCCGTTTACAAAAACCACTGCGTGCACACCACTGCATTTTTAGAAAAGTGTTTGTTTACATTAACCCGTGTATATATGCTGTCAAGAGTATGCCAAGCCAGTGTAGCGAGAAGCTCAAGCTCACATTAGCCAATCAGAATTCTGCATCCCGCCTCTGCTCCTCCACATAGTACAGCACTTGAATTTGCAAATGCAAACAAAAACAAATGGATTGCACCAGCATAAATGCGACCGCTATTCTGCATGCATCTATGATCACCATAGATTGTAAACATAGACTGTAGATTGTAAACAACGTCACATTTAACCCACTTTCCTGTGCACAATCTGCCATCGGCTACCCAAATCTCTGTTTTTCTCTGTTTACATGCAAACGTGCCAAACGGAGTTTTCCAAAATCTCCACTTTGACCAGAGTTTTTAAAAAGCATTGTTTTCAGGGGTGATTTCTCTGTTTGCGTCCAAAGAAAGGGTGCAAAGATGGTTAATGTCTCTGTTTTTAAAAATAACCAGGTACGTATAAACGGTGCCCCAATCCCCCTGTAGTCACAGTGAAAAAAAAACAAAAAAACCTAAAAGTACAAACAACAGATTCCTGTTTTTATGTCCACAAGGCCAGAGAGTAAATATCATGCAGGAAAGAACACAAATAAACTTTGTGTTCGATGATATGGGGGTTATACTATTCTGCGCACCCCCACCAGCTATTCAAACGCACACTTGCACTCACACATAAGCAGCTGTTACTCAGCAGTTCCAGCTGTGAGGTCCCAGGTGCTCATGCATTCAGCCAGCCCTCATCTCATCTCTGTTGAATGACATCACTCTTTATATTATCCTCAGTTTTTTCCAGAGCACTTATGCTTCCATTAAAGGAAATACTACATCCACTCCAGCATTAAAGTTTTAGGAATACTGTGGAGCAACGAGGGAAAGCTTTGATTTCAGCATCGAGGAGAACAATAGTAAAACATTTACGGTTTGGTTAGTTTCTACGCGGGATCGTGCACACATGGTTTGCACATGCGGGCAGCGTGACATGGCATCGGATGAGGTTTTGTCGTAAAATCACAGCTTGACAAGGGAAAGTCACTTCTGTGTTTTATTCTGTCACTGTTCAGGGCAATAAAAATAATTTCTCTGTAATTTAACTTTGTTTTTTTCCTGTCACCGCCCGATTTCCAGTGTGTCGCAGCTGTCAGAGTCAGGATCCACCCCTGTGTGTGTTTACATGAGAGACGAGGTACGCACGGCTAATTTAAGTCTTAAGGAGATGAAAGTGAGTTTAAGTTTAAACTTGTGCATGTGTGTGTTGTTTTTTTTTTAGGTTAGTGGAGAAGAAGCACTCAAGAAGGCCACTCTGAAGTCTCTGGGTCTTACAGGAGGAAGTGCCATTGTCAGGTAGACGGTTAATGTTCATGAGTACTTTAACTTGAACATCATATCAGCAGTTAAAACGTGGTTTTATTTACTCCTTTAATTCAGGTTTTTACTCAAAAAGAACAAACTGCAAGAAGATGACACTAGCATGGATGCCACTCAAGCAACTGCAATAAAAACCACACCTGTTGCCAAGGAAACCACGCCTCGTCCCGATGCTGCTCTGTCACATCCGGAGACATCTACCGCAGAGGTGCCAACGAGAAATCCAGTCCCAGATCGACCAGTAGAAACTCAGCCTGTGCCAGCTCCTTCCTCTGCCACAAGCACACCTCAGAACTCCCAGGATGCAGTGCGGCCAAAGGTTCCTCCTGTCGACAGAGAATTATCAGAGGGGGACGATGAGAGGGCGGGGCCGTCAGGACTGAACTCTCACTCATCTTCCTCCTCCTCCTCTTCATCTGTCGTCGCTCCCTCGGCTCCTTTCATCCCCTTCTCTGGAGGGGGTCAGCGCCTCGGGGGTCCGGGCGGAGGGTCAGGAGGGCGCACTTTCTCAACATCGTCATCATCGTCATCTCTGTCAGCTCTGACTGGTGCTGTAGAGTCACCAAAAGCAAAGAAGGCCAAACCCAGCCATGGCTCCAGTTCCAGGGTGAGCCTCATATCAGATGGTCATGATCTCTACTTTTACTCTGAGATAGCAGACGATGAAACTGTGGTACACCTTAACCTCAGGCTGTTATTATTCATTTAAAATTTTAATCCATTTTCCATCCAAAGCAGAGATGACAAAGGTTTAATAAGTTTCATACGTCAGTGTATAATAAACGAACAAACAGGTTTTGAAGTGAAACTGGGTGTCTCCGTTTTCAGAGAAGTTTGTTTCATAATCTGAACCCTCAGAAATGTTTTATGATCATGTTATTGATTTTTGTTTGTGTATTCGAGCTTTTCCAGACGGAAAATTCTCATCTCACTTTAACTCCAAAATTGGATTAACATGTTGAGCTCTCTGTTCTTTTGCAGCATGTCATTATCTCTAACCAGCCAGACCAGGACATGGATCAGGGGGAGCAGTTCTTCGAGGTAAACATGTTTGTTTGCCGCCGGGACATTTCTGATCTCTGTATTCATAATCTCACAGAGTTTGGGGAAGTTTTTGTCTCTTTAGTCACTTTCTTTTGCCACATGAGGAAAAAAAAAACCTCATGGGGACATCATGACTCAGGAGAAGTTAGCTGGTTAAGATTTGAGTTAATGGTTGGTTTGACTTTACTGTGAGGACTCATTCTGGGTCTATTTTAGTAAGATCCAAAACAGACAAGATCAGGAAAAACCTCTGAGGGTGCTTCTTAAACCTCTTACCTGTTGGATTATCATCCTCAAACTAATTAAATCAGGGTCCAGTTCCCTTCAGCCACTCTTAATGCTCAGTTAAATATTCTTTAATGCTTCACAGCAAAATTTGACAGTTTTCTTATATCTCCCTGAAACTACTCTGACTTTTATGTTTTGGAGAATCAGACTGATTTGGTTTCTTACTGTAACCTGTGGGCTACATTTATAGCTAGGCCTTTCTTTGTTTTGAATTGACACCATTAAAGTCTGCAAAATAAGCAGTCAGCTGTCCTAGTTGATGTCAAAAAAAGTATTTACAGACAAACTGCTGATCATATACAGGAAAGAAACTTGCATCAAAGCAGTCTCTTGTTTTATGATTTCAAAACAGTTTATTTGTGATAGTACTTGGAACGTAAGCTTATATTTGCTAAAATTAAGGTTATCTCGTGGTGATATTTCTTAAAGGGATATTCCAGCGTAAATTTAAGTAATGGTCAAACACACCGTAACACCGAGTTAGACACCCCCTCCAGAGATGAATGTTGCTGACCACTCGCTTTTTAAATTATAACCAACTTCAGTAACAACCGCACGATAGCAATACACAGCAGTCTACGTCTCCATGTGCAAACCTTAACCAAAAAGTCACTTGTTTGTGGGGGGAGCCCTGACAAGTCGATCACGGAGTGCAGTGGAGTCTCGCAGCTCAAGGAAGAACATTTATGATTATAACTTCATGGAAACATAATCAGACTCAGACACTAAGGCAGAAAAACTACCGCGTCTGTAGTTCAAAATGATTATTATGATGATTATTACTTCATTGAAATGATCTGCTGCAATCAGTGATCGACTCATCAGGGCTCCCCCACAAACAAGCAGCTGCTGGAGGAGAGTAGGTGAGTTGTGCTTAGTCTCTTTGCTGAAGAAATCAGGCAAACTAAAAAGATGTTTGGTGGCTAGTACAATGGCTGGGACCCTATATGTACTGTTGATGAAGTTAGGTGCTGTTCTGAGCATTATTTTTGTTTTGGTTGAGGTTTGTGAGTGGAGACATAGACCGCTGTGTATTGCTATTGTTCGGTCGTTACTAAAGTTGGTATAACTAGAGAAGAAAGCAGTCGGCAACATTCATCTCTTGAGGGGGTGTCTAACTCGGCGTTACGGTATGTTTTTACCATAACTTAAATTTACCCTGGAATAGCTTCTGTCTCCTCTGGTCTTGAATGAATAACTTCTATTTTATTTCATTACGATATATACCTGTCCTTTTCACTTTATGCACTTTACGAGGTCAGGTCCTACTGTGCAGCCCACCTCAGAGACAGGAGAAACACCTTACCACCTGAAAACATCGGTGGAGTGTGGATGTTCTTCTGCCTCCATCCTCTCACTCACTTTCTGTCTCCCTTCAGCCAGTGGAGCGAGAGCCTCTCATCTATCACCTGGACTCCATGTCCCGTCACTCGAAGGATCACCAGGATCTGCCCGACGAGTTCTTTGAGGTGACGGTGGATGATATCCGAAAGCGCTTTGCCCAGCTGAAGAGCGAGAGGTAAGCGAGGACGAGAAAGGAGTGATTCTGGGTCAGAACGCTCTGTTCGATATTTAGTCCAAACACCTTGTTGCCGCAGAAACACGTCTGGTTCCGATGTTTTCCTGATCTGTTTCGAACAGATAATTAGTCAGTTTGGCATTTGGTCCTGCGGTGTTTTGTCCATGTATAATCTTTAATTGTTGAATACCAGAGCAGTGATGAGAGGCCAGAGGCAGGGAGAGCGCCGGGCATCCCTGCGTGCGTTTTGAAGTCTTTTTCTTTTTTCAATATATTGTGAGTTTGAAGTTTTATTTATTTATGAGTGCTTCTTCAAAACAGATGCATACGAGTTTACTATGCGCTCTCTGGATGTGGCCGTTGCAGACCACAGCTGCTGAGACGCTGTGTGTGTTTGTAAACATGTTCCCGTTTATAAAGACACCCACACTCTACAAAAGCTTCTAAATGCAGCGCACAGGGAGCAATTGGTACGTTGTGTCGGTAGACGTTTTATCTTCGAGCCGTCGGACCGAACGCCGTCAGGTTCAGACCTCATTGCACACATCCTTTGATCCATGTCGACTTAGCCGGCTGCCTCGTGGCTACGCTACTACCCCGTCAATGACTGCAATTACCAAGGGTGGAATTAAGACGACCGCAGCAATTTATCTCATGCTCCTGACACGCACGCACACATTAACGGCCACACGCGAGTAGCTGTAGATGAAGCATTCTCTGCTCATTTTTTTCCCCCTCATCTGTCTTTTTGTTTGTTCCTCCAGGAAGTTACTGGAAGAGGCTCCGCTGATGACCAAATCTCTGAGAGAAGCACAAATGAAGGAGAAGATGGAGAGATATCCTAAAGTGAGCACAAATGACAAATAAACACCATCCTCTTTTTTTAAGTTTGTGTCTTTCTGTGAAATATCAGACTTTGGATAAATCACTACAACCTCTGTGTCTCCAGGTGGTCCTGAGGGTCCAGTTTCCAGACAGACATGTTCTACAGGGCTTCTTCAGGCCCCTGGAGACAGGTGTGTGTGTGTGCACAGTGTGTGCGGTGTGTGTGTGTGTGTGCGCACTGAGGAGGGTGTTCATTTCAGCTGGCTAGCCACAGGTATGGCTGCAATGTAAAAGCTACTTGCGGCTCGCTCACCACATTTATGAGTGCAGCCACAGCCGAGTGACAGAGAGACAGAAAGAATGAGACAGGTCTGTAATTCCAGAGATTTAATCCACCTCAGACCCAACAGCAACACGACAGCCAGCACAACAACAAATCTGAGGGAATTTCCATCTGAATAATGAGTCGTACTCCTCAAGGTGACGAGTCTAGCAGCAGATTGATCAGGTCGATCCTACTGAAGTTTGTGCTTTGCTTATTTTGCGCAGTTGGGACTGTGAGGCATTTCGTGAAGAGTCACTTGGAGGATCCCCAGCTGAGTTTCTACCTGTGTGAGTGTCATTTGATTTGAGATTACACATGAACAAATCCCTGCATTAAGTTCACACACCCAGCCCCAATGCCTTTACGAAGTGAGATGGTGTTATGAAATCACATTTCTGTGTTTCATGAGGTTGTGTGTTACCTTGTTTACTCTGGATAAACTTCTTCTCCTCATAATTATAATCTGTTAATAAACTTTAGACCCTATAAATGTACTATTTCAATAAACGTCAAATAAAAAATGCTATGTAACCACATTGGACCTTGAAGGGATATTCCAGCGTAAATTTAAGTTAGGGTCAAACATACTGTAACTCCGAGTTACAGTTCCCTAGTTATACCAACTTTAGTAACGACCGCACAATAGCAATACAGAGAAAAGCCACACACAAATCTCAACCAAAACGCCACTCTATAGCCACAAATAATGCTCAGAACAGCACCTAACTTCATCAACAGTACATATAGGATCCCAGCCATAGTACTAGCCACCAAATATCTTTTAGCTTTGCCAAAACACAACCAAACACAACTCACCCATTCCCTTCCGGCAGCCGCTTGTTGGTGGGGGGAGCCCTGACGAGTTGATCAGCAAGTGCAGCGGATCATTTACATCAAGTATCATCATAATTATCTAATGATCATTTTGCACTGCAGACGCAGTAGTTCTTCTGCCTTTGCGTCTCGGTCTGATTTCATTTCCATGAAGTAATGATCATAAATGTTCTTCCTTGAGCTGCGAAACTTCACTGCACTCAGCAATCGACTCGTCAGGACTCCCCCACAAACAAGCGGCTGCTGGAGGAGAGTGGGTGAGTTATGTTTGGTCTCTTTGCTAAAGAAATTGGGCAAAGCTAAAAAGATGTTTGGTGGCTAGTACTGTGGCTAGGACCCTATATGTCCTATTGATGAAGTTAGGTGCTGTTCTGAGCATTATTTGTGGCTATAGAGTGGCGTTTTGGTTGAGGTTTGTGTGTAGAGACGTAGACCACTGTGTATTGCTATTGTGCAGTCATTATTAAAGTTGGTATAACTAGAGAAGCAAGTGGTCGACAACATGCTTCTCTCTAGGGGGTGTCCAACTTGGTCTTACAGTGTGTTTGACCCTAACTTAAATTTACACCGGAAAATCCCATGAAGTGTTAATTTCGGACTCTTTTAGTTTTGATTCTTGTTTTTTTTTATTTAATAGCTAGCTAGATGCCATGTACATTTTAACCAATAATTTCTTTGCTACATACTCTTTTTCAGTCATCACCCCTCCAAAAACCATCCTGAATGACTCCTCTGCTACGCTGTTCCAGGTAAGACACTCATACTGCCGTATAGATAACACAAAAAAACACACACCTGTTAAGAGAACAGTAACAAACGCGAGACGGTAAAATTTCTGGGGGGAAAAAAAAGTTCAACAATTTGACTTCCAGTTTTTGAAAGTATAGTCACACACAAACACTGAATGTTCAGGCTGGTCCCTCTCTCCTCTTTAAAGCCCCTCCACATTCCCGTCCTCCCCCCTCTCCTCTCGCTCCTCCACACTCTCACACTTGTTCCCCCCTCTCCTCTGTCCTTGACCCCAGCTGGGCTTGATTTTTCCCAGACTGGCACATGGGGTTAATACAGGCCCTGCTTTGATCTCAACACACACACACACACACACACACACACACACACACACACACACACACACACACACACACACACACACACACACACACACACACTGGGCAGCCTTGATGCAGTGTTACCTTCAGAGTTCAGGGCTATTCTTATCATGAAACATTTAAGAGTGAAGATCTAGGAATGCTTCTGTTTTGATCTCTCTGTTTTACTTTATTTTTCACAAACATAATTTCAGAATAAAAAGAACATTTTGTTTTTACTTTTTTGTTTTTATTTTGGTATTTCGACTCAAGGTGGAGAGAGTGCTGTGATGATGAATTCAGACCCTCAAGAGATTACATGAAGAAAGTGATAAAATCATCAGAAGCACTCTTTGAAATGTGTGAGCACCCCTCTGGTGCCACAATCTCTCTAAATCATATCGTGTTTTCTGATGTAAGACACCGCGCTCTCTCTTTATTTTTCATCTTTTTGTCCCCTGCTGAACTCTGACTCTCGTACTCCTTCTTGTCAAACTTTTTACTGTTTTCCTCTCAGCCATCACCTCCTGTGCCCTCCTTCGCCATTCCCCGATGTCTATCCGTATCCATCTATCTCTATCCATCTTAGAAGTGAAGAAAACAAAATCTTGAATCCCCTCAGTGTCACGTCACTTACACACAAACACTCACACACACAGTCTGGCTCTGTTTCCTGATGCATACATCAGTCTCTGACAAACAGACATATAAGGAATCTTTAATCTTTTTTTGTCACGTTACACAGCCATGAGTGCACCAGCATATGTACTCTCTCTTTTGCTCACACACACACACACACACACACACACACACACACACACACACACACACACACACACACACACACACACACACACACACACACAGATGTACAGTTTAATCACTTTGTGTCATGTCAGGAAAGGAATGTTTCCCAACCCAGAAGCCCTTTGATACCAGGCGTCCCCTCCCTCACCCGTCTCTCCCTCTGTCTTCAATCAGGACCTGTTCTTTCTCTCTCTCTCTCTCTCTCTCTCTCTCTCTCTCTTTCTCACACACACATACTCTAGTCCTGTGCCGTCGCGCTGTCTCATCCAGAAAGGACATTCCGGTGCCGGAGGGAGCGGGATTGTAGGAATGCCGTTGTTTCACTGTAACACATTGTTTCCTGCTCACAGGGCTGAGATAATAGCAATTAAGCTGGAGTGTCCCAATTCAGCGGACATCGGGGGGGAGAGGAAGGGGGTGGCACCGTGGGAGGACAGTGTGTGTAACAAGGATTTACTGGAGGCCTAATTCACTTAATTCAACTCTTATTTTACTGTTTGCTAATTTGATCACTTGTTGTATCTAAGTCATAGTACAGTCACCCTCCATCAGCATCATGCTATCATGCTGCAGTGCTTCACTAAGGAGTTATAAACAACCACAGCGGACAGATCTGTATTTGTTCTCTAAAACTGTGTTTGAAATTCATAACTGCGGGCGTATGAGCAAAGGCTGGTGGTGCTAGCTCTGCTTCCTTTAGCCACACTCAGCAAACCAGTTTGACGTCATTTTATTTACCCACTGACTTCCTCTGGTTTTTAGCTTCAATAGATTGTGCTTGTTCTGAGCTGTTACTCTTGTACTGGTCAGTTAGTTCATTTAAAGGGATATTTCGGCGTAAAATTAAGTTAGGGTCAAGTACACCATAACACCCCCCTCGATAGATGAATGTTGTCGACCGCTTGCTTCTCTAGTTATACCAACTTCAGCAACGTCCGCACAATAGCAATACATAGCGGTCTACATCTCCACAAACAAACCTCAACCAAAAAGCCACTCTATAGCCACAAATAATGCTCAGAACAGCACCTAACTTCAGCAACAGTGCATATAGGGTCCCAGCCATAGTACTAGCCATCAAACATCTTTTTAGCTTTGCCAAATTTCTTTAGCTAAGAAACTAAACACAACTCACCCACTCACCTCCAACAGCCGCTTGTTTGTGGGTGGAGCCCTGACGAGTCGATCACCAAGTGCAGCAGATCATTTCCATGAAGTTATAATCATCATAATAATCATTTTGCACTGCAGACGCGGTAGTTCTTCTGCCTTAGCGTCTCGGTCTGATTGCATTTCCATGTAGTAATGATCATAAATGTTCTTCCTTGAGCTGCGAAACTCCGCTGCACTCTTAGGTCAACTCGTCAGGGCTCCTGATGAAAAGGCTGTATGCACCTTTTTGCATTCGGCCTTTTCAAGCAGGCCGTATGCGAAAAAGCATAGTTGTAGCAAGCAAGCAGTTGGCAACATTCATCTCTCGAGGAGGGTTGTCTAACTTGGTGTTCTGGTGTGTCTGACCATAACTTAATTTTACGCTGGAATATCCCTTTAACTAGCCACAAATTTAATCCGAAACAAAATTGACATTTTGACGTCAAACTTTTCAACCTTGTCCTCCATGTCAAACACAGTGAGACAAAAGTATCTTCTCCTATCACAACACTGTGTCATTGTCATTCAGATGGTTTTATGGAGTGTTATTAAAGTTGTGGCGTTAGTAGCAGGTGCTTCTTTAACACGGTTTATATGAAGAGTTACTCCAGGCAGTATTCAAAGTTTTATCGTGATGTTTGAGAGAAGAAAGAGTGACTGTACCTGTTTGTTAGAAAAATTAAAATATAGATTAAATTTGAATTTTAAAAAACTGAGGACATCTTCAAACCGTACACAATTTCATAACTAGCAGGGAACATGAGAGATATGAATGAAGTCAAAGATTATCACGACAGTAGTTATCGAATTTCCCTTTGTGTGTTTGTTAGAGGAGTGTTGGGAGTCTTTTTTATCAACATGTATAAAATACAAACATGAACTCCTGTTTTTTTGTGAAAAACCACTTCAACATAAAAAAAGTTTACAGAATTTAGTTTCATGTTTCTTCTTTATCAGCCGTTTTTTGTATTTAACATGTCTGGTCGATAACTGCCATGAGCATTAGGCACATAGTTTTCGACTCCCTGGAGTTAAAATCCACTGAGAGCGTGGAAGTGAAACTTTCTCACAGTGTTTTTCAGGAGTTGAGGTTTCTGACATGTCCACTTGCTGAAAGTGATTGAACCACTTCACACAGGCAGGAGATCATGTTTTTCTTGAAACCCACTCTGTTTGTTGACTTTCTGACATTTTCCACTCTGTCTGCGTCTGCACCTCATAATTGTACGGTTGATAATATCTGCCTGCCGCTGGTCCATTATAACCATTAAGCAGTTCATTGTGGAGGAGTGTTGTGCTTCAGGGGTGAAAGTGTTTTTTTTTTCTTCTCACTAACCGTTTGATTGGAGCTCATTTTGCGGTTCACTTCAAAGAACCACAGTCACTGATTCAGATCCCCGAGCCATGAATCATCCTCGAAAATCAACTCGACTGGAGTTTGATGTGGTTAGAGAGCTCAGTTTGCGTGTAACAGGAGGCAGTTTTGTTTCGATTTTTCCATTTTGTACAAAATTAACTTGAGTGCCAACATTTTAAATGGTTTCTGACTCGTCTCTCTCTCTCTCTCTCTCTCTCTGATGCAGGCGGACCTCTTTCCTGGAGCTCTGGTGTACTTCGGTTCAGATGCTAAGACAGGTTTCTATCTTTTCTGTCCGTTTCTTAGATTTCCTAAGATACTGATCTATTACTGATGAATGTGATCATGAAAGGTAATAGTTTACGTTATCTGACGTGTGTGTGTGTGTGTGTCTCCTCAGATTCTTACATAAAGAAGGAGCTGCTCCAATCATCCGTCTCTGCCTTGCAAGCAAACGAGTCCATCGCGAGGTATGCGAACACGTGTGTGTATTCTCAAAGTGTGCCTGGTCGTGCGAGTGTTTGGGTGTGTACATGCAGTTGTAACCCGCGGCAACCGGCCTATTTTCCTGTCACAAAGCCGTCATCATTGGAATCCCTTTGAGGTTGTGCCTAAACAGCAGGTGCCCCCGTGCACCCTCATTTCCTCCACACACACACACTCAGACACACACATAAATTTTCCAGTTCTTCTAAAGATAGAGCTGGTTTCCTAGATGTGACCCCCACCTGTTGTCCTTTTTCCTTTGAAAAGTCAGCCCTCCTTCTCTGTTAAAGATGTCGTTCTCTTGTTTAACTTCTCTTATACTTTCATATTTCAACCTTTCTCCTCTATCCTTCCTCCAACACTAGCTGCATGCTCCGACCCCCTTCACCCCCCACCAGTTCCACGGGCCTCGAGGAGCCGCTGCCTCCCTCAGAGCCGACACCTGACACGAGACAGCCCACACAGAGCGAACCAGACCCATCTGCACACACCCAGGCTGCTAAACCACCCAGATCTGACCCAGGCAAGGTGCCAAAGTGGCTCAAGCTTCCAGGTAAGGGCAGAATATTAGGCGCAGATACAGATGGAGCCAGTCTGTTTTTTTTCTGTGTTAAATAAAAAAAAAACAACAACAACAATTAAATACACTCAATAACTCAGATATGAATTAATCAGGTATTTTATTTTATGTACGAGTGAACATACCAGAATTCTTACAAGGCTACAAACATTAAAGAAAAAACAGGAGCCGTCGTTACTAAAACTATGTAAAAAAATTGACAGATGTCAGGATTATTATATTGATAACTTCAGGATGTATTTCTTAACAAGAGGCTGCCATATAACCCTGTTTAATTCAAACCTACTCTCATACTTACTCAGGACAGGAAATACCGTTTCCAAAGATTCCCAACAGTTCACCATCAGAGGAATACTTCAACATGGGATTAATGTACATGTTTGATACTCAACTCTGCGCTGATGTCCACAGACATTTATATTTGGTTCTATTCTTCCTCTTTAGATAAAAATGCTTCTGAGTTTGAGTCATTTTTGCCATTTATAGTTTTAGTGAGATAGCAATCACTGGAGACTTAAAACCTTTAGCCAAGTATTAGTCGATCAAAACTCCTCATATTTGCATTAAAACATCTCTTTTAATTCCTTTGCTAATCTGATCAGAAATCAGTGGTTGTGCTACACGGTAACGCAACATTTCACTCCTTTTCACTTCTGCTTCATCTTGGCGACTTGGGGATGAAACTATGAGCATTTCAATCCACTAACGCACACGCTTGTTCCGCGATCATTTCCTCGATTTCTCCGAGTGTGGCCTGCATCGTGGGGCTCTGGGGGCGGAGCTTGGATTTGTGACATAGGAAATCTCACTATATCTGAGCCTGCCGTTTGGGTCTGCCAGAGACTCACAGCGTGAGTTTATAATAAGAGGGCTCTGTCACACTTCTGCAGTGATATGCTTTTGTTTGAGATAAAACTGTGGTCCTTGACTTATTCAGCCTTTAACATGATTGAATTGCCCGTGTCTTTGTCTTTGATGAACATTTACTGCCATAATTTTCAAACAAATCAACACTGCTTTTACTTTCATGCCACCAAAAATCCATAACAGTCTGGTTGGAAAGCAGACCTTCCTTAATGGACTTGATCTTGTGGAGGTTTTTGTACAGCTTTCACCAAACAGGAAAACACACCACAGTTTGAACCACAGCAAACAGAGTCGATTTAAAAGTATATATGTGTATGACCTCTCTCTACAAAAACACGTTGGAGCTCTCCATCCGTCCTCCTCAGAGATCACTCCTCTCTTTCCTGGAGTGAAAGATCTAAAGGCTTCCAGCCACATGATTCCTATAATACTTCACACACACTAACATGCGAAAGCTCCCAAACCCCCAAACCGTGGCCAACAGGAAAGTAGCATTTCTCATGACTCACAAGGTAAAGATGCATGTTAGGATGAACCAATTAGTTCTGCGGGGTTACCCCCCTCCAGCAGAGGAGACCACTTCACACACTCAGAGCCTAAAGAGAGAGCTTGTTGTTGGGCCACATCACACAGAAGAGCCCCTGTGGTCCCTCTTGGCATGTTGTTCTGTTGTGGTGTCTGATGGTCACTGTATGGATGTTTTTGTTTAGGATATCGGCCCCTTCATGTTATGTGCGTGTTTTATTTCTGGCTGATCGCTGTGTGTGTCTTAAAGGAACTTGTGGCTGCTTTCTCTTTCATGAGGAAAGTTAAAAGAAAAAGAGTAAAGAGAGAGGGAGGGGGGGCTGAATGTGGAGTTATAGACCACATGTGTGCAACCCTACAGCACAGAGGACACCAAGAATCACAGCAGATGTAGTTGAACATGTTTAAGGAGAAACAACAAACTAGTCTTCAGATGTATTCTGGAGGAATCACCATTAGAGAAGGCGCACTTTACTCTTCTACCATCTGTCTATGTTCGACCAAAACCCTGGAATTTTCGACCAGAAATTGACCTATGGCGGGGGTGGGGTTTCATGACTCTGACGGCAAACCCTTCTGCGGCAGGGGACGACGCGGCTCGGTGGAGCGAAAATATACTGATATTAGCACAAGAAGGGAATTAAACATTACGAAAGTTGACACGCTCAAATATAAAAATAAATATTCAGCAAACCATTGGATGCGAAAAATTTTTTGGTAGGATCGTAGGGGAAGGTCCCGCTCTCCTTCACCTCTGATTGGCTGGAAGTGCTGGGCTTCAATTGGTTATTCGCAATAATTAGGATGAGGGTTAGGGTTAGGGTTAGGAGATTCAGAAGTGCGATAATGTTCTGTGATGTTCTGTTCGAAGTACAGAGCCGACAGCCCGCGTTTGGCTTTAGCGTGTGATGACGTTTCCAGCTTTTCAAGCCAATCAGAGGCGAAGGAGGCGGAACTTTCTCCTACCATCCTACAAAAATAAATATCAACCACCGAACATTGATTAACGTGGACACTTCAATCTTCCTGTCTCCAGTCAGTCTCCAGTGGATTGAGCGAATCCAAAATAGTGAAAACAAGGGGGGTGTTCTGAGACAGGCTGTCACCTGTGAAACTTGGGTGCTCTGAAAACACCCTGTAAAGATCTGTTTATGTCAATCCAAGCTTTAATACTTCCTTCATTATGACAGACAGTTTTGTATCATTGCCATACTAACTGTTGTTTATCACCCTGATCAATGACAGCAGATCACTGGACCACAAATCAACTTGGACTCTCCACATTTGTTGCCAATATTTCTAAGACCTCACTCTGTTCATTGATTGTCGTTCTTCTTTCTTCCTTCATAGGTAAGAAATAAAGCTGCTGCTGCTGCTGCTGCTGCTGCTGTGTGTTGTTGGGAGGACTTAACATAACAGACGTCTGACAAGTTTGCTCTTCTGACCGAGTGAAGCACTTAAACTTTGACTGTGTAGAGACTAAGACGGTGAAAATAATGAAAAGAATGAGTGAGTAGTGAATATTTCATTGCCAAGAAGATTGTTGTGTTTTATTCTGGTTGAAGATGAGAATGCTGATAAAAAAAAGCTGTTTTTGGTTTAGCAGCTAAAACTGTAGTGCATATAAATAAAGACTGTTGTACAAAAAGATGTTTTTATCCTGTTTTCTGTTGAAGTGTGTAGAGTTATGTTAACTGTCTTTAAACGTGCTGTCACAGACATGTGGCGATATTTTCACCTGTGTCACCCTCACACAGCTCACAGCAGGTACACTAGTTTTTCCTTGGTTAACCCTCATTTACTCATTATACAGGGAAAAACTCTAAAATAGGCCGGACACACCAAACAGAGGGGAGCTGATCGTGTGTGTGTGTCTGTGTGTTGGGAGTAAGTGGGAGGGCTGCATTCCATTCAGCTGTTACACACACATGCAGTCTCTCTCTCTCTGTCCCTCTCTCTCTCTCTCTACCTCCTACTAACAAATTAATTACTTCCAACCACTTTGCCTTCGATGCCAAATGAAGCAATGATCACTCACAGCAGGGAGGCGCTTACTGTTTGTGCATGTGTGAGGGAGGTTTAACACACTTCACACACTAACACATTTCACCGAAATAAAAAAGATTAAAAAGAAATAAGATCTTTATTTTCTATGAAGAAAACAAAACAAAAGAAAACTAAACACGGTTGCACATTTGCGCACTATGAAGATAAAAGTGAACATGAAAGTGAAGAGGCCTCAGTGTGTCTTAATTGCTGCTCGGTCAGAAAGCGCCTCTCTGTGGTTGTAGAAGTGATGACAAGAGTGATCACAGAAATTCACAGAGCTCATTTTCTAAACTGAATTTTCTCAGGCAGCCAAAAAGAAGCTTTACTGGAAAGCTTATGAATCGAAACACAATATGGGTCTTGGGTCTATCTTGTTGACCACTAAAACTTTTTATATTGCTGTAAAACAAACATGAGGTTGCTTTAACCTGCTTTGAAATTACCTTGGTTCTGTGTGATTGCTCTGTTTTGTTGGGAGGAAGCCTGTTTTTTTTATCATCTAGAAATACTGTTAGGTCAGAGATACTAAAATCAGTCAAACATCAGTTTGGTACAGTCGGCGTCATCAGGTTTTAAGTGATGATTCAAGACAGTTGATGTGTGTTTTTGCTGTGTATACGGCGTGTTTGGCAGTTTCGATCTGTGTGAACTAAGGTGCAAATTAAGATTAAAAATGTCACATTGCTTGTGATACTTAACAGAGAGAAAATCACTGAGTGTAGAGGACCCCTTATGATAATGCTTACTAAATCCTCTGTTAACGTACTGTAATGAGTTGACAGTTATACAGTGTGATTTTTAACGCCTAGTGGTGTTTATTGTATTTAAATTCTAAATGTCAGGATGCTCATAGATGCTCACAGCATCCAGGATGAAGTAGAATATTTGCATCTAATATAGTACCTCAATTTTGTAGTCATAAATCAATAATGAGCTGGGGAATTCCTAAATATTAAAAATTAACTCAGTGGTTATGCTAATTTATTTCTCTTCGAGGTTATTGATCCGTTCATGCAGTGCAGACCCTGTACCATGACAGCCGTATAACTCCCAAGCATGCTTGATATGCAGCTGGTGCGAACTTCTGTATGTAATCAATGTAAAGAGTTCCTGAGCAGAGAGAGACACACCTGCACACCTGTAGGTGGAGACAGAGACCTGAGGACTGATGTGTTAAAACCATGAAGTAGAGGACTCACTGATGCTGCTGATAATCATAGAGGGGAGATTTGCAGTGAGTACAGATTCAGAAACCATGACCATTCATATATGCGTAACATTATGCAAACATGAACTGAATAAATTACAACAGGGGTAGTATAATGTAAGTCATGTGAGTGTTAATAGGCATGTCGGACACGATGCACATTATTTTCAACCTCTCTTTGTTGAGGTTTTATAGGTGTATATAGAATCACAATTAACAGACAGAGAGAAAAAAGGTAGAGCACTTCTATAAACATACACGTCTATCTATCCAAACCTCATTTACATTGTCAATATGCTTCAAGAACTTATAGAAAATACTGAATAGAATCCATAATTTAACCGTCTTACCTGTAACTCGACTGTACAGATCCAAAAACAGAATATCTGTGGACAAACAATCAAACAGTGACGCTCTCTGATGGTTATATTTTATGCATATTTCAGAGGTATCAGGATTAAAGAACTTAAACCTGACAGGGGTGATGTGCTGTTAGCTTAACCATTTCTACAGTAATAATTTGGATGGTGTGTTCACTTTCTGAGTTTGAGCCCTTGACTGGTCTTCCTCTGCTTGACTTTCTCCATGAATGCGAAATATAATTTGACACCTGTCCCCTGGACTCCAGATGATCATTGGTGATACTTTTTGCATGTGCATGTGGGAATATTATTATATTTCTCTAAGGGATTTTAGGTTTGGTTATGTATGTTTTCTTATCTGCTGAAAATTTGAACAACTTTACATGAACGCTAATTGACCTTAATTCTATGAGGATACACATTGTTTTATTTTCGTCTTTCGCAACAGCCACCATGATGCTCCATAAACCTCCGATTGGAGTGAGGCTTCATCAATATCTTTAAATTAACAATTAATGGTGTCAGCTGTGGTGAAAGTGCTTTAAAAACAAAGTTTGATTGATTGATTGATTGACAGACCCACAGGGAAGCAGATCTGAAGTATCTGAATTGATTTTAATATTTGATTTTAATACATCGGTATGATTTAGTCCCCAAACTCAGCTGTCAAATCTGTTTTGAGAAAATCAAACTTACTTTTGAATAACATCTTTGAATTCTTCTGCTGGACTGTGGTTCAGCTGGCCCGATTAAATGACCAAATTAAATGTGACCAAAGAAGCACATATTACAAAAATAAAATAAAATAAATTAAATTAAATTAAAATAAAAAAAATAAAAAATAAAGCACATATTACAAATAAATAAAAAAATTAACAAATAAAATAGAATTACAGTTAAGATAAAAAATAATTTAAAAATTAAAAGTAGATAAAAAAAATACATATTACGAAAAAATAATAATAAAAAATAAAAGTAAATAAAAAAAGCACATATTACAAATTAAAATTACCATTACCTATTTTAAGATTTTATTTTATTTAATGTTATCATTATTCTCTATGAATTTGTGTCATTTCAGATGTAGGGCGGAGGCTTGAGTTATTTTTCTACAATAGTCATATTTATATTAGTATTTTTCAATCAGTGGATAAACTACTTATGTCATTATGCCTGTTGCTTACAAACCCTTTTTTTGGCTTAAAATCACTCAAAATGGTGTCCTACTCCTTTAATCAGCATCAAATTGCTGCTGACACAGAAACACATGACTGAAGAAGAAATAAAGGAGTGGGTGTGGTGTGAGAAATGTCCTTCAAGTTCTCATCTATTGCCTCTGTTTGTCATCTTTACACTCTAAGTACGACTGTGCGATTAATCGAATTTCATTTTCAATCACAGTCTTGGCTCTTCGTGTTCATAAAATAATTGAGATTAAAAAACACTGAGCTGCTGGCCATGCTGTGCTCATGTTTTGCCCCCGTCCTTGACCCTTAAATTGATTATACTGTTTGATCGCCAAGGAATTAATCATGATGATGATGATGATTTTTGTCTAAATTGAGCATTCCTAACTCTCACGTTTTCGGATCGTAGATTGGTTCAATCCTGAAAAGTCTGAACATCACAGACTCAGTCATCTCACCTCATTCCTCAGGGTCTGCTGTGTGTCTGCGTGCCCTGAATCCACGCCCAACCACATGTACCCTCATGTGGTGACGGCCCAACCCTAAATAACTTCCATTCTGGTCTAACTGACCGGCAGCCCCCTCCTCACCCCACAGAGGGAAAGAGAAAGTGTGAGAGGAAGAGTGTGTGACAGAGAGGACCTGGGAAGATGAGCGCTGACATTTGAGAGCTGATGGCACATGGTTTCTCACCATGAGTGTGTACAGCTGCAGACACGTGCTGGTCATACCTGGATATTCACATGTGGACGAGTCTCCAGAAGTTTCTCCGACCGAGCCGGACCGTTAGAGTGGACCTTGACTGACACCGCGTCTTGTTACTCAACCTGGACGAACTTTCTGGATTTCTAAAAACCGGTCTGATCTAAAGATTCCCTCCTACTGGGGCCAGCTTTTCAACCCATCATCCTTGCTTCGTAGAGTCTTGATATTTGTGACTCATGAGTCAGTGTTTACACAGAAATAGACGATCAGAAAGTCCCCCCAGGTCTGTAAACACAACAGAAATAGGGCAGTCTGAATCTGTAAGGGTGTTGAAAGAGCGACATGCTTGAAACTCAGACTTTCCTGAAGTATGGTTATCAAATCTCCGACTTTGGAGGCAGTGGAGCTTTCTAGAAACATAACAATGCTGTGACTCCGTTAGAGAAGTTCGGAAGCGGATGATGAAGGCTCAGACACAAAGTTGTCTTCAGTGTTTGAGGAGAAGAGACGGCACAGGGCTAAGACTCGCGCTGTGTCTTTTTTTATCCGTATGAGACTTTTTTATAGTTCCAGGTTTTCACAAACGAACATGGACAGGATGCTGGAATGGGAGAGACCTTTGCCTGGACTTGATCTCTGAATCTTTTTCTCCAGGACTCTCCAGACTTCTTGTTTTGGTTGGACTTCTTCTTCTTCTGGACTTCGAGAACAAAGTATCCTGTTTCCTCTTCTTCAACACTTCTCCCTCATGGATACTCAGGGTGGTCCGTACCTCAACAAGAGGGCCTTATGCTCACCTTTAGGAGCTGCACGCCTCTGTCAGTTAGCAGCTGGCTGCAGTGTGATTGCCATGGTAACCCACAGTGCAGGCTACAGCGGGTCACAGGGTGTGTTCTGCATGGCGGCGTGGTGTTTCTGCTTTGCCATGTCGGTCTTGGTGTTCTTCCTGGATGCTACCCGACTCTACAGCTGTCTGCCCGTGTCCTGGGACAACCTGACGGTCACGGGCGCAGCCTTTGCAACACTCTTGTAAGTCACATGATCAGATATCATCTTCATACACTCATGATATAGGTGTGTAATGATTGTCTGGCTGCCTTCCAATGGATCTTGATTGAGTGAATGACTGCTAATATAAGTCTTCTTTCTTTAAACCAAGGTGATTCTTGAATATCCATCCGTGCTCATGATTTTCTCTCGTCTCTCTCAGGTATGTGACGGCCTCTGTTGTCTACCCGCTCTTTTTCGTCACGTCTGAGTGCCCGTACGCTGGCTGTGACGTCCGTAACTTCCGCATCGCAGTGACCGTCTGCTCCATCCTGGGTACTCTGGCCTACGGCGCCGAGGTTGCCTTATGCCGGGCCAGGCCAGGCCAGGCTGTGGTGGGCTACATGGCCACCGTCTCCGGCCTGCTCAAAGTGGTTCAGGGTTTTGTGGCGTGCATCATCTTTGGAGCTGTGGCCAACAGGAGCGAGTATTCCCTCTACGCCGCCACCATCTACTGCGTTGCGGTCTATGTTTTCTGCTTTGTCCTGACCGCGGTGGTGGTCATCATGACGGTGTGCGGACGGACCAAGGCTGTGCGCTGCATGTCTTTTGATCGTTTCGTGGTGGTGTGCACCCTGCTGCAAGTCCTGCTCTACCTGAGCGCTTCGGTGGTGTGGCCTGTGTTCTGTTTTGACACCAAATACGGCTCTCCGTGGAGGCCATCATCATGTCCACGAGGGAAATGTTCATGGGACAGCAAGGTCGTGGTGGCTGTTTTCTCCTTCGTCAACTTTGGACTGTACGTGGCAGACCTGATCTATTCCCAGAGGATACGATTTGTCTCCCCTCAAAGGTCTACGATTTCCCGAGCTTAGTGCCACGTGGAAGCGTTTTTCATTACTGGCTCAGCAGGTTTCGGTTCTGGGCTTCAACTTTTGTCTGCTGTGTTAAATGATGGATATGAGTCACAGATTTTAGGCCCTAGACATTCCTGGTGCTGCACATGGTCTTCTTCCCAGGCATCCAGACATCCAAAATTCACTTTGGTATGTGATAAAGGAATGTCCCATCTGCCACACCCGTCTGAGGTGACACCCCATCTCTTTATCTCACCCCTCTGCCCTCTGAAAGATTTCGGGAGATCTGCCAGCCTCACCCAAGCAGCCAAAGCTCACTGGTGCATCCTGCCAAGTTCTCACAAACCAATACACCCTCACTATTCTTGACCCGCTGCATAACACACTCATATACACACCGACTTGCTGCCAGTATGTGTGTTTAAGTGATATATAAAATTCTTGAATATAAATAGTAAACCTTGCAATGGCATCTGTGGCATCCCAGTCATCTGCAGACCCCCCACCAGGGACGACGGGCAATACCCAGGCTGCCAAAAATAAACAGGAATCGTCTGCAGTCGTATCAATGCTGTGAGACAGCGTTTTAAAGACGCGGCTGTCTTTACAGTGACTTTAAAACCTCCTGATGAAATGTTTCCCCCCAAGTTCAACGTCTGCCAGCTCCTCTGCAAAGATGACCTAAAGTTTGAGCTGCCACATTAAAAAAAACAAACCGTGCTGTTCTCTCAAGAGATTAAGCATTTGACCCGGATAAATCAGAGGACCACAGATCAAATATGAGACAAAAAGAGACTTTTCTTATCCTTGTGTTACCCCACACTCGCAGTCACAAGTGGATTGTGTGGTGGGATGGATTTGTTGACACTGAGACACATCAGGATTAAGAGTCAAACAGGGATTTGGTCTGTAGTTTGGAGTGACTCATGGCTGATAAGTTGTGATCAATATCTTTGTTTAACTGTGGATCAAATAACTTTATGAAAGGTTTTGCAGACATCCCCGTAGAGAAAAATCACTTTGCAGTTATTCATTCTGAAGTCAATACTGGTAAAATATTCTTCCTCTTTTCATTTTGTGTCCCTGCTCTAAAACCGCAGTATACCCCACCTGTCATCAGCATCAAGCAGCTGACTAAACGCAGTATTTTGTTAGCATGCTGTGCTTTTAACTCCCTTCTGAAAAGTCCCACTCCGATCGTTTATTATTTTTTTTACTAATTAAAGTGCTATCAAGGATCTTTAAGTTGTGATCATTAAGTTTTAAACCAAAATCACGTCACCTGTGACATTTTCAAGGGTTTTTCTTCTGCAGAGCTCCGGTAGCTCATTAGCAATTCGCCTCTGAGTCGTGGGCGGAGTCAGTGCTGCTATGCACACTCCTCTTCACGCTAGCTTGTAGCCTAATATTGCCGGTGTAGTAGAAGTGGAAGGTAGCATAGGAGCTATTCAGCTCTCAGACACTAATGTCTTTAGGGACATGATGCAAGCTAATATCATAATTAGCTTACTTAGGAGTGTTGCAATTCGCTAGCGCACAGGCTTGTTCCATGATCATCCTCTCTACTTTTCCAAGTGTAGCTTGCATAGAGGGATTCTGGGGGCGGAGCTTGGATTTGTGACATAGGAAATCTCACTGTGTCTGAACCTGCTGTTTGGGTCTGCCAGAGATTCACAGAGATTCAAATGCAGAAATACTCAGAAATGCAATTTCACACTTATTTTTCTCATGATTTATCCTCTAGCATCAGAAAAATGCCATATAGACAACAGACAACAACAACAACAACAACAACAAAAAACAGATTTTCATCGGAGTGGGTCTTAAAGTTTGTTGAGACAAAAACAGAACCAGACAGTGTACGCATTAAACTTATTTTCATCAGGTTCTCACAGACTTGACACCAAACAAACGGCAATCTTATATTTGCAATTTGCTCTGCTGCAAATACAAGATTGGCAAATCAGTAAAAACACATTTACTTGTTTTAATACAAAATACCCCGTCTGAAAATGTACTTCATTTTATTTATATTTGGTACTGAAATCTACATGTTAATTTTTACCCTCAGGTCATCAATTTTAGTCAAAGTGTTGAATAATAAGACACAATTTCTCTCTGTGGAGTAGACATTTATTGTCTTTTATGCTCAAATATTAAGATCCCAAATATGTCTAAGTGCGTAACAGACCAGTCTTCAGTGTATGGTGTTTCGTCAGCTGGACTAAAGGGGTTAAAAGTCACTGTCACCCTATACTCTCCATCAGCACTTTTATCTTCTTGTTCCACAAAAATAAAACTCAAGCAGACATCCTGCTGCTGCATCTTGGACTTATACTTTCTCCTTGTCCTTCTTGTCCCCTTTATTAAGATTCTTCTCTCTTCTTTCTCTCTCCTAAGACTTTGACTCCCCCTGTGTTCCCCCTCTCTCACACATCACTCCCGTCACCCTCCTCCTCCTCCTCCTCCTCCTTCACTCCTTTCTGCTTTGGTCACCTCTGTGAATCTCATCTCTCTAATCCAGGATCAGTGTATTCCCCTGTCACATCTGTGAGTGCTGTGGATGTATTATATCAAGTCCTCGGGAAGCCACTGTGCTGCAGCATACGTAAAAAGAAACTGTGTCTGTTCTCGGCAGCAAATCCGACAACAGTTGGCTTCTCTAGTAGCCACTTCTGTCTAAGACTACAGAAAACACTTGTGTTCCTAGTAGAGATTTACTGTTTCACACTCTGTGCCAATGTTTGTAATGAGTTAATACATGTAAATAACATGTGCACACAAAAAGCAGATAAACAGGGATTAAAGCGGATTTCTGAAAATGAGTGTGGATTTTTTTTTTGAGCAATAAATAACTTTGTTTTGGTAAACTAACATTTTTATGTGTTCAATTAATTATCCAAAGGGCTTCTGAAAGGGACACTCTTGTATCCTGACTTGATTTCCGATGTAGGGTAAAACATCAGTGGAATAAGTCAGAGCCAAGAGAGAACTACCACTGAGAGTGATGGACAGCTTTGCCACAGAGCAATCTGTAGCTCCATTAGGCCTGTGTGCTCCCCGCTCCACCGTGGAGCTCCATTTAGCAGCTGTTCCACGTTTGGCATTCGTTTTACTCCTCACTCCCCAAGGGCCTTTGTCTTAAACATAGCTGTATCTACACACACAGAGACACACATATGCACGCACACACACACAGTGCCCACAGTGTCTAAACTCCGCTGACTGAGATGAACTTCGACAGGTGCCCATCATAACGTCCCCTCCTGGTTCTTAAGCAGAGGGACACGGGGGAGCAGGGGACGGCTGGCCCCTCTGTCATGACTAATCTCTGATGGCGTATGTTGCTGATGTCGGCTCCCCTTGTGGCTCTTGTTTTGCCAAATGTTGTGCAAATCATTGTTGAAGGCTAAATCTTCGGTTCTGGTGCCAGATGTCAGCTTTGAACTGCTGAGCATCTTGTAAGCTGATGAATACAAAAGAAGAATGAGTGAAAAACATCTGATTCAAGCTTTTAATTTTGACAATTAAACAAAAAACAAATAAACAGTACAGTCATGAATCACAAGATGTCTCTTTTATTTCCTCCCAAAATTGGATTGATCTCAAAAGGGCTGAATAAATGTGCGAGTTTTGTGTATTTTCCTATTTTTAATGAGTATAATTATGACATTTGTTTATCTATTTGGTACAAGCAGATACTAAAAGTACAAAAACTTGATATTTGTAGCATCAGGAGTTCACGCAGACTGTATGTGAGACATGAGAGACAAACAAGTGGTGAAGTTAGCAACATGTCTAAGGCATGTCTACATATAAGCTTTACTAAAGGGATATTCTGTGTAAATTTAAGTCATGGTCTAACACACCGTAACACTGAGTTAGACACCCACTCGACAGATGAATGTTGCCGACCTCTTGCTTCTCTAGTTATACCAACTTTCGTAACGACCGCATGATAGCAAAACACAGCGGTCTACGTCTCCATGCACAAACCTCAACCAAAACGCCACTCTATAGCTACAAATAATGCTCAGAACAGCACCTAACTTCATCAACAGGACATATAGAGTCCTAGCCATAGTACTTGCCACCAAACATCTTTTTAGCTTTGCCAGGGATTCAAGTCGGATCCTGAATTTGCTGACAACTTTAGCGTTATACACAAATCTACGGCTGAGTTATCTAATCTGTTTGTTGTAGTTTTACTGTTACGAACTGTAGGCTAAAAATACAAGTCACAATAATACAACATTACTTAATTTCACCGGTGGTGTATTATATTTCATAGAAATGCAAATATATACAACATTACCTCATCACTACGCATCCTGCAGATAGCCAAAAAAACATACAAACAAAAAAAAAAAAATACAAGTACTGGTAAGTCTCGTCTTGCTTCATTCGCCTTGTAAGTGTCTTCACAACACAAGAGCTCATGGGAAATGCAGTCATCATTCCAGCAAAACACTTCCGCTTTTGTCCATAGTGGCTGCCAAACGCAAAATGAAAACTGCATTCAGCTGCTTTAAGATCCATGAAAGTCAAAGTTTCTGCTATTCTACTACCTGTTGACTGAAATATTCTTAAATTGAACTAAAATGGCGCACATATCACGAGGTTGCTGTTCCTGTAACTTAAAGACATGTTCCATTATTTTGGGCTCTGTTATCATACATCTGTTTGAACTGTGGTTGTTGTCTCCATCCTTCTCTAAGTTCCTGTATATCCCTCTATCGCCTTTCCCGTCCCAGTACTGTAGTTACAGATGGCTGTCTTACATGACTCTGGTTCTGTTCAAGGTTTCTGCCTGTGAAAATGAAGTTTTTCCTCTCTGTCTTAACTTGCTCATGGTGGGAGACAGAAGAGCCTCAATCTTCTCTTATTTTGATGTCAGGACTTAGTAAATAATAAAACAGTGAGTTTTATTCTGTAAAGCCTCCTGAGATAAGTTTTCATTGTGAATTGAAGCCGTATAGATTCAGATTGATCGGTATATTGAAGACTCTCGCTTGAGA